TGATCGAATACTGCTAGCCACTATCTAACTTTGCTTATAATAATTGTGACTTATGGCAATATCGAGACAATACTCACAGTATGCACATATGCCAATGATCAATTGCAGTCCTGCACAGGATGCACGTATGCTAATAAGAGACTGATCAACTAAAGTCCTGAATATCAATGAGAATATTCAAATGACCAATACAAAATGAATTATGGATTCATATGTTGCAGCAGAATTTAATTTGTTTTGGCTCCATTTGCCTGTTGGATGAATACTATTCTATTGTGAATAAAAAATATATTGATATACATAAGTATAAATGTGGTCAGTCTAACACATATGCATACTGTGATATTAAGATTGTTATTTATAGACCATCATTGACACTTTGTATCAATGAAGATTTCGAACGTAGGCAATATCTTTTATCTTCCAATCATCACTTCCTTATTCAGAATGTTAATGAAAAGTTCTAAGTACGATAACAACCGGAAACTGGCTGTCAAGACAACTGAAAGTACTAAACCGATGTGTATACGAGAAAACGTGAAATAATTAGGATGATAAAGAAGCTGGATACTAAACTACCTCAGCTGATGTTTAGAGCAATGAAAATGAATATAGGAAAATTGTTTCGAAATAAATCAAATTGATTTACTCTTAAATATGTTTTATGGATTGCAACCATTTTGTTCATAAAGCATCAAGTTCTCAATCAATAGAGTTAATTGTCAACACAAGGCGCTTGTATTTTGAATTAGTTCATGAAATCAAAAACTCCGCCTGGAGTCCCTTCGGGGGCTACTGCCGGTCCCAAGCCTGGATAAAGGAGGAGGGTTGGGCATGGGGTCAGCGTCCCCATCCCGTAGAAAACTAACTCGCTAAAAAACGCTAACCAGAAAAAATTATTCAAACCTTTTAAACTCTGCCCTGGGAGTCAGAAGGTCTTCATTTAGAAGAAGTATTACGCCTCATGATGAATGCCGAATTCCTTCGGAAGTTACGAGGCCGATGCCCCTTCTGACAACCAGAGCGACCATTTATTTAGGTACATGGAATGTTCGTACAATGTGGGACACCGGGACAGTCTTCCAAATTGCTGCAGAAATGAGAAGATACAACCTAGAGGTACTTGGGATCAGTGAAACACATTGGACACAAGTCGGACAACAATGACTAACTTCAGGAGAGCTCCTGTTATACTCCGGCCATGAAGAAGAAAATGCCACACATGCACAAGGAGTTGCATTGATGCTGCCCAAACAAGCGCAAAATGCACTTATAGGATGGGAATCTCATGGACCAAGGATCATCAAAGCCTCGTTCAAAACAAAGAAAGAGGGCATTTCAATGAACATCATCCAATGCTATGCGCCTACCAACGACTACAATGAAGAAGCTAAAGATCAATTCTACAATAGGCTGCAGTCAATCGTCGAGAAGTGCCCAACAAAGGACCTGACCATTCTGATGGGAGATTTCAACGCCAAGGTTGGAACGGACAACACTGGATATGAAGACATCATGGGACGTCACGGACTGGGAGAAAGAAACGAAAATGGTGAGAGATTTGCAAACCTATGTGCCTTCAATAAACTGGTCATAGGCGGCACCATATTTCCACATAAACGCATACACAAAACCACATGGACTTCACCGGATCACACCACGCAAAACCAAATCGATCATATTTGCATCAACAAAACGTTCAGGAGGACTATAGAGGACGTGAGAACCAAGGGAGGAGCTGATGTAGCATCAGATCATCACTTGCTGGTCGCCAAGATGAAATTGAAACTCAAGAAGCACTGGACAATGGGGCGGACAATATCACAGAAGTTCAATACGGCCTTTCTTCAGGATACTAACAAACTCGACAAATTCAAGATAGTCCTCAGTAACAAGTTCCAGGCCTTTCATGATCTACTCAATGGAGAAGGAACTACTATGGAGAGCAACTGGAAGGGGATCAAAGGGGCAATCACTTCAACATGTCATGAGGTCCTGGGTCACAAGAAGCACCATCACAAGGAATGGATCACTGTTGATACACTGGATAAGATTCAAGAAAGGAGAAACAAGAAGGCAGCAATCAATACCAGTTGAACAAGAGCAGAGAGAGCCAAGGCACAAGCTGAATACACAGAAGTAAACAAACAAGTGAAGAGGAGCATCAGAACCGACAAACGAATATATGTGGAAGATTTAGCAATGACGGCAGAAAAGGCTGCAAGAGAAGGAAACATGAGACAATTGTATGACACGACAAAGAAACTCTCTGGAAATCGCCGCAAACCAGAACGACCAGTGAAAAGCAAAGAAGGCAAGGTAATCACCAACATTGAAGAGCAACAAAACAGGTGGGTAGAACATTTCAAAGAACTCTTGAATCGACCAGCTCCACTAAACCCACCCAACATCGAAGCAGCACCCACGGACCTCCCAATCAATGTTGGCCCACCAACAATTGAAGAAATCGGCATGGCCATCAGACAAATCAAGAGTGGCAAAGCAGCAGGACCGGACAACATTCCAGCAGAGGCACTAAAAGCAGACGTAGCGGTAACTGCGAGGATACTCCACATTCTCTTCAATAAGATTTGGATGAGGAACAAGTACCAAAAGACTAGAAAGAAGGACTCCTGATCAAAATACCGAAAAAAGGCGATCTCAGCAAGTGTGATAACTACAGGGGCATCACTCTTCTCTCAATACCGGGAAAAGTCTTCAACAGGGTATTGTTAAACAGGATGAAGGACTGCGTAGACGCCCAACTTCGTGACCAACAGGCAGGATTCCGTAAGGATAGATCGTGTACAGACCAAATCGCAACTCTACGGATCATTGTGGAACAATCAATTGAATGGAATTCATCACTCTACATCAACTTCATTGACTACGAAAAGGCATTTGATAGCGTGGACAGAACAACACTATGGAAACTTCTTCGACACTACGGCGTGCCTCAGAAGATAGTCAATATCATACAGAACTCATATGATGGATTACACTGCGAAATTGTACATGGAGGACAGTTGACAAAGTCGTTCGAAGTGAAGACCGGTGTCAGGCAAGGTTGCTCACTCTCACTCTTTCTCTTTCTCCTGGTGATCAACTGGATCATGAAGACGTCAATATCTGAAGGGCAGCACGGGATACAGTGGACATCTAGGATGCAGCGGGACGATCAAGACTTCGCAGATGATCTGGCTCTTCTATCGCACACGCAACAACAAATGCAGGAGAAATCAGGAAGAAGTGCTGAAAGTTGGTACGACACACATTGAGGAAATTATCCAACTGTGTCACAAGGCAAGCCCTCACTTGGAATCCTCAAGGCCAAAGGAGAAGAAGAGGAAGACCAGAGAACACATTACGTCGAGAAATGGAGATAGGCATTTTGAAAATGAACAAAAATTGGACAGATTGGAAAGGAAGGTCCAGGGACAGAGTGTGTTGGAGAATGCTGGTTGGGGGCCTATGCTCCATTGGAAGTAACAGGCGTAAGTAAATGAGTAACTAAGTAATAAAATCAAAACTGTTAGAAAGACACAAAACGCTTATTGGTCTATGAAATAACTTCTTTTAAATAAATAATGAATTTTTTGGTGTCATTTAGAAGATGATAAAGTTCATCTCTTCTCAATGTTGTTGAATATATAACTCAGAATTTAATCTAGGCACAGTTTTACATCTGTTCTTATCTTGTTTTAACATACGTTATTCAGTCTATTTATTTCTTTTTTAATCACTCAATCTTCATTGATTTTTGGTCATTACTAATCTGCCTAATATATATTTTGGTTTTTGATCTGAACAATATCGTTATCTTAATTTGTTTGACACATTCCCTATATTAGGTTTATTCTCTTTCCGCACAAGTAATAATCATATATTCGGTAATGATTGGTTCTGAGAGCTACTTACCAGAATTTAATTTTGAAACCTTGACAAATACCATTAAAGCATGTCAGATTTGTATCAGTTGCTTGTCATTTTGATTAGAAAATGTTTTCAAAATTGTTATAACTTGTGAACCTGTGTGCTCTGTATATTGGATAATGCAACGATAGCGCCAATCAAAGAGCAGTGAATCATCGATCGAACCAGTGACGTATAAAACACATACGAGCAGCCTAGAGTCCTTATTGGTCCTGCTTTCCGCCTAGACCAGTCAGTTAAGTCCAGAACACCCATCTCAGCCTCTGCAATATTAACCCTTTATTTCAAACATACGCGGTTTATATATCAACCAGACAGACCACAACGTACGATAAAATATGAAACAACATTTGTACAATATTTAGTTAAAAGTGGGTGTGAATGAAGGAGATAGGAATTAATAGACAGGCCATAACTCAAGAATAGTAAATCGTATAATAATAGTTCATAGGTCAAAATAAAACTCATCATAACAGGGACATGAATATGAACAGTTTAGTTACATAACAATTACACGATAAAAATATGCTCATAGTATTGGTCCATAAATGAATCTCGAAAGTTTCCATTCATTATTCTTATCGGGACATAACAAAAATACTGTGAATCGATTAAAGTTAAACATGTAAACCATTAAATCTTAACTCAATGATCCAAAAGTTATGAGCTCCCAGAAAAACAACCTAAATATCCTGAATTCGATCTTTAGTGAGATTTTGATCACTCACGACTGATTCGAATACTAAGATCAAATAGCTATCCAATGATTCTTCAACTTTAGTGATTGACCACCTAAAATCTATCCATTATATTTAATAAATATTTAAAGCATAGCATAGCATAGCGTTTATAATTCACCTATGAAAACAAAAAAAACATAAGAACATCTACCAACCAATCAGTGATCAGTAAATCACGATACATTATGTCCAATGGTGTCAATGAAATATTTCATATTGCTTAAATTACATTCATATTAACTTGACACTATCATGAATGGGAATTTATTTCATACATAGAGATTATATTTGCTTATTTGTTCCTATCTTAACTAAACAAACAATAAAATGAATCAAAAATCAACTACATTTCAAAAATCAACATTACGTAGAAAAACAATCCATAAACAAAATATTGAAATAGAAAAAACTGATGAATATAATTTTATTCATAGTTATGGTGAAATTCATTTTCCTGGATGTGAAGAACCAGTCAAAGTAATGCATTACTATTGTGTCTATTTATTTGCTTGAAAAAAAAACAGCTTTTAACTGTTGACGAGACTAGAATTCATGGATGAATTAATCATGTATAAGATAAAAAGTTTCGGATTTTGTTGCGACGATGTGCAATGTTAACCGGTATTGGAGATCGTTGAAAGAAAGTTAGGCGCGTCCAAACCAAGACGTGGTATCAGTCCTTGATGTCACTAACATCTAGTCTGAACCATGTTGGTAGATACAGACTCACTTGGTTAGGGTCCGCATGACTATCGGAACCAATGGTTGGAGACTCATGGGGATATGGCTCAGAATCGATCACAATGGCGTAGGTGTATACACTCTCTGTCTTCCCTTAAACTAAGAGGTTAAAATCGCTTCATATCTTTCATCCTGTACTATATCCTCATATGCAATCTTTCCTTTATATATTACCACCATTGAATTAACTACTTCTACGGATCCGGTGTTGATCTTGTTGTGCTAATGCAGTATGGCAACTTGAAGAGTTGCATATATGTGGCTGGTCCTATGTTGTAGCTGACTGACTGACTGACTTTGAAGCGAAATTCACTCATTCCATTTGGATATATAGGTTTTTGGTATTATAGCTGATGTCAATTCGTGATGAAAACCTTGAATCTAATTTCGAATCTTAATTATCAACTCTAAATCATAATTCTAATTCCTTACACAGGTTTATAACCCTCATTTTGATACGTGTTATTAGCTGGACACTCTCAAGGTCAGTCTGGCGTCGTTCAAAGATCGTCCATAAATTATAGTCTCACCTAATCGTCATTGTTATTTTGTTTCATGTGATAAAAAACTAGGTTGTTTTGCGTTAGAGATTGATCGCAGTCTAGGTATTATTACCTTAGTATGATGCTGTAGTTTCGGTTAGCAAGTTAAGCCCACACAGTTTATTCTAGCTTTCGAACAAACCAGTTTATTCGTTCTTCATGAGTCATATTTTGACTTTGTTAATTATTTGCTTATCAACCTTGACTGTTTTTATATGAGCATATGTATATGCACCTCTTATTTCATTCATCATATACCTGTTTCGCTCTTTCCTCTGATTGTTTGTCCAAATCAATGATTGTACAAATTATATGTATTCGAAATCCACTCTCGTATTTGACTTATTTAATTCGGTTCTTCACCAATGTGAGTTAAGTCAATGATAATGTATGAAAATGACCGAAATGTGTACTTCAATGACATTCATACGATATAACTGGAGTCATATATCGGGCCACCAAAGTGGTGAGCTTGTCAACAACATCGTGCTATCTAATTGACTTCAAAAGTGAAGGGTCCCAATAAAGGACTACTCCTCAGTACACACGTATAGACTCATGAGGGCTGAATCTAGGACATGCAAGTCTCGATCTAAACAACTTGGTTCGCAACTATTGGTATCATTTCAACTTCGTTTAATTTGAGTTATAGCGTAGTGATTATCGTTATAGATTGGTTAGATGTTAAGTTAAATAATTATGCGTTATTTTATCGTTCATAAATTTGTATATTTTTGTGAATTTATATCTAGTTGTATCAAATAGACTGGTAACTATTGTTGGTCGTATCTAAGAGATTAAATATATCATATTTAGTGCAGAATAGTAGTTGATTCCATAAGACTGTTATTAATTAATATTATTTGTGAAATTCTACCATACTTACGACAAAAGTGCTCCTACTGATCACAAGTTCGTTCTACTTCATTAGTTCGATTTAGTGCACAATAATAACGTAAACTAGATCTAATTAGTGACCTAGGAATTTGGGAATGATTACGATTCTGAAAAGAGTAAGAACAAACATTCTAGCAGAATAGCATGGATTCATTTTTATTTCGTTGGTTCTCGTCAGCTTACAACCTGTGATATTTAAAATCATAATTACATAATGGGTTTAAATTACTTACATGAGAGGTTTGTTTGGAAGTTATATTGAAGACATGTTCGCATAGTATAGCAAGGGTGTAAAGCAATTTAATAGACTGCATACTGTAAATATATATCTTATGTAAAAGAACATTGTGACAACAGTTCAGAGGGCTAGAAACAAGTAAACTTTGATAAGAATATAGTGAGTAGAGCTCAGTTGATAAAATAAGATTAATAATTTGAAAGATAGTTGAAATAAAACTCGATGATGTGATAAGTGCAAGAAAGAGTTTAAAGAAAAAGAAAAAATACTAAGATGCAGCGAAGGGATATTAGTCACCAAGGCAAGGAAAGATTAATAACCATCTCCTTTTGAATATATAAATCAGGTTTTTGGCGTCTGATAGCAACTGCTTCAGCAAACTTCAGAAGACTGGAGTTTGGCTGTTTATTAATCATCTTGAATGATTGTAGGGTATCGATCTGATGTCCTGTATCAAGGAGATGTTTGGTGATTGCACTATTTAGAGTCTCTCTTTCTTTTGTTCTGAGGCTTTGTAGAACATGTTAAAAAAATCTGAGATACGCTCTCCTTTCAGTTCGGCCAATGTAGCTGCTTTGGCAGGTACACGTAAATTTATGAATACAATTGGCGGTAACATGAAAAGGATGCTTATCAACCTTTGATGAAGTTATTGAACATGTTGTTTTATACAGAATAAGAAGTTTGGCCGCCGGATAAGTTCTGGCTAGCTCAGTATTTAGTCTCCTGTTGATTGTGTTTGCAACATCAACACCTTTGAAGTTAAGATTTATAGTTATTGGTTTTCTATTGTTTTCTTCACGCTTTTTATATTTGTCAATAAACTTTTGTGGATAAAAGTTGTCTCGTAGGCATTTTTCCACGTTCATCAATTCTTCTTCCAGTTTGTCAGTGGTACATATCCTTTCTGCCCTATAACATAGTGTTTTAACTAACGCCTTTTTGCAACTGAGTGGACAAAAACTATTGAAATTCAGATAGAGACCATTTCAAGTACTTTTTTGATAAAGCGAACGTTGGATTGTCCCGTCTCTCCTACGTTTTATAGCAACATCAAGAAAGTGGAACATGTCACTCTGTTCGTGTTCTATAATTATTTGTATGTTAGGATGAGCATTACTGATTATGATTCTGTTGAATAGTAATGGATTAGTTCACTTATTTTAAAATTTCATTAATATTGTTAAATAGAGTTTGATCTTTAGTAAGTGATTGTCTCATTTATTAAGTTCATTTGATTTATCAATGTACTGAAAGGTATTTTACATCTATCTAGCTTATATTCATTTGGTACTAATGCACCATTTACAAACTATGCTAATCTCCATACAAATTAATTAGAAAATAAAAATTCTATTAAAAATCTGTATTTTCAAAGAAGATGTACATTTTATGATCAGTAATAATAATAATAATAATAATAATAATAATAATAATAATAGGTCAGTCAGTCAGCTACAATGTAGGACCAGGCATCTATATGCATCGGTCCAAGTTGTCATACCGCATAATAATAATGATAATAATATATAATATTATGGAGTATACAATCATTCTAACAACGGTGAGAATAACGTTAGGGTTTTTGTTTGGATGACAGTGATAACAACTTAGAAATATTATGAAAGATGTTTAAGCTAACTACTAAATTTTATTTAATTTCGATTTACACATTCAGTTAACCATGGATTCTAAATATCCTAAATCTATTTGTTTTTCGGCGAATTGTTCGTTTATAAACTTCCCTGGATAACTATTCCCCTTAGAGTATTACATAAAGCATTTGTTTCTTCCTCGAATGTATTTGTAGAGCATATGGTTTTAATTTTATAGTAAGGAGCTTTCATCAGATGCATTTTATGATATTGGAGAGGAATAAAACTATGATAGTTTATGTATTATCCTAATCAAGTACGTTTCTTGTTCTGGTTTCTTCCTATTGATTAGTTTACTCTCTTTCTAGGAGGGTTATCCTACCACTATTTCTTTCCTTGACTATGAAATTAGTATATAGATAAACTTTATTAAGTCCTCTGAGAGTCTAAAACCTACTAGTATGACCTCTATAGGGGATAAAATATGTTATACACATATTGTATGTAATATTGAGAAGCTTTCAATGTTCAGTACAAGAGGCCAGTAATCTGGTCTTGCCAGGAAACTGTTGGCTAACATGGGACCCAGTTGCCAACTTACTACAATTCCGTTTAATTGTTTGTTTAGTTTTTACATTAAATGTGAAATTTACATGCAGATAACATTTTATTAATAATTCTCTAAGTAAATCTACAAAGATCCAAGTATTTAATTTCGTTTGTCTAATCTGGTCATCATTTACGAAAATCATTGCCTAGTACACAACTAATAATTTATAACTTCAGATATCTAACATAAAAGAATGTTATATTCTATATCGAATAACTCAGACTAGTTGTTTTATTCCAATGCAGTTGATAGAAATCAATCAGCATTCACAGACTAGACAGTGATCAATCTGATTTTTAGTCTTACAAGCAAGTTACCGCTCAGATAGTTCAATAGCAACGTTACTACTTTTGATTATGAATGATCTGAGTTCAGACTCTATAAAGAGCGTCAATACCCTCAATATTGTGGATGATTCTTGTTGATGAATGCCAACTAGCTGGAAACTTAGAATGTTTCTATATATTATGAGTTAACTCTTTATATTTTATACCAGTAATAGACTCTTTCTAAGGTCAGGTTTGTTTCATCAGTCTTACTTAGGATTAATATCGAACAGTAGATTATCGATAAGCTAATATAAGATTGAAAACGAATTTAGTTATGTATTATTTATAAACACTTGTAAATTGTGCTCGGAATGCAAACACGGCTGAGGATATTTTGTTAATATAAAAATAAACACATCGACCAAATAGTACACTCAATGATAATAATCACATACAAATCAGAGAGGAGATTAGATCTATCCAAAAAAAAGAAATTTTGTTACCTCATATTAAGACAGAACTCTTATTGATCTCGAGAATGGAGTTGATTACATATGGCTTCCTGTAGTGATGTGAAGATTATCAGAACTATGTGATATATTAGAACAATACATTTCGAACAATCTGACCACACACATACTTGTTATGAACATTTATATATGAAAATGAAAGGTTAACTAGACTGGAAATGCGGTAATAGCAGACAAAAATAATAATAGGAGTAATAATAATAATAATGTGAACACAATTTGAAACCTAATCACTCTGGATGATAAGCCAATATTACCAGATGAGGACAAACTGTTTTTGAATACACAAAGGGGGTTTGAATTTTCGTATGGCTAAGGTTTCAATAAACCTTAGTATACACTCTTTTGCACTTTTATGCAACACAAAAATGCCGAGTTAAGATCAATCTTATGGCCTGTTTCGATTATATGTTTAGCAACAGATGATGGTGATTGCTTATCCTCTACTCTTATTGGGTCATCTGATTTTATTTGTTTCTGCAACCATTTTGGTGCATGTTCAAACACCCTAATTTTGAGATCATGATTGCTCCTCCCTGGGCATATGTGATCAAACACACATTTAAATTGGTAAACACAGTAAGATGTGACACAATCGTTTTCATGTCTTTTAGGTTTGGGATAAAGCATGCACCTTGTTCTTTCTTTGATAGTGACCTTTGCTGCGCAATACGTTTTGTTGATGACTGATTTAAGCCTTTGTTTCAATAAAAGGCTATTTGAATCACCTCTAAATGATAAAGTGATGTAGATAGGCTTTTTTGCCAAGGCTATTGTATGTCTCACTATACCATGAACTTTCCATCTGTTTACGAATTTCAGAGGATAGCCACTTTCCATTAATGTTTTATTTAGCAACCTAACATTGTCATTAATGGCGTCATCTGTACAAATACGATCGAGCCTATTGAATAGGCACCTTATCAAACCCCGTTTGTATTGCACGGGGCAATAACTATAATAACTAAGGTATTGACCTATCCACGTTGGTTTTCTAAAAATGGATCGTTTGATTGAGCCATTTTCTCGTCTAATTAGAAGTATATCCGAAAAAAAATAGCCAGGTTAAGGGCAACGTATATCGTTTAAAGTATGTGAATTTAGGATTGTTAAACAAAATAGAATAAAATTGTTCATGTTGATATGACTCAGATAGAATGTTAACTTGAACCTGCGTATATGTTAAGTGAAATTTAAGATCCATGATCAGAATAAATATGGGTCAGATAGAGTGAGAGAAATAATAGTACAATTACAATCCGGTCATCTGTTTAGTGAAAAGCTATATTGTATGAAAAATTAATAAGAGAAGGGGTTTTGTGGAGATTTTAGACTCATGAATTCAACTAATGAAATTTCTAAAATTTCCACAAAACTCCTTCTCATAATAATCATCTGCTCATTAGTGACTGACTTCAAGAGGCATTTCAAGGAGTTCTAGTGAGAAGCCGTTACCAGTGGAGTCCAACTGGGTTTGTTGTGAGATATCATCTCACTGAAGACAACGGTGTACGGTGGCGCAACTTCGTGGATTGATTGAAGTTAAACATTAACACCGTTGGATGCCGGCTGATGATTTCAACTAGTGAAAAATTAGTAAGACTTAATAAGGAGAGATAAATGCAAAGTGAATGAATCATGTATAGGGGAGATTAATAATGATGTTTAACCAGTAATAATAATAATAACAATAATAATAATAATAATACAAAGATTTGTGAATAAAGATAACAGAGACAATTACAATTGACTACGAAAGGTCGTAGTTATATTAGGTCATTGACCTTGATGTTGGCCAGGGGAGGAGGAGTGGTTGAAGATATTTCTTCTATACGCACAGCTCCGATTTTTTCATCCGGATGGCTACTGCTTCAGCCGTTTAAAGGACTTCAAGTCTGAGAATTTTTGGCAAAAATTACTGACCTTATAAATAAATGAAAAAGATTGGTTTATACGGGCACTATGACCATTTTGTACTAAATGTGCCAATATCGAGCTGTTCACTTTCTTCATCATGCGTTTGTTTAGCCACACTGGGAGGTGTTCACGACAGAACGATTACCCGAGAAAGTTTATAATTAAATATATGATCACAAAGGTGTAAATAGGTGGAATGTAAACGGTGAAGAAGAAATCGCTGTTTATACGTCTACAATTCAGAGGGAATGCGGCTAGTGAAATATTATTCAGAGATTACACAGGACAATACAAAAATCTTTTAACGTCGGAGAACTGTGATTAGTGTTTTCTACGCGTCCAATGATGACACCCAAGGCTAAAAAAAATCAATTACCTAGAATGACCATCTCTTTTTGTATTTATCAGTTTGACTGCTCCCGTGGAACGAGTTATATTGGTCGAAGTTCTAGGGAATTTACATTTTCGTACTCGTACATAATAATAGTAAATCTTTATAAAATAAATCCTTGTCAAGTTAAATAACTAAAACATCATATTTGTTGTCAGTTGGATTATGATAATTATATTCAACATTCAATATTCTTCTTGATTATTTCCAAACATTTAAATAAATATAAAGCGGTTTCTTCAAATTTTAATCTTACAGAATATAGAATATCTATGTATATACATAAATAATCATAGCAATAATCATATTTTATGTTACAGTAAGCTTTGGTTTCTTTCTCTTTTTTTTTGTTTAAAAAATAAAGTATCCAACATTAAAAAAATATTTAGTAGTTAACGCCCTAAAGTTTCTTTATTTTTTTTTTTTTACTTTTTTAAAAAAATTCACTTACTCAATAATGAACTCAAATGAATAGAGGTAGTTTATACAGGAAATCAGATTTACTATTCTGATTACAACTTCCGGACTGTTATACGGAGATATATGTATATGTATATATGTAGACATAATATTGCAGTGTAATTACAGAATTACAGTAGTAGTGCATATTATATATATGTACGTGTGTATATTTGTATAGTAAGGTTTAATTCACCGTTAATAAATAATTCAGGAAATTTTTGTTACGAAGTTATTTCAACATTGGTCTTATACAATTTAATATTGTGTATTTTTATTTCTCTTATTCATTTGTAAAGAAATTGACTACATATAATATTGACTAGTGTCGACAACTTCAGAGAAAGTGAAAGAGGGAGTTAGATAGAGAGAAGCAAAGAAGATTGAAATTATGGGTTTATTGTCCTAGTTTCATTATTGATTAAGCTTGTAAAAAATTGTGAATGTAATGAATATTACTACTAGTTAATTAGTTAAAGGTTAATGATAATTACGTTGGGGTTTGTTTTGTTTGTTTGTTTTATTCTTTTTCTTTTTTCAGACATTTATTTCCCTATGCATAGTGATATCTTTTACTTGTTTGCAAAAATTAACAAATTTTCATACAGATTATTCTATGTTTATAGATGTAAAGCAAAATAAGAATGATAATAATAATTGAATGTTTCAGTCTTAAACTATAATATTATTAGTGTACGAATAGTACAATTATGATTTTGATGTGATAAGATGGTGGTTGATGGTAGTCAACAAGAAGTCTAGGACCCGTATTTCGTGTTATTTGGCACTCGTAAGCAAGGTGTACCTGTAATCTTGAGGGATTAGATCCCGTTTTATCCAGCTTCACAGTCAGAGATGTTACTACTGGGCGGTGATCAATCAATGTTGAGTTACCTAGACTAATGGCCACATTGCAACTTAGTTGATTGTATTCGATCTACACTAAGAATGATCTGATAGTCATGACATTGATCACCACCCAATGACTAATCAATTGTGAATTATTTTGATGTGATCGCTGACATGATTTTTGCTATTCATTGCAGTGATACTTATAATATAATTAGCAAAAATAAAAGTTATTAAAATTTGAATGTAATAAACCTTCCTTGATATGATGTGCTGAAAAAAGGTGGTTTTCTGTGATTACAGAGAATTTTTTTTTCAGAATTTATATTAATCAGTGAGTAATTGTGGAAGCTGACCAATAAGTAAAATTTAGAGTTTGTATAAATAGTTGAGTTCCAGATGGTGGTTGGAGGTAGTCGACAAGAAACTCTGGACACGGGTTTCGTGCTACTTGGCACTCGTCAGCAAGGTGTACCTGTAATCTTGAGGGAACTGGTGCCCCCTGGCGGATTCGATCTCGTGTCACCCAGCTTCACAGTCAGAGACGTTACCACTGAGCTACCAGAGCCGCCACCGAATTTCATAGTGTACATCATAAAATGATCTTAACTATAAAAACCCGTTAGAAACTAGGAATTACTGGACAGCTGTTTCTTTCTAACATTGAGAATTCACGAATACACCACAGATCGAACCTGTGATATTCAAGTCTTTCAGAAAGTGACTAGCCTCTAGACCACTAAGCCAACATCAGAAGGTTCATACATCTGGCTTTTATGAACCTTCAATATTTTATGGCTATTGTCCAATATCATTGTTTGGTGGTTTCAAACTGTTAGAGAACAGCATACTACAACAAAATAGTTACTGAATACTCTCTGCTTTACAATGTTTTTAAACAGTTAAGAATGGTCTGTAATGAAAACTATTGAGTGAGTTCATTTGAATATTTTTCATAAAGTTTTTGCATACTTTTCCCGCGTGCGGGACCGTGGATGTGCAATGGTCAGGGGTCCCACACTAGAATGAAACGGCCATCCAGTGCTTCCAAGTTCTCAATAGTGGTCTAACATTGATCGATTCATTATCTCAATCTCCACAACCCCATTACTGATATTTACAACAAAACATAGTCTAATTGCTCTAGAGTCCTGTTTTCAAATAATGGAATTTTAGTGTTATATAGATTTGAGAACAGACGTTCAGAAGTTTGTGTTCGTACTGATTTTAGTTTGCTTCTGTACAATCCTAATAGAATGACATTTATCTAATATATTTTAACGTTGTATTTTATCAATATTTTGATTGCTAAGTTCGTAATAAAGATATAATCTTAAATATTCATCACGAGGTACACACTTTATATATATATGACATATTTTTGCCTTTTTCAATAGTATGTTCGTACAGATCAACGGAACACTCAAGATCAATGGAAGCGTATTTTAACTGAAAAATGGAATTTGAAACCACCAACATTAATTATCAGTATTCTTAGTTCACATGCTGAATTAACTAAACGTTTTAAGAACACACTGAAAAAGGGTTTATGGAAAGCAGCTGAAGGTTCAGGTCAGTGATGGATTTTATACCAGAAGATATACTATGAACATTGATAATGAATATTTACTGCAATAGCTTTTTTTAACGGGATGCATTTGATATTTGTTTCATCCTAGCATGTGACTCGTTTGTACTTGATATTCAGAACCTTGTCAAGGATTAAACCTTGGAAACTCTAATCTTGCAGCAATCGGGTTGAATAATTTTAGAAAAGAGCATGATCAGCAATTCTTATAGGAAACTAAGTTTATACTGTGAAATATTTCATGATCAGTATTAAAGAGAAAGGAGTCAGGGAAGTCCTACTCACTGCCTTCTCGCGGCAGAGGTGTTGTTTACGAAAGTGAAAGGACAAAAAGCGAATATTCGGTGCTTTAACCGGGTCGGGGGATATAAGGTGTACATGCGTTCTAGGAACCGGAGGGAATAAATGGCGTATGGACCAATCTTTGGTCACCGGTTACCATGGGACTGTATCTCCTGACGTTGCTCCACTACCTTGTGGATCAGACCTTTAGGTCAAAGGCTCCGAATGTTGCCCCCTAAGAAAACCACCTGCTTCAGTCTGGGCACCCGGTCAGTATCACAGCCCACACACAAACCAAGTAACGTGTGTAGCGCATATGTATTCGGTGTCTCTTTGTACCAATATTTGTGTTGAAATAAATAAATAAATAAATAATAAAGTCATTTGGTTGCACTGTCTAAACTTATCAAGAAAGTTAATTGTATAGTATTTCTTAACAAAAAAATTCACAGATTACAGTGACTTTAAATTCATAGTGTAGTGAACGAGAAAACAACAGGGGACAATCGAGTATATTGAAATACAAAATTACAGAACCCCTTAATAAGATTTGTGAACCATACAGTGGATACTTCATTTAAAAAATATCAGTCAGTCGTCTCAGACCTCATTGTTCCTTCGTTTACACACCAATCATTCTCTGTTCCCGTTTTCTTCTTTAAGATCTTAACCTTCTGCCACCACGTATTTCTTTTATAAATGATGATACACACTACTTATATCTATCGACATCAGTAGCACACACCACAATAGCATACAAACATCATGACGGGAATGTGACTATGCAGTCAGTGTCTTTTTTTCTTCATAACTAGTGTGACGTTGACATTATATAACTTCACTGGTCGACATTCCTCAATAATTTTAGTCCAATTAACTTCCCAATACGACATATTTATACCAAAGTTTCTAGAAATTTATCGTACACCAAACCATCAATATGAATCAGTGAATACTTATCAAAAATTTCATCTATTCTTCTGGAATAAATTCAGTGATTGAGGACGGAGATATGATGTGCAATGTGCTACCTTTGATATTTACTAAAACATGTTAAGTACATTTTATGGGCTTTAATTTTTAGTTTTGTATATACATCTACTAACTTAGAGTAACTACAATCTTTTTTGTATTATCCTTTGACTTTCTTTTCAATGTTAATTTGTCTATGAATAGTTTTGTAAGTAAATAAATTAAGTTCATCATCTTATTGCGCATATATATTTCGGTAAATTTCATTACATTCAGGATGTTGGATTATAACCGATGGTTTTGATCATGGTATGACAAAAGTTGCAGGTGAAGCGGTACGTGATTACACTGAAGCTTATGGAAATGATCATATGATAATGGTTGGTGTTGCGCATACTGAACGAGTGACTTATCAAGAATTATTTGATTTAGCTAATCATAATGTAAGTTGAAATTATTAATTACTGTTAATAATATTCCTCTTGATGATTCTAACAATGTTATTTAGATATTTATGTATTGATAGCTTAGTGACTAATATACTCAGCCTATAACTTATAAGACGTAGGTTCGAAGGCGAATCTATTTGTTTTGCTGTATATAGCCAACTAGTATTACCATCCTTCTCACAAACTGTGCTGGTCAAATCTAATCACATTACCTTGACTTGACGTCTGAGTTTAAAAACAGTTGACACATGATGCCTTTATGATGTAAGGAATGTCCACTTAATTACCAGGGCCAAATGAGAATTATAAATCTGTGTGAAGAATAGAGATTATAATTCACAATTAGTGGTTGGGGTTAGGAATTTGATTTAGGGTTTTCATCACGAATGGACATCAGCTAAAATGCCAAAACGCTATTTAGACAAATGGGTAAATGAATTTGGCGCCAAAATTCAAGACTTGCTATCTTGTACCTGATTGATTCATCCATAAACTACAGTCTCGCCGTTATTTTAATATTTGCTCATTCTTTATTCATGATCAATGAGTATAAGTTTTCGTTTCAGAAAGAAAGCACTAGTGATCATTCCTTTTTTAAAATTAATTTTAGGTAAGGAGTAAAGATATTTCTTCAAATGTATTATATCCAGATCCTTTATCTGATGAAGAAACCGATGATATTACTAATACAGCAACTACTTCAATGGAAGCAGATCTATGGCAATTCAATGAATCCGGTCAACAAATTGATAGTTCTGTAATTAAATTATCTAATAAATCACTGACTAAAACAAAAACGTATCGTTTAAATTCAAATCATCAATTTTTAATACTTACTGATCCAATACTTAAACAAGAGCAAACATTGGAAGATCGACTATTAGAAACTCGTATTATGTTAGAACGTACTATAATAACATGGGCAAAAGTATGTGAAGAAAGTTGATTATTACTAGTTTTATTCAATGCTATATTAAACCGAATAATTTATAGTATGTTTTTATTATGAATTGATATCATTAAGAATATTACTGATAATAAAACATACTAGATAAATATATCACTCTGTTTTGGAACTTTACAATAGTGTACACCTACAACGTTCCTGATCTATAAGCCTAGAAAATTTAAGGATCTCAATCGGTAAATTACTTTTGAATATTACTTTTGATATTGTGTAATATCAGAACGGGTTTTGTGGAGATTTTAGAAATTTTTACTGATTGAAATCATGAGTAAATTGAAGCTAGACCACCATGTAAAACCTAGAAGCACTGGACGACCGTTTCGTCCTAGTACGGCACTCCTCAGCGGTGCGCGTGCACGATCCCGCACCCCGAGAGATCCGAACTCGAGGCCTATGAGTCTCGTGCCAGGCGCTTAACCAACTAGACCACTGAGCCGGCATCCAACGGTGTTAATGTTTAACTTCAACCAATCCAAGAAGTTGCGCCACCGTACACCATTGTCTTCAGTGGGCTGATATCTCACAACAGACCTGGTTGAACTCCACTGGTAACGGCTTCTCACTAGAACTCCAGGAGTATCTCTTGAAGTCAGTCACTAGTGAGCAGGTGATTATTATGAGGGGGAGTTTTGTGGAAATTTTAGAAACTTACACTGATTGAAATCATAAGTCCATTGAAGCTAGACGAACATGGAATAATCATTAAAAGCTATCCATGTCAAAAGTATCATGATGCTTCATTTTTTATCAGTTCGTACGGAATAAACCGTTTTTATAAAGCCTTTCATCTGTTAAAAAGTGACTGGACTAAAAATAAACATTATTGGCTTTATTCAATATTATATTCTTGTTACAATATAGAATTCTCAGCATAAAGTATTTCAACAAGTTTCCATCTCTTATTTCTTTGTCGATCCTGACGATAAATATTGATCGATCGCCAGTTAGATGTTAACAGTCCAGTAAATCAACATCTAAAGTATGTACATTCTTTTCGCTGAATATTGCCATCAGAAACGTACCTGAATGGGTTATGCAATTAATAAACATAATGATGTATTAAAACAAAAAAAATTAGATAACTTGTTGAAATATTTAGATGGCAGGAACAGGTAGCTTGGATGTCCAAGCAGGCCAAGTGATCAAAATCACTTTAGTTAACAATTTATCCAATCGTAGGACAGTTCAGTATAGACCATTCAATCATTCTTTCATTGCAACTTTAGGTTGAGTTGAACTTTATATAAAGAGTGATATCTATGCTAAATATTAATTTTCCACATTCACAGACCAAATACTAATATTTATAGACAATATATAGACAGATTTTTATTCATTTGAATGGAAGGTTCATCTATTATCTGGTCTATATCATCAGTGGTCAGAGAAAGAGAGAGAGAGAGAGATCGTTAGTATTACTCCTTAAACCCATGAATCACATTATATAATCATGTCTTGTTCGGACAAAGGGTAGATAGTAGATAATATATTCCAACCGCTGAGCTTATTTAGCTCGAATGTAACATCATGACAAATTATCAGTTTTTGCTAAAGTGACTTATTATAAGTAATGATATAGAAGGATATATTAAGGTAGTTAAAATAGGAATAATATTTCACATTGTTTACACGATTGGTGAATAAATTGACTTAGAGAATTAAGGAGGTTATAAAGTCTATTTTTATCTACAGACTTTATTCAGTTGGCCAAATACTACTTATGTTGTGAACAGGACATCAGTGGGTCAATCGAATGTATCTGACACAAAATTACAGGACTTGCTAATAAAATCTAACAATCATGAAGTAAATGCTTAATTTGCAAAATGTCCACCAATTGTCACAAAATGACTCAGACTTCATTGTTCTTGCATGTCCATACAAATTGCATTCTGTTTCCATTCTTTACTGTTCGATCCTCTTGTCTCTCTGCTGTTAGACCTTCTGTTCACGACTAACATCATATACTACTTATGTCAATATAAGTAGCACACGACACACTTATATTACTGTTTCGAAAGTATATAGACATTTTATTATTATTATTATTATTATTATTATTATTATTATTATTATTACATTTTAGCCATCTTCACGTTCCACATGTGAGGGTAGTGGTTCAGCAAAGACCAGTAGCCAGTCGATATTAAGTAAAAATAAAAAGTTAAGGAAAAAAGTAAGTGAAACTTCTGAAATTCGGTACTCATTATTACTATGATAAAAAGATTATTTGATACTGCTTTTTTTATTCTTAGACAAAAGGTTTTGTGAGAATTCTAGTAATTTAATAGTTGAATTCATCAGTCAATTAAAGCTAGATCACGATGGAATTCTTAGGAGCACTTGACGGCCACTTCGTCCCATCATAGGACTCCTCAGCAGTGCCCATCCATGATCCCGCCGGCGGAGTTGGAACCCAGAGCCTATCGGTCCTTTATTTCACGTAAATCACCAGACTTAATTGATCGATGAAGCTCGATCAGCACTAAAGGATTAGACAAACATAATGCTGATCATTATTGAACCATTAATCAGTTTTAATTACTTTAATTGCATAGAAGGTCAGTCGTGAGATTGTAGTAGCTGATACGTCAAGCCCACGTAGGTTACTCTAGCTTCTAGACAGGCCAATTTGTTCATTCATCTCAAGCTACATTTTGATCTTGTCACTTATTCGTTTATTAATCCTAACTGTTTTTATTCAACTGTCCGTTAATTGCTTATCCCATTTCCTACATGTCTGTAACTTATTTTTGATCTCACTATAAATATTGAGTCATGCTTCGTTGAATCGAGTTAATTCACTCTTAGTCTCTACTGCGCATTATTTCGTTTCGCTTCACTCTCTCCTTTTTGCTTCTGTCGCTTCGTCTCGCTAATCGTGTGTTCAGATCAGTGAGCGTATAAAATATATGTATTTAAACTTCATGCTCGTATTTTATTCCATTGTTCTCTAACGCGAATTGAGTCGATAATTGTATACGAGGGTAGCTGGGACGTGCACTTCGACGACAAATATCCTACGATCCTACTGGAGTCAGATAAAGTGCCACAAAAAGACGAATAACATAATGGTAGCGTCTGAGACTATGATATTGGATGACACATGTTTGATTCTCACATGGTGCATCATTTCTTTCAAGATTGTAGATACTCATCATTATCTAGTGTCAAGTACTACGACATCAGGGTTAAACAGGTTTTTTTGTTGAATAACTCCAACCACCTAAATGACTTGGCTGTACCAGACTGGTGTTCAGTTCACAATTATTGTTTTATAAAAATATCTGTGATAAAACTTTAATTTAGGTTTAAAAATTATCAACACACATTACTAAATCATGTTCCATTATAATTCATTTCAAATGAGCGCTTTGATTCCGTCAAGTAATTTTATCTCTGATTGTGGAATCAGTTGAAATATGAAATGAAATGAGGTATATATTGAAGCTACTCTTATGGCTTGCTAAGCAGTTGCAAACACTAAATTTGATTTTGACCGTTAAAAGTGTAATCATGTAATACAATGGACTATAATTTGTGATTTCATGAATAGAATACTGATTTTGTAGGAAAGCATCTACGTCCTAAGAATAAACGGTATATATGTATAGGACGATGGATAACTTTGACATGAAAAGTGAAGATTAGTAGTCGATGGAAAGAGAGGTCAATTACAAGAAACATTTCGGTATGTGGTGTAAACATTGTATTATTTTTCGGAACAAATACTCTAGTTACTACAGCTCATTATCCAAGTTATTATATCAACCTATATTTTAATTTACAACGTACTATTTCTAAGCATCCATATGTAAACACTTTAAAGTATTGACCGAACTGTAGCATGGTTAAATTTTCCCTACATTTTCACCAAAAAACCTACTTATTTTAAATCATTTTATTTACCAAGTACTAACAACATTTCTCATATGAAGAGTTGGTTGCCTAAACACAATTTTGTGCAACAGGGTTCGATCCCATTACGTATTTAGTTAAAAGCCAGTTATCATAAACAACAATCCACTTAGATATTACAGTGATTTTTTGTTTTATTCTTCTAAAATTGTTCATTTAAGGAACAAAAATTTAAAGGCACAGAAGAATCTCCCCTTCCAATTATAACCGTTACTCCAAGACCATCTGCTACACTCCCATCATTAGCTGATGGTCTTATAGGTCAAACAATTAGAAGACAAAGTCACTTGTATACACGTTCACAAATTGAGAAGAAAACAGGAGTTAAAGATTTATTTCAAAAGAATGAGATAAATGAAAATCAGTCGGTTGATAAAGAAATCAATATATTACAGAATATATCGCAGGATGAACTTAATTCAACTAGTCAAACAACTGCTCGAGTTCCAATATGTGGAATAGTTGGAGGTGGAAATACTGCTACATTAGATCAAATTTATGCTTCAGTGACGTTGAATCGTTGTCCAATGGTACTTGTTCGAGTAAGTTATGATGTATGTCGTTGCCGATGAAAATGAATCAATTTCACATACTGGAGCGTTTAAGATAATCACCTTACAAAGATAATCATTCTGATGAAATTGGTATTTATAAGTTTACCTACTTCAATGTTCTCCAGATGTAATATAACATACTTTTCAGTATCAGATTTTAAGATGACTGATGTAGTCTTATATAAACTGAATTCTCTATAATGCAAACTGCATACCGTATTTCATAATATAAATCACGATGTATTGTAATTTTATAAATCTAAACCACTGGATTAAATTTCATTTAGACATTGTCAGTGTTTTATTTCTAATACTCTAACAGGTTTTTTAGTGTTTGACTTAAAAAATTTAGTCATGTAGAACTAAGCAACTATCAAAAACACTCAACAATGCTAGCATGTTTGTGATGCGATTCTTCCCGTCGAAATGCAAGATGTTGCTTCAGGATTGGGTTACATCGACACCCGAACTAGTGATAGAGAGTGAAGTAGTTGAGTGTGTCGACCGCTTCACTTATCTTGGAAGTCTCATCAGCCCTTGTGGTTTGGTGTGTGACGAAATCTCAGCACGGATACAGAAGTCTCGATTAGCTTTTGCTAAATTTCGTCATTTATGGCGTAGGCGAGATATCTGTCTATCAACCAAAGGACGTGTTTACTGCGCAGCAGTTCGTTCCGTCCTACATTATGGAAGTGAAACATGGACGGTAAGAGTAGAGGATATTCGTAGGTTACTAGTATTCGATCATAGGTGTCTTCGAAATATTTCTCGTATATCCTGGGACCATCGAATAAGTAATGTAGTTGTTAGGAAACAGGTACTTGGTAAGGATGGTGGGTGTAAACTACCTGGTTGGGGACCACGAGATGATAGCAACCGATGATTAGAAACTATGAATAACATGGCTCAAAATCGTTTGCAATGGCGCAAGTGCATCCACTCTTTGTGTTCTCTCAAATTCTAATCTTCTGAATTCTTCATGTCCCTTTATTTCCTCTCCCAAATTTATTTCACTGTATTATACTCTTTGAATAACATCTTCAAGCCCTAATCTTTCGGATTACTACTTATGCTCTTACTACCTCTACCACTACGGAATTTGAGTCGATACCTGCATCTCTATGCTAATGTGGTGTGGCAACTCGAACTGATGTACGTACGTACGAAGTTCTACATTGTTACTGACTGACTGACTGATCAAAAACAATTATTATTCAATAGATTTTTTCCGACTGATTTGGAGCTTTGATCTATCTGAAAACTTACATACTCATTAGTTTATGTGACAAGTTGCTTGGTCTGGGTAGATCAGTTTCTTATAATCTGTATTCAGGTGTTAAAAGCATGTACTGACTATAAGTAAGACAGAATACATTATAGAGAAGTTAAAATAAAAGACATTTTAGAGTGAATGTGACTAATAATTACTGTGAAACTATAGTATGACCAAACGTGAAGTAATTTGATCTTGTATTGAGGTCACATTATATCACTAAATCCTAGTCACACAACCACCACCCACCCACACATAGGTATCAGAATTCAATAAGTTGAACATATATAAGATATTTTATCCGTCAGTAGTCGAACTAACTTGATTGTATATTGTGTGCATAGAGATAATGTGGTGTGTGCTACTTATATTGACATAAGTAGTATATGATGTTAGTCGTGAACAGAAGGTCTAACAGCAGAGAGACAAGAGGATCGAACAGTAAAGAATGGAAACAGAATGCAATTTGTATGGAAATGCAAGAACAATGAAATCTGAGTCATTTTGTGACAATTGGTGGACATTTTGCAAATTAAGCATTTACTTCATGATTGTTAGATTTTATTAGCAAGTCCTGTAATTTTGTGTTAGATACATTCAATTGTCCCCACTGGTGTCCTTGTTCACTGCAATAGCGCTTTCAATCCCCCAATCATATTTATCTATTCAGCTAGTAATTGATTAAAAATGCACTGGATTGCAATTTTGATGGAATTAATTTTTGTGAGTAGATTATCATTTCAATTATGAGCTAAAAATTCTATGATCTCTGCAAACTCTTTTATACTAATCATAGGAGATAAGTTCTGACGATGGTGATACATTAATGTAAGTTGAATGATGAGTAAATAATTGTTATCCGATGTTTACAGATCATGCTTAGCAGATATATTAGTCAGTTATGCACCGCTTGAGGTAGGGTTACTGAATAGATAAAATTAGAATATTTAGTCAGTCGAAAATCACTCTGAATTAGTATGCAAGAATTACAACTCAGCAAAATGATTTGTATGGGAATATTGTTAATTATTTAGTCATGTGTGTATATTTTAAGAATAAATAAGAAATAAATCAGGATAAATTAACTGTAGGGTGAAATTAATTTTCTTTGCCTTCAACCATTTGACATCTCACGGTAGTTCATAACGTATTAAGTCTTTGAAACTAGAGGACAAACTGCAATTCGTTTGATGAACATTAAACTACACTTAATGATTTAACAGATATGACATTGACCACTAATTGGTTATTAGTCAGTCTAATTATTTCAATACTAAAGGTGGTTGGTTGTGTCCCAAATAGCTCAGCAGTAATGTCTCGGACTATGGAATAGGGTGATGCACATTAGAATCACACATGAAGCATGGTTTCTCTTAACAGTGAAGGGTGGTGCACCTGGCTAATAGGGACCAAGTTTCACGAAACTTAGGTCAATGATTTACTGTCAAATAACTCCACCCAATCAACAGTTCAACGTAGTGTAGTTAACGCTGTATCACTCAGATTATTGGCTACTTGACATCTTGATCGATAGAATAGATCTGGTAAAAATGTCCCACAAATATCATGTAGGTTTTAGCTTCAAAATCCATTTATCCCACTCTTTATTTATAATTAAACCAAGCGAACATTTTTTTATTAACTGGTCCATACAAGCACAGATACTTCTTCAAACTAGATGCAAACACTAAGTAGTATCCTGTTTTTAATTTCGTATCGGACATACATTATTTCTTAATGAAACTAACATCGATTTATTCAATCATCAGAGTTAATGATATCGTTTACCAATAAGATGAGTGTGACTGTTACGTTGTAACCAAGAATCGTTCTTCTTGTGGTAATACATTATAATGATTATCAATTTGGGTCTTTAAGTTTAGACTTGAATTTGTATATACATACAGGAATTCATACACGTAAACACTTTTCTACAGATGCAAATTTACTCGAAAAAAATGGACATCTTATATGAAGTATTCATAATGTGAAACTTATCATCTTTCAATAACGAATAGAATTCATTTAATATTGTATATTTAAAGTGTGTATTCAAATTATTACTAAGCTACAAATCTATTGAATCCATTTGAAGATGATAATATCAAAAGGAAACAAAACAGTAAAACTTTGTTGGGTTTATTCTTGATTACATTCCACCAAAACCATTTGTAGGGATAATATCAAAAAATGAGCATAATAAATTTCCGCATGTTATTTGAACGTTAAATAGAGAGTTTTTACTTGAAATCCTATGTATGAAATCCGATATTTTCCTAAAATAATTTTAAATCATAATACTTTTGGTCACTTTCATATGTATTTATGCATGAACTCATTAGTTGTGGCCAAACCAAAAAGTGGTAACAGTCCTTGAAATCACTAACTTCTGGTCTGAACCATGTTGGTAGATACAGACTCACTTGGTTAGGGTCTGCATTGACTATCGGAACCAATAGTTGGAGACTTTTGGTGAAATGGCTCAGAACCCATCACAATGGTGTAGGTGTATACACTTCCTGTCGTCCCATAAACTAAGAGGTTAAAATCGCTTCATATCTTTCTTTCTACCAACTAAATCTTTCATCCTGTACTATATCCTTATATGCAATCTTTCTTTTATATATTACCCCCATTAAATTAACCACTTCTATGAATCCTGTGTTGATCTTGTTGTGCTAATGAGGTATGGCAACTTGGACCAATGCATATATGTGGTTGGTCCTACGTTGTAGCTGACTGACTGACTCATTAGCTGTAATTTACCCAAATCTGTATTATTTTTTCTTACAAGTTAATCCTTATCAGGAGGGGTTTTTGGGGATATTATAGTAGTTTTTTTAATAGTTGAGATCATGAGTCAACTGAAGCTAGACCACCGTGGAAAACCTGGAAGCATTGGACGGCCGTTTCGTTCTATCATGGGACTCCTCAGTGATTCGAACCCAGGATCTATCGGTTTCGCGCGCGAATGCTTAACCTCCAGACCACTGAGTCGGCATCCAACAGTGTCTAAAGATGTCTAACTTTAACCAATCCACGAAATTGAGTGACATATCCACCATTGTCTTCAGTGATTTACTATCTCACAAATGGCCCGGTTGAACTTCACTGGTCACTGCTTCTCACTAGAACTCCAGGTAATACTTCTTGAAGCCAGTCATTAGTGAGCATATGTTAATTAATATCAGAGGGGGTATTTTGTGGATATTATAGTAATTTTAATAGTTGAAATCATGAGTTAATCGAAGCTAGACCATTATGGGAAATCTGGATGCACTGGACGGTCGTTCTATCCTGCTGTGGTGGTCTAGCTTCAATTGACTGACGATTTCAACTATTAAAATTAATTCTTCTTAATAATTTGATGTCAAATAATCAAATCAGTGGTTTTAAATATATTTTGTTTTACATTTTGTTAAATAGGGTACTGGTGGTGTGGCTGATATCTTATCGAATGTTCTAGACTTTATGAGTTTTAGGAACACACTGGAAGAAACTTTCACAGATCAAGAAATTGATTATAAGTAGGTTTTTCCATGAAATTTCTTTTTAAAACTGTTAAAAATAATATTTTTAATATCCCTAGATATGAAAATTTGGTCCCAGATGTTCATAAGATATTTTAGTTAACATATCTGTTATTAATGAAGTCTTCAATTAGCATAAAAAACTTTATCTCTAAACGACCATCGAAGGATAGGAATTATTAAATAAATGTTTTAACCCAGCGTTGAACTACTCAGCACACTACTCATCTCATTAGAATGAGTCCAAGAAACGTTTAGCTGAGAAAGCAAACCTTTCAAATCAGTTAATCTCAAAATTTTAATGTATTTATATCTGAAAACATAAACTAATTCCCTTGGAAACATGGACAACATAAAGTATGTAAAACTGATAACATGAATTTTAGCATTATCAGAAATCTAAACAGCTATAAAAAAACCAACCACTGAGTATAAATGGCAAAGTGACCAATATTACATTATTGAAATTAGTCAAGTTGGATGAAAGTACTTATTATGTACAGTTCCCATATGCTCAAGAACTAGAACCAACCATTTAAAAAACAGCTAACTGTGGCGCAAAATATTTTTGTTTGATGGTTATATCTATTAGAGATTTGTAAATAGTGAATAAACCCTTAATAAAATTAATAAATTTGTACACCTTGATACTTCAAACAGAGACTGAACTCAAGACCTTTACATCTTACAAGGACTACATGGTCCTATAATCACTGTTCACCTATGTCTTTATTAAAGATTTACATACTTTTGTGAAATATAGCTAGATATCATTTACTAAGCGTTATGGATTATCAGTCGGCTTCATCATAAAGACATCAGTAAATTATTTATCTCACAAAAGGCTTAAATTTTAGACTAAACCTATGCACTAACAAATAAGGTGTAAATTTCAAATTTAAACAGAAATTGTCAGAATGGAAATTTCATATCAGGAAGAAACGGCCGTTCACTGCTTCCAGGTTTTTATCAGTGATCTGACTTTGATTGGTTCACGATTTCAATGAAATAAAGAGAAATTAATTAAATAGTATCATGATGAAAGTCCTCTATTTTTATCTTTGAGTATTCATTCCGTAACTAAAAAACAACTTTTAGTAATGCTATTCAGTATATACACAATAGTCTTAATTATCTTATACAAGCATTTACCAGGTTAATCAGTGAGAGAATGGTTAAACTTTTTTTCTTCTTGTTTAGTCTGCGTTTCTATGTGTTAATTCGATTAGATTTCTAATATACGTATTAACAGTGTACACCATAATTTTGTTTAAAAATTATAGAATAGCTAGTATCATACAAGAAGTTTATGACGATGCTCGAAGTAATAAACGTGGCAGAACACTGAAAAAATCCGATAAATCAACAAAATATACCGAGAAGTCAACAAACGTTACAATCAATCTACCAACTGATAATTCAGGTAAACCATCAACAAATAGAACTGAACAAAACACAAGTACAATGATTAACATTAAAGAATATGAATCACAAGTGTATCGAATAAAAGAATTAGCCGATGATTATGCTCATTTATTTTCGATATTTGAATATGATGATATTGACTTAGATGGTTATATGATATCGGCATTATTAAGTAGTGGTAAGTTGAAATGGTTATAATATTCAGAGATGGGTGGTGGCTAGCAGTGCAATTCAGGACACGCATTTCGTCCTATTTGGGACTTATCGGCTCGGTATACCTGCATCCCATAGTTGATGTTCACTCCGAGACTCAAACCCAGTGCCATTCACTTCAAACGTCATTACGTTATCCACTTAGCTATTGAGTCCAGTTAACCACTAGCTTGTGAAATGGGGTGAATATCAAATCTGGGATGCAGGTACATCCAACTGACGAGTCCCAAATAGGACGAAACGCGCGTCCTGGATTCCACTGCTAGCTACCATCCATCTTTGCTTACACAGTTGTTTGATTTTAACTCAGGGTGGTGGAATGTATATGTAGAAGATTTTTATCTTTGCCGCAAAATAATAGAGCTCCTAAAGATTAAACTTTAGTATTCAACAGGTTTATTAGGAAGTTCATCATTTCCTTTTCTTGATTGCTAGGTTAGGTGATCTACAGACTCATTTGGTTAATGAGATCATGCACTTTTAATAATATTATAATTATAAACTCCGATTATTTGTTTTATCGCAATAACAAAGTTTTACATTACTTTCTGTTTCAAAACTGATAATGTGGGCTTAAAGTTTTTCAGAAGTTTGGATTCTGAATTAATATTGTGTTTGGATCAAATCTTAAAGTAACTTAGTTCGCTATGCTGATGAATTCTAGGGGGATATCCCTTCAATAACTCCAACGTAATTGTGTGCTACTTATATATCATACAATGTCTACCTTTTGAACGTGATAACACGGCATCATTGAAATGTTTAAGTTAACTCTTACCTAACTTAATATGGAGTCATAAGTGCGTATTGTTCCTCATACCAAAGTTCACGGTAAGTGTTTTTACAGATTCGCAGGCGATTAATGAATAAACTTTGTGAAGAAAACATCTTAATTTTCGTCAAATTTAGATGGCACAATCAAAGCAATCACTTTATACCTTAGAACTGAACGTCAGTGGTTCCCATGATCAACTTCGATAGACTGACCCTACTAAGTAAGTGATTTTTATGATATCGGTGGTGTCTGTTTTACTTCCTGAAGAGTCAAACTATGTCGGTTATGCCATCGAGCTAAATTATCAAGAATCTATCTTAAAACTAGTCACTAATCGACATACCATTAATCATTAGGATCAAGGGTTTGCGGAGCCTGTAATTTAGTTTTTACCATGGGCTGAATGAGTTAGTATACGAAGGCTATTAAATTCTGATTGTGTAACTGATGTGTTACTCTCAAAAAGACCTGAAACTCTACTGTCTGGCAAGGTATTGGACTGTGAGTGTACTCTATGATATAGTTCTGACTGAAAGCCTGACAACCACTTAGAGTTTTCATGGGTTTATAACCTGGTGACAGTTTACAATGTAAACTACCTTATGATTGAGTACCCTTTAGAACAACCCTTACGTTGTTACAATTTATACATTCGGCTTAATATAATCCATTATGAAGTCACATTATTTAAAATATCATATCATATGGAAACTAAACATCACAACTCACTTATTTTGTTTTGATTTAAAAAAATAATAACTATCAATAAAAGCTGGAATTGATCGACCAAAGAATGAATTAAACCTTGATCAATTAGAAATAACTATACGATTGAATCGAGCTGATATTGCACGAACAAAAATTTTTCTTGAAGGTAAACGCTGGAAAGTAAGTTGGTTTTGAAAAATTTCTTTAAATACAAAAGTTTATTGTATTTATTTACACAAATTTGAATTTACTTAACTTATTTACTTACATATGCCTGTTACTACCAATGGAGCATAGGCCACCAACCAGCATTCTCCAACCCACTACGTCCTTCCAGTTCTGTTCAATTTTTGTTCATTTTTCTCATGTCTATCTCCATTTCTCGACTTAATGTGTTCTTTGGTTTTCCTCTTTTCCTTTGGCCTTGATGATCCCAGGTGAGGGCTTGCTTTGTGATGCAGTTGAGTACTTTCCTCAATGTGTGTCTCACCAACTCTCAGAACTTCTTCCTGATTTCTTCTTCAGTTGGGATCTGGTTTGTTCTCTCTCACAGTAGGTTGTTACTGATAGTTTCTGGCCAACGGATCGAAGTATTTTGCGCAGTCAGTTATCAATAAACATTTGTATGTTCTGGATGATGGTTTTCGTAGTTCTCTAAGTTTCCTCCTCATACAGTTGAACTGTCTTGACATTTGTATTGAAAATTCTGACCTCGGTGTTGGTTGACAGTTGTTTTGAGTTCTAGATGTTCTTCAGTTGTAAATATACTGCTCTTGCTTTGCCGATTTGCTCCTTCATACCTGCATCAGATCTACAGTGTTCATCAATGATGCTTCCCAGATAAGTAAAAGTTTTTACATCTTCAAAATCTTTTCCATCAATTGTGATTCGATTGTTGCATACTGTGTTGTAACGGAGAATCTTGCTTTTCTGCGAAGTCTAGATCGTCCAGCTGCATTCTAGCTATCCACTGTATCCCATGCTTTCTCTCAGATGTTGACGTCTTAATGATCCAGTCGATCACCAGGAGAAAGACGAAACTTCAGAGTAAGCGAAATTTACATAACTATCTTAGATAAATTATATTCATTAACTTGTTTGTATCATTGTTAAACTATATCGCTTTACAAAGCATACATTTACCAACATCAAACAACTTGACTATGTGAATATTATTATATAATTGTAATGAGACTATAATTTGTAGATGACCTTTAAGTGACGCTGGATTGATCTTGAGAGTATCCAGTACCAAATTAAGGTTATAAACCTGTGTTATGAATTAGAAATATGATTTACAGTTGATGGTTGGGATTAGAAACTAGATTTATGGTTTTCATCACGAATCAACATCAGTTATCATGTCAAAACTCTATTCAACCAAAGCTATGAATGAATCTTGCGCCAAAATCCATGACTTTTTTTCTCATATCTGATTGGTTCGTGCATAAATTATAATCTCACCGTGAGAAAAATGTATTAAAATATTTTACAGATTTTCTAATTTTCTAAATAAATTAATATATTTGTAATATCCCAATGAGTAGAAAAATTGGATTTACTGACGGTTCGTGACTAAGTGCAAACCACCTCTTCAGATTATTTATTCTCCGAGCTATCTGAGCCGCGACTGACCTCCTGTAGGACTGAGACGTAATCACGATTGATTGATGACTGGGTAGTGATCAATGTCATGTGTGTCAAGTCCTTATTTAGTGCAGATCGAATGCTATTGATCATGTTGCACGGTGGCCACTAGTCTAGGTGACTCGACACTGCGGGCACTATATATTGAGATTAGATAGTGGTTTGAGGTAGTCGACAATGCAACCTGATCGATAGCACTCGATCTGCACTAAATAAGGACTTGACACACATGAAATCGATCACCACCCAGTGATCGATCAATTGTGATCTGAATTAATTTATAATAATCTATTCAATGCTCAATTTATTCGAAATTATCAAGTCAAACCTTGATAATGATACCTATAAACTCAATTATAATTTTCTGTTTAAATTTTCATTTAATCTATTTAAAAGAAAGGTGATTTAAATGAATTCATGTTCAATGTTATTTTAAACGAACAAACGGATTTTGTTCGATTAATTTTGGAAAATGGATTTAATTTAGATGATTTTCTTACTGTTCATACATTAGAAAGATTATATACGGAATGTTTGAAGAAGACTGTAAGTTTAATATTTTTTTTACAAAAATAACTATATTACTATTATTATTTCAGTAGTATCTATCTATGCATTATTAATTTCTAACGTCGAGCTAAAAACTGTCGATTAAATGGAATAAAAATTAGACACAGGTATTTGTTCTATTAGATAAATAGTAAGCAGGTTCATTAAGAGCTTGATTTTAATCCATGTGCCTAAGGAATATATATATATAGATATAGATATTAAGAAGGAAACTTATATCCGTTTATTACTAACAAACCACTAATAATGAGGTATCTGCGATGATTAACGCGTTTATATGTACAGAAAGTGAAAGGCTGGTTATTGTAGTTATGCAAAGGTTAATTACAACATATGATAGCGTAAATTATAGCCGCCAGTTGTGTTTTTTTCTGTCAAGTAAAGACGATTAGCAATAGGAGACTAAAAGTAGGAAAATATAGGTTTTTTTCTTGACGAAGACTCAATAAATGGACAAAAACTAAAACTACTTGTAACAGAGGTTACAGAACGTAATTACGATAACAATACAGTGTATGATATTACTTTTATGCAAGTACTCAGGAATATTGCTTAACAGTAAACGTATGTTACAACTCACTATCGGGAATTATTTGAATTAGAACTGACTACTAAATATTAACAAGTAATATAAAGCAATAGACATTATGGATTTGATAAAGAAATAAACACAAACATTGGAAGTGAATTTAACAATGGATTAGCTGTAAAATATTATATGGTTCATAGAAGTTTATGAGCATTTATTGTTTTACGAATGGAAAATTCAGTGTACTTATCTGGAAAATGGAATAGATCCAAAACGGGCATTGAATCAGAAGTAATTGGATTTATTCTAGTCACTTACTAATAATCTTAGTTCTGTTAGGCGAAAACACCAATTCATATGAGATGTAAGATAATATTGTACAGTTACAATTTAGGATTATCATCTATATGAAACATTTAAGAAATCCGTGGATTATTCAGGGAGAATAAGTCGTTTATCATTAATGCTGTAAAGGTTTTATCATAAACAACATGGAATGTTTTTTTGATTGAGATCATGAATCTATCAATGTTAGACCACCATTGAAAACCTGGAAGCACTGGACGGTCATCTTGTCACAATATAGGACACTCTGAATTTAGATGTCATATTAGCTGGTACTTATTAGTACAGGCTGAATGTAATTTGGAGAGTGAGATTATAATTTATGGACGACCTTTGAGCAACTCTAAAGTGACCTTACGACAAATCACCTACTTACCAGAGTCAAAAAGGGTTATAAATTAGTATGTAGAATTACGATATGCATTTAAAATTAAAATTAAAGGTTAGGCATCAGAGTAAGGATTTTTATCACGGGTTGATATCAATTATAATACTAAAATGCTATTTAACTTGATGGATGAATCCATTTCAAGCCAAAATTGACTATTTGCTATCCTTGATTTCATTAGTTTGTCCATGCATTATAGTCCTACCATCTGGAAGGAACAATCTAGTCCACACGATGTAACGTTACTTAAACTAATTATCACACTTCAATTTGATTCATTAAATTTGATCAATACTAAAAGATTAAATAAGCCTAACACTCATCCTTACGTAGTGATTAATCAATTGTAAATTTCTTCAAGTTACATTGACATGTTATGATCTATGATGTTAAGTAGATCGAGTGAATGAGCATTAACTTAACTTGTAACTATGAATATAGAATGAAATGATAATTGAAACTATTCACAATTATATTATGATATTAATCAATTAAAAGATTAATTTTCATTAATTCTTAATATACTACTTATTATTTTTATTTTAATAATTTAGGATTATAAATCAAGATTATTACAACAATTATGGAAAAGTTCTAGAATTTATAAAATGGATTGGGTTATGCTCAGAGATATTGGTAGAATTATAAAAAATTTATTAGGAGATTTTTATCATCCATTTTATTTATCAAAACGTTTTCAACATTCCGTTGTAGAACATGGTTATTGTGAATCAAGTGATGAAGAGGCAACTAATGATAATTTATATGATGAATATGAAAAACAACCAGGTTATTAATGATTACATATTATATAAATGTATAGATTATAAGTAAAAAAGAAAGAAAAAAAGAGATCATTTTTGTAATCAAAGATGGATGGTGGTTAGCAGTGAAATTCAGGACATGTGTTTCGTCATGTTTAGGACTCATCAGATGGATGTATCCACATTCTGGATTACACTACTAGCCAACATTCATCTCTGCTTATAATACTTGTGACTTAAGGTAATATCGAAGCAATCCACATAGGATACACATATGCCAATAAGAGATTGATCAATTGCCATCCTAAACATCAATGGGAAGATATAAACAAACAATACAAAATAAGTTTACATTTTTGTAAAGTTTATTCTTAAATACTGTAAATATTTTATTTTAATTTTAATGATGAAGTATGATCATGTTGCATCTTTATGGTCCGCTAGTTATCACGTTATTTATCTACCAATCGAAACACAACTTATACAATTTTCACACTGTGCTAAGCCAATGACGTTCGACCGGTATGAGCAGCCTAGCGCCCTATGTTCGCCTAGTCCGTCCATTTGAGTCCAGAACACTAATACAGCTTTCACTATGCAAATCATTTATTTCAAACATACTGTGTTTATATACCAACCAAACAGACCGCAACACACCATAAAACAGGAAATAACATTTATACACAATAAAGCCAAAAAGTGGCTATGAACATGGGAGACTAATCAATAAACTGAGTATAACTTATGAACAGTAAATCGTACAGTGATAATCTATAGGTCAAAATGAAGTTTGTGATAAGATAAATATAAATATGTATTGATATAAGTGAAGAGATATCATGGCGTTACACGTGGATAAGTACGGACACTCATTCGATTGGAAAAATGTGGAAATCTTAGACAGAGGAAACTCCAAAAACACCAGAGAATTTTTAGAAGCCTGGCATTCAGGTCAATCAGCAATCAACAAGCATATTGAAATCAATCCAATTTATCAACCAATCAGGAAAATCATGCATAAATATAGGAACAAAAATCAAACCAATGGGAGACACAACCAAAATGAAGAAGTAAACAATGATAAATTTAGGGTCAATATGAACCAATCAACATCGAGGTGCACAGAACAAGCTGTGAAACACATATGGAGAAATTCGAACACTTCACTTTTATCTGAAGTTTGTGCTGATGATGTCGTTCAGAAGAACGATGAAAGCTCCACGACCAAACCATCCAGCTCAGAGAACAAAACTCCACCAAAATCATCCACCTGAGCTACAAATCTTCTCCACCATCTCAACAGTATGAAGTTTCAGACAAAAACGACTAATTGTCTTCTAGTGGTATAGTTAGAGATGTGGATTTTCGGTTTATTTGAGCACAATATCGTTCAATGAATAATAGAGCATGAACTAAACTTAACATAGTGGGGAGTGTATTCGGTATCATATTTTTACTGAGAGAGACATTATTTAATTACCTAAACATTTATAAGGGTTTTCGAGTTATGCAGTGGTCGATATTGTTGGCTCAATTTCGATCATTCTTAGTTAGCGTATTTATAACTTTTCTTGGTTGCCTTTATATAGTCGCCATAGCCCAACTAGAGTACCACTTGGTTTCAGTAGCTGAGTGGAGAACGTTTCCAGCTTCTCAAGTGCAAAGTACTGGGTCCAAATCCAAGAGTAAACGTCAACTCTAGCATCCAAGGGCATCCAGTTGACAAGTCTCAGATAAGAAGAAACGTACATTTTGAATTCCATTGTAGTCAAAATACCCTAAGCAATTATTGAATAGTCAATAGATTTTACGAAATATTTAATCTTATTTAAAATGCATTTTTCTCATTCGATTAACATAAAAGGTAAAACAATCACATCAACTTCAACATTGAAAGCTGTTGAACCTATACCGATATCATTTAATATTGATGAAAAATCTGATGCTGAAAAATCTGACGATCATAATATTGATCATGAAGAAAATATTGTTCAGTCTGAACAAATATCTCAATTTTATCAACAAAGCAAAAGATCACAAAAGAATGATCAACCAAAGCGAAACTTCAATCAACAACATACCAATAAAAAAATTGAGGATACAGAAGATGTTACAAGCTATACATCATCGAATAATTCATCTGAAACAAAATTAATCAAATCATCACAACATAGAACAAAGTCACGTAGATCAGTTAGCGCCGGTACACGAAGAGATATCAATGATGATAAAAGTAATAGATCAAAACAATCAGTAATGAATAATAACAATCAAATATCATCATTAATGAATAGACGACAATATATTGTTAAGCCAATAGTTGGCACAAATAACATTAGGAATTATTATCGAAATAATTATTATTCATGTTCGGATAGTTATGAAAATGATCATAATGGTATAATGAATGATACAATAATGGGTAAAAAACGTCTTATCACTACATTACAACATGCTAATGACACAGATAATTATGTACCAAAAGCTGAAGAAGATAGTTTTCAAGATAGATCATTTTCTATTATAAATGAAAAGAATCAGTTGAATAATTCAAATGGGTTGATTTCATCAGATCAAGAAAACGGTAAGAGGGTGTTGATGTTGATGATGATGATGATGATGATGATGATGATGATGATGATGATGATGATGATGATGATGATGATGATGATGATGATGATGATGATGATGATGATGATGATGATGATGATGATGATGATGATGATGATGATGATGATGATGATGATGATGATGATGATGATGATGATGATGATGATGATGATGTTGATGATGATGATGATGATGATGATGATGATGATGATGATGATGATGATGATGATGATGATGATGATGATGATGATGATGATGATGATGATGATGATGATGATGATGATGATGATGATGATGATGATGATGATGATGATGATGATGATGATGATGATGATGATGATGATGATGATGATGATGATGATGATGATGATGATGATGATGATGATGATGATGATGATGATGATGATGATGATGATGATGATGATGATGATGATGATGATGATGATGATGATGATGATGATGATGATGATGATGATGATGATGATGATGATGATGATGATGATGATGATGATGATGATGATGATGATGATGATGATGATGATGATGATGATGATGATGATGATGATGATGATGATGATGATGATGATGATGATGATGATGATGATGATGATGATGATGATGATGATGATGATGATGATGATGATGATGATGATGATGATGATGATGATGATGATGATGATGATGATGATGATGATGATGATGATGATGATGATGATGATGATGATGATGATGATGATGATGATGATGATGATGATGATGATGATGATGATGATGATGATGATGATGATGATGATGATGATGATGACTGGATGATTAATGAAAGTATATTTTTGTATACTAACACAAATTAAGTTAGTAACATAGTACAAGACTTAAAGTTTATAGTTAATCATTGTCTATAATAGTACTGAATATATTATCCATACTGATAATGAAATAGCCACCTAGAATATGTCTACGGAGACTAGACAATTTAGTATACTCTTTTTAAACTAACAACATCTTCGTAAATTAAATTATTGGAAAGTATGTTTTCTTTAAAATAAACATTTAACTCAATAAATTTCAAGGGAAATATCTAAAATTACTGAGTTTGCATTGATAAGTCAAAATTTAATTAACCTTAAATTTTCTATTGAAGAAAAGTTATTTTCTGAATTACAATGTTACTTACAAGTAGTATGCGATTATGATGCTTGTCACCATTAAGTCTACTGGGTACTTAACTGATTTGTGATTGATACTAAAACCCCTGAATTCGACGACGTATAGTTAGAATATAAACACTGTTGATATACATTAATTTAACCATGGAAATGAATCAAAATGATATACAAACAATCTATATTTTGTGTAGTTTATGTATGGTCAGATTAACAATCAGATTTGCATAATTTGACTGGGTATCATTTAACATTACTTACTTACGCCTATTACTCCTTGCGGAGGGGGCATAGGCCATCCACTAGCATTCTCCAGTGAACTATGTTCTGGACAATCTTTCCCAGTGCTTTCTAGTTGCTATTCATCCTTTTGATATCTATTCTCGATTCCCAATGCTGTGTGTTCTTTGGTCTGACTATTTTCGTTTAGCCTCGGGGATTCTAAGTAAGGGCTTGCCTTTTTATTTAGTTTTATGACTTCTGCAATGTGTGTCCTTCTCATCTCCAGCGTCTTTCTCTAATTACCTCTCCGGCTAGAAGTTTATTTGTTCTCTTCCATAGTAGGTTTTACTGGTGGTATCTGGCCAGTGGACATTGAGCCTCTTGCGTAGACAATTTTTAATAAATGCTTGTACCATTTTGGTGATAATTGTAATAGCCCTCCAAGTTTTAACCCCTCACGACAGAACTATTTTGAAATTTCTATTAAAGGTTCTAACTTCGTTGTTGACTGACAGACAGTTGTTTTGAGTTCCATATATTCTTCAACAGTAGAAATGCTGCCCTTGCTTTACCAGTCCATGAATTCATATCTGCATCAGATCCCCCTTGTGTGTCAATGACACTTCTCAGTCATGTAAGAACTTCCACCTCTTCCAGATCTTCGCCATCAAGTGTGACTTGGTTGGTGCTCACTGTGTTGTATTTTAAGATCATAGTTTTTCCATTGCGAACGTCAAAACCATCTAATTGCATCTAACCTATCAATTGTATTCTGTGTCTCATCTCAGATGTGGAAGTCATCATAATCCAGTCAACCACCACAAGAAAGAGAAAGGGGGAGAGTAGGCAGTTTTGTCTGACATAAATACTCGCTTGGAATGGATCTATCAACTGCCCTTCAAACATGACTTTGCAGTGTAATCCATATTATGTTGACGTTCTCAAACTTAGATTTCCTTTCCTTGGAATCTTGATGAGATATTCTTCTTACCAGTCTGTTGGATTTGTCCCTCCCCCTAACTCTTCCAGAATAAAACGTGGAGCATGTTTATAGTTACTTCTGTGTGTGAACTGAGTGCTTCAGCCGGTATATTCTCAGGTCCCACTGCTTCCCCACTCTTGATTTGTCTGATGGCCATTCTGACTTCCATGATCGTTATTGACAAAGATCGGAAACTCTAAATTAACTAGTTCATTGATAACTTTCAGTTAGCTTTTGAATAAAGTAAAATACATGCTCTACGAACAATTATAGTTTCACCTATTTTGTTTCATATTACACTGTAGCCGCAGTCAATATCATAGTTCAATCGCATTCTTCAATTCATTCAAGTAAAACAGAAGTATCTGTTATCACTGATCCAATTATTATTGATGATCAACCTAGCGATCATCTTCATTATCAACAACAGCATCAGAATGCAACTGGATCTCATGATCAATCGATCAGTAGTATATGTCAAACAACAACTCTTAGTAAACAAACATCATCTAATAGAAATAATAAATTTCCTGTTCAACGTGTTGCACATTCTATTTTACATCCATTAACTGATCCAGAGAAAGCACGTCTACGTTTAAGAGAGATTGAACGACAAACATTAGAACGTAAACGTGAAAAAGAACGCAAGCGAAGGCATAGAATAGCTCAAGAAAAATTCACAATTATGGAACGTTTAACTGGTCAAGCTAAAGCTGAAAGTAAGTTAAGAAAATCATCATAATACTGATTATATTTTGATGAATTACCTTGAACAGTTTTTGTTTAGTGTTTATATAAACGAACAGATTCTTTTCTCAAAATAATGTGGTCAATATTCGTGATAGATTTGAAAGACAATTTGAATGGTGAAGGTTTAATCAGTAGTCTATATACAACTCACACTCCGACCGTTGCTGCTACCTTGACGTGGTGGTCGGGCTTGCCTATCGTAATGAACCAGTCGGGCTTTACTGGTTGGAACAATCGTCCTCCAAGATTCTACCGTGCCGAATGGATCGGTTGAAGAGCGGTAAGACTAAAAGCAGCAAACCCATGGTTTGAGGGGACGTGATGGCAGTAAAGTGTTTTCCTCGGACAACCAACATAACAGTAACGCTGCCTTCCCACAAAAGAAGGATGAAGTTCAAAAATGTATACGTATATGGCGTAATGAAAATGGTGAATGATGATTGTTATGAACTAAATATAAGGGATGGGTAAGGAATGGAAGAAAAAGTGGGTCAATGGTTTTTGTGTTCAGAGGTTTAATCAAGAAATTTGGAATGCTTTGGTCTCTACTACGCTTCAGTAAATGTTGTATAAATCTTGAAGGCTTGATTGGGGCTCTGTATCCGATAGAAAATGATGAAATTCTGTTAGTTTTATGATCTGTACTTATTAAGTAAAAAGAAAGGGAAATTTTAATGGATTCAGTTAGTCCTTTACCTATCCACAATGTTCAAGAACAAAACAATGAATTGTCTCCAGGGAAGTAGTTAACTTTAAAAATACACCTTAAAGTTATTGAATTCGAAAAATTTTCTTTTCTTTTTAAACACTTCTCTGTTTAACAATTTTTCTTATGTGTATAACAGGGAAACTTCAGTAGCTACATCTTGTTTAACTCGAATAAATTGATACGAATTTTTATTTTATTTATTAATAATGAACAATGTTCTTTAACAAAACACTCATACATTCTTCTAAATAAACGTTTACTTATTAAATACTGTGTACTGCCGTTATTTGATCATCAGAATGAAAATTTACTAACATAAGAACATCGAAACATTTTACAAATTTGAAATTATTTTTGTCATAGTTTAAACATTAGTGATCGTGACTAGATTGATAAACATTGATTTCATTAAAAATTTACAGGACTTGAAGAGTTGAAGCCATCCAAACTTGCAAGTAAGTTTTCATTCATAAACTTTGTTAATAGAATAAACATTTAACAGTTTGTGTGTTGAAATGAAATGTGAACGTTGGAATATTAATGTTAAAAATGCAAACTACTATTAATTAATTCAATAGCATGAAATTATAGACTAAATTTTCAGAAAACACTGTAAAATCTATTGAGACGCTTAATAATATATCTAAGTAGTTGAGATCATGAGTCAATTGAAGCTAGACCACCATGAAACCTGGAAGCACTGGATGGCCGTTTCTCCTCATCGTGGGACTTCTCAGCAGTGCGTAACCACGACCCCGCCTCGTGGGATTCGAACCCAGGGCCTGTCAGTCTCGCGCGCGAGCTAGTTTCAGTTGACTCATGATCTCAACTATTGAAATTACTGCAATCTCCACAAAACACCTTCTGATATCAATATCTGTTATGGAGATCCACGCACATATAGGAGTCCTGTACTAAGACGAAACAACCGTCAACTAATTTCTGTTTTTCTTTAATGGTCGAGTCAGATTTAGTTTGTTATGTCATCCATATCAATATCTGCCTTAGTTGGATCAATCAATCACTTGTTGTGAACAAAGACTTGATGGGAAAAATTAATTTATTATTTCATGCAAAATCACAGTGTCTTAATAAAACGTGAAAACCATACTTTACATACTTCATTTGCACATCTTCCATCAATCGTCTCTTACAAAATTCATCATTCCTTCATTTCTGTCGTGAGTACAATTAATCTCTGTTTGTATTCCTACTTTTCTCAATCGATCTTCGCAATCATATTGGTGTCGCATACTACTTATATCTATCAACATAAGTAGCATATACCGCATACTGTTTCACTGTAGGTATTATCACATTTAATAACAGAATAATATACATACAATGAATACAAATATGTTCAGGCTGTATATTAAACTGAATATATAATCATAAACAAGATCTTGCAGAGATATATAGGCAATGGTTATACAATGCCCAAAACAACTTCCAAAATGTATATTTATCATTCAGTATTGTATACCAAATTTCATACCATTTACCCATGATAATTTAATTACAGGCAAGTATTGGATACTCATAACATTTTTCTTTCCAACAATATCATTTTCAAGAGTCAATATCATCATGTATTTATATAAAATAATTAAAATGATGAATCATTCTTATTAGTTTGTTGACTAGGTCTAAGCGCGACATATTCTGTCAGTTCATTGAAACAGAAATGATTAACATAAATTCAATTCCAATGAACACCATTCGTCTCGTACTCATTCATTTCTATTGAGTAATTATTCATTCATATATTTGCCCACCTTTCTTGAACAGATTTTGACTTGTTAAGTAAAGATGGATAGTGGCTAGCAGTGGAATTCAGGACGCGTGTTTCGTCCTATTTGGAGCTCATCAGTTGGATGTACCTGCATCGCAGAGTTGATGTTCACTCCGGGACTCGAATCCAATCGGACGCAGCGCGCGTCCTGAGTTCCACTGCTAGCCATTGCTTACAGGACGCACATATGCGAACATGAGACTGATCAATTACAGTCCTAAATAACAATGGAAAGATATAAGTAAAACAACACCAAGTGAATTTGAGATTTTAATTTGATTTTCTCATATTATAAACATATCATTTCCCTTTAAATTAATCTTACTTTAGATTTTAGACACACCAGTACAGTCAAATTTGATAGACCAGCTAGAGAATTAATGATGATGTGTATATTACTTGGAAGATTTGAAATGGCTGAAATATTCTGGAATCAAGAGAAGGTGAGAAACAAAGAAGAAAAAAAGCTGAATTTGCACTTATTTTTCTTTATAAACTTTGGATATTGACAAATAATTTTTATTTTATACACTGTTTTGAAACTATATGTTTACAACAGTATTAATAGCCAGATCTGTCTGGATCCCATTGTTGATTCCTATATTGAGACTCGAACCTAGTATTCATTGCTTCAAATGCCATCGTCTTATTCATTATGCTTATCATTTACTCCTACTTGTAAGGGTTTGTGTTCTGTTGTTGGTGATATCCAGAACCGTAGTTGACCAATCTTTAGAATGAAGACACAAATAACTGATGAGTTTTTCATGGAACAAATGTAGAAACCTGAACCACACTACTTGCCGTCATCCAAAATCTATTTAAATTATAATTAGTAATAATATCAAGATTTCTGTCCAAACACCAATTTCTTCAATAAAGACCAATCGAATTTCTTCATAAATATCATCAACAACAGATGCTGTTGGAAAGTAAATAGAGAGAAAGTAAATGTTTGACAAAATATTTCTAGTGCAATCGCAAAGAGTTTATGTCCACCAAAGTTATGGTTAAGGTATGTAGACGATATTTTTATTATCAATAAACGGGATGGTATGGAAGAACTATTTAACAATGCAAACAGCATTTCTGAAAACATTAAACTAACTAAGGAATTAGAATCATTTGACCACAAACTAGCATTTCTAGATTGTTTGGTTGAACGTCGACACAATAATAAGAAGTTAAAAATAAATGTTTACAGAAAATCAACGCATTCCGAGAGATACTTGGATTTTAATTCAGCCCATTCACAGAGCACGAAAATTAATGTGGTAAAAAATCTAATGAACAGAAGTACTAAGATTGTTACAGACAAGGAAGACCAAAGAACCGAATTAAATAAAGTATTTTCTACTCTTAGAGATAACAACTACCCAAAAAGGTTTTTTAAAAAGATTATTAAAAATGAAAGAAAAACTAAACTAGAAAGTATACGAAAAGAATGGAAGTACACCGTAGTCATACCTTACCGGAGTGAAACATCAGAAGAAATCAAACGGATTCTAAACAAACATGATATAAGAGTGTATTTCAGAGCAAATAACACATTAAGATCGACATTAGTGAAAGTTAAGGACAAATTAGCAAAGGAAGAACAACAGAACATTGTGTATGAGATTCACTGTCATGATTGTAATGCTACCTATGTTGGAGAAACATCAAGGCAACTGAATGTAAGATTGAAGGAACACAAACAATGCTTGAAAAATGTTCCAAAATCCTCGGTAGATTTAAAGAAACTTGAAAATAAGTCAGCGATAGCGTTACATGCGTTAGAAACAGGACACAAGATTAATTTTGAAGGGACCAAAATACTTCAGAAAGGTTTTAACACCCATAAAGAAAGATTGACAGCAGAAGCTCTGTATATATGGGCGAACAAGAACAGCCTGAACCGAAAAGATGGTATTCAACTGGCGACTACATGGCAAATTTCATTTGACAAGTAAATTTGGAACCTATCTCTTGTTTAAACCTGTTTTTAATATCACATGCATCGTTATTATTATCGAAAGAACTGAATGAGTTTTTAAACAATACCACTGCTAGCCATTATCCATCTTTGCTTATAATACAATTTATGTTTTGACATGCACATCGATCTTTCATTATCAAGTTTTTTCATCCTTGAACTTGAACTTTATTTATTCCTTCATATCAATCTCTCACACATACATACATACATACACACTCACACACATACGATTTGTTACTCAGTTAAGTATTTCCATGTAGTTGAATTCATCACATGATTTGTAGTCAACTGACTCATTTTATCCTATTTTACAAAAAATCAACAGCCAAATATGATTGGTTTAACACAGTATAATCCTGATTGTTAAAAAGCTATATATGTCTTTGATAATTTTGATTTTGATTATTACCCTGAAGAAGTCCAGACAAGTTAGCTGGACGAAACGTTGGAATTAGTTATATTTCAATCGCTGAGAATATTTCAAATATAATTTTCACATATAATTTCTTGTCTCAGTTATTATCTTCTTTGATTCTCAGTAAGACTTAGTATATTAAGTAATTGTTGTGTATGTGCTGGAAATGTACAGTTTTGTTCAAAATGTACTTGAGTAGCTACAATTGAACAAATGCATGAAAAAAAACAAAAAAAATCATGAAAGTATGTGAAGATAATGGACTGTAAACTAATCATTTGGTAGAAACATTACACTTAGTCTATAAAATATAGTAAAATGGACCTGGTTTTTGTTCAGCTCATACAATTCATAGTATCACATGATTGACATCAATCTCATTTATTATACTCTAACTCTTTTTTTCTTTTTGATGTTGTTAGTGTTAAATTTTAATCTATTCTTTGTCATTCACTACAACCGGGATATAAATCCAAGATGAGCATCATGTCTTATTTACCTGGATCCCAGTATTGATGTGCCCAATAGGATTTGATTTCAATACCACGATGAAGGTATACCCAACTGGAGAGTCCCAAATAGGAAAAAATGCGGATTTTTAGTTTCAATGGTAGCCACAAGCCAATTACTCTAAATAAGTTGTAAGAGAGTGGTATATTTTAACAAGAGCTGAGCGAAATTCGATGCTAAATATCAATAATGGGACAGATCAACATCTTATTAATAAGGCTATCTTTTAACTTGTTTTAACAAGTCATAAATATCAATCAATTAATGACTTCATTTTATAGTGAAAATATCTCAGTTATATACAGTGTAAACGAACGGTTTATAAACTTTAATATATACTTTCAGTTATTCACTTGACTTATAAGCAAAGATGGATGGTGTTTAGCAGTAAAATTCGGGACATGTGTTTCGTCATGTTTAGGACTAATCAGATGGATGTATCCACATTCTGGATTACACTAATAGCCAACATCCATCTCTACTTATAATACTTGTGACCTAAGGCAATATAAAGGCAATCCACATAGGATGCACATATGCTAATAAGAGATTGATCGATTGCCATCCTAAATATCAATGGGAATATATAAACAAACAATAAAAAATGAATCATTCATCTGACTGTTTGATATTTTGATTAAACTTTATTAATCGTTTGCATGCGGTAGAAATGCAGTTACTAAGTTAATAACATGAAGGATATTACACTCTCAACTATGATTTCACTATTTGAGTGAACAGTAGAATAACAAGACAGCGAATAACATTGTAAAATTCATATATAAATATATTAAAATAAAGAAAATATAAATCATTCAATAAACTGACTGACCTAGTAGTTAAACAATCTTTAAATTTCAAATATAAACCTATCAAATTAAATTCCATGGTGACAAAAATATATCATTATTCATTTCCTTACCTTTGTAGGAACCGATTGCGGCTGCATTAGTTTTATCTATTTTAATTGCTGAATTAGGACAAAAGTCAGATGATGTTGCAAATAAAGAAGAGTATGAAGAGAATGCTCGGTAAGTGAAGCTAAAAATACATGGGTGTTTACTGATTTATGTTCCGGGAATAGTTTATCTGAGAATGAGCAGAGGTTTTTATCATTTTGCTTCCATACTAGGCTATTTTACTACATAATTAGATGTTTTTACACTATTTAAATACTGTATAGCGATATCTTCACCGAAACTCTTCGAATTCAACACGGAATTTTAAAAGATTCACTATCTTAATTCTGAATGGCTGACAGATATAATAAGGTTTTGATTGAAACCATAGATCGATTAATGTTAGACCACCATTGAAAATATGGGAGCACTGGTCTAGAGGTTAAGCGTTCGTACACGAGACCAAAGGCACTGGGTTCAAACCCCGCGTGCGGGATCGTGGAGGCCCACTGCCGAAGAGTCCCATACTAGGACGAGACAGCCGTCCAGTGCTCCCAGGTTTTCAGTGGTGATCTAACATCGATCGAATCATGATCTTAGTAAAAAATTTAAGTCTCCACAACCCCATACTGATAACATAGTTTTGTTTCTTTACCTTTTTCGCACTGTTTATTAAGATCATTTGAAGATAAAGCTGATCAAGTACTTGAAGAATGCTATCAAGAAGATCGTGCACGTACTTTAATTCTTTTATATAGAAAATTAGAATTCTATGGAAATACATCAGTGATACGTTTGGCTGCACGTGGAAAATGCATAAGATTTATGGCGAATCCATGTTGTCAAGATTTACTATCAGGTGTTTGGTCAGGGCGTTTATCACCTAAAAATACATGGATACAAGTTAGTTTTTTGGACAACAAACATATATATTACTTATTAAGAACACTTCCATAAGTTTTTCAGTTGGTAAAAATCTGCTTGAATTTTGAGATGGTGGAGAAGATTTGTAGCACAGGTGGATGATTTTGGTGGAGTTTTGTTCTTTGAGCTGGATGGTTTGGTTGAGGTGCACAGAACAAGTTGTGAAACACATATAGAGAAATTCGAACTCTTCGCTTCTATCTGAAGTTTGTGCTGATGGTGTCGTTCAGAAGAACGATGAAAGCTCCACGACCAAACCATCCAGCTCAGAGAACAAAACTCCACCAAAATCTGCTTGAATACTTTTGTTTTGATTTAATGAGATTATTATTTTATGTTTTGACTCCTATAGTCAGTTACTATTGAATATAAGCAGAAGATAGTTTGGTTGGATACACTAAATCAGATGATTAAATAAAAACTTTAAGTGACCAAACAATACTACGGCGAGACTATAATTTATAGGCGAACCAATCAGATTTAGTGTAACAGGTCTTGGATTTTGGCGCGAAATTCACTCACCCATTTAGCTAAATAGCGTTTTGGCATTTTATGTGATGTCACTTCGTGATAAAAAACCATAAATCCTATTCCTAATCCTAACCATTAACTGTGAATCATAATCTCTATTCCTCATAGTGCGTTATAACCCTCATTTAACCCTAGTGAGTAGGTAGATACTTTCAATGTAACTTTACCGTCGCTCAAAGGTCGTCCATAAATTATAGTCTCACCGAAAAACAGTTTAAAATAGATGAAAGCTAACAGATAGATTGAAAAACTTCAGTTATGTAAACTGATAACCTTCTTAATATAAGGAACTTCTAAAAAACTAATAATAATAATTGTATGATCACCAGTAACTCCTTTCAGTATGTATTTAGAGAAGTTCTAAAGGAAGGGAAATACCTGTTAAGTTACGTTATAATACCAACTTTTTCACGTCATTGGATGTGATTTATGTTACGCTGTAAGTTAACTGCAGCTATAATATAGGATAGTTGATTTTCTATAGAATGATGAGGGCACTTTCCTGAGTAGTCTAAAATTACTAGACTAAATACTTTATACTTCTCAAAGTGAGTGTTAATTTGTGATGAGAATGCATTCACAAGCTCAACTGGGTTACAGTATACAAATATTTCCTAAACGTTTACCCTAACCTTTACACAAGTGAAAAGACTAATAATGATTAGGAAGTTTCAATACCTGAATCTCATTAATCTATACATAGCTCATGCATATACATATGTTGTTGATCTATACAATTATATGTTGGTAAGTTACTGAGTACAGTATTTCAAAAGCATCCTTAATATATTGTCATACGTCTTGATCCATTATCCCATTGAGCTATTATCATTAAAATTAATATTATTATCGTTAAGCTAATTCATTATTTCATGGCTTTTTTTCTCCAGCTAGTTCCTGCTATTATAATGGGAATATCTATCCCTTTTATTATTCCACAATTCATAAAATATTCAACTTCAATTGAAAGTGGTAATTCATCTATCGGTCAAGTAAGTGTATTGATTAAATGGATCTGTTCAGTGTTTGAGTAAAACTTTCTCTTAGTATCTCACCTTGTACAAATAACGCTACTGATTTATTATAGTGTAGTGTATGCTACATATGTTAACAGACATAAGTAGTATGTAATACCGAAGTGGAATGCCTAGTAGCAGAAGATTGAGAAAATCGAATTGAAGAGAACAGGAATGTAAACAGAGAGTAATTATAATAACAGTAGAATCTAAAGAATCATGAAATATGTAAAGGACAACTAAAGGCAGATGTCCAAATAATGTATTTAATGTATGGTTTACATATTTCAAGAAAGTACTCTGCAGTTTTACATTGATCAATAAATTGGTTTTCCTCATTAGACTACCTTGTTAGATGGTGTTTGGAGGTAGTCAACAGGAAACCCTGGACCCGGGTCTCATGCTACTTGGCACTCGTCAGAAAGATGTACCTGTAATCTTGAGGGAACCGGTGCTTCCTGACTGATTCAATCCCGTGCTACCCAGCTTCACAGTCAGAGACGTTACCACTGAGCTATCTGGGCCCTGACTGACCTCCTGTAGGACTGAGAAGTAATCACCATTGATTGATCACTGGATGGTGATCAATGTCATTTGTGTCGAGTTCTTCTTAGTGCAGATCGAATGTTATCGACCAACCACCATCTAATCTCAAAACAGTGCACGCAATGTCGAGTCACCTAGACTAGTGGCCAATTGCAACTTGGTCGATAGCATTCGATCTGCATTAAGAAGGACTTGACACACATAACATTGATCACCACCCAATGATAAATCAATTGAGACTACTTTATTCACAACCATAAGACTAACACTTGTGGAAATTAGAAATACCTATTATTTAGGTTTAATGCAATCACAATTTAAATGTAGTAGGAACCAACTCATATTCCAAATAATTGGTAATATATTGTGCAATAATTCAAATATTTTCAGTAACATAATGGTATTTGTAAACCGGTTAATATATGTATGCATATAATATTGTAAATTCTTATTGTGTAACTAATGATAATGTTGTTCTCTTTGATAAATTTCGATAGTGTAATAAGAAGACTATTATTATCAGAACTTATTGATAAGGTGCCTAGTTAGCAGTCTTGATCGTATTTGTACAAATGACGCCATTGATGACAATGTTAGGCTGCTAAATAAAACATTAGTGGAAAATGGCTATCTCCTTAAATTCATAAATAGGTGGAAAGTTCATGGTATAGTGAAACATGCAATAGCCTTGGCAGAAAAAAAGCCTATCTACATCACTTTATCATTCAGAGGTGATTCAAATAGCCTTTTATTGAAACAAAGGCTTAAATCAGTCATCAACAAAACGTATTGCGCAGCAAAGGTCATTATCAAAGAAAGAACAAGGTGCATGCTTTATCCCAAACCTAAAAGACATGAAAACGATTGTGTCACATCTCATTGTGTTTAACAATTAAAATATATGTGTGATCACATATACCTAGGGAGGAGCAATCATGATCTCAAAATCAGGATGTGTGAGCACGTACCAAAATGCTTGCAGAAACAAAAAAATCAGATGACCCAATGAGTAGAGGATAAACATACATCATCATCTATTGCTAAACATTTAATCGAAACAGGCCATAAGATTGATCTTAACTCGGCATTTTTGTGTTGCATAAAAGTGTAAAAGAGTGTATACTAAGGTTTATTGAAGCCTTAGCCATACGATGCCTCCTAGTTTGATTCCTTATGGATTCCTTAGTGTGTATTACTGGGGAGTGCTACAGTAAGTCAAGGTACTCCACTAAAATCTCTTAAGTTTAAATATTTCTGCATTACTTAATACTGTGTGTTGAAAACTAACTTAAAGCTTAACTGGTCAATTTTGAGAATACTGATGCATTTGTAGGGTACTAAATCAACTTTGAAAGTTTTTTAACTTTGAAGTAAAATGTTCGGTCACATTTCCGTTTAATAATTCATTCCTGATTGGAGATTTCAGATATCTAAGAACTTTACACACGTATTAGAAAGTTTCGGTTTTAATATCCAATACAAATTTAAATTGAAACTTTCGAAATTAAACATTCAGACACTTGAGCTACATCGTCTCATGATACTATTAAAATGATTGAATGTATTCATACAACAATGAGAATGGATATCCTGTGATAGCACACAAATAGACAACTAAATACAGCTACTATCACCATTAAAATATGTTTATTTGAAGCATCCACATGAATATCAGAAGATAATACTTTGAATATGACTAAAAATAACTATCTTTTTGAAAAAATAATACCTATTTAATACCTTTGTAACTAAGTCAAATCTCTATTCTTCGTTGTTCTATATATCCTCTTGGATACTAATATCGTTCTTTCTTTTTACTGAAAAAAATATTTCATTTTAAAGACAAAAATTGATCAAGATGAAAATAAATCACGATCGGAAGTTGAAAAGTTGGTTAAACTTCAACGTCAATCAATTCATTTAGATAAACCAATTACATTAGGAACAAGGTAGTTTATTTGACTGGTTAAATAAATTCTTAAATATATATATTTTATTAAAGGGAAATATGTGAAGATTATAGAATTTTCATAGTATAAATCATGAACTAGTCGTGAATGTGCATTGTCTAGGAGTCATATACTAGGATGAAACGGCCTATTTTGCCTCCAAGTATTTAGTTGAATATAGTGTTCAACTTATAAAAGGGTAAAAAGTATGTTCGATGTGCTTTTCTGGACTATACTTCAGCTTTTGATTCTATACCAAGACAACGTTTACTTAACAAGTTAATCAGCGTCAACAATGACAGCTGAGTAACCAACTGGCTATGTTCCTATCTCTCTGGAAGGGAACAGTATACTAGGTTTGGAGGAAAGTGTTCAGAGTCTCGACTGTCTCATGAAGATGTACCACAAGGAGCTATTCTTTCACCTCTTCTTTTCTCCTTTTTTTCTGCATGATCTGCCATCTTCCACAGAAAACACTTTTGTGAAATATGCGGATGATCTCACTGTTTGTATGCCTATCTCTTCCTCTTTACATCTCATAGAAATGAGTGAGTTTTTTGTCTCGTATTGATTATTGGTCTGTTGGTAATGGTCTCATACTTAATCCGTCTAAATGTCAAGCTGTTAACTTTAGCATGAGACATGAACGGAATATAAACACTGTTTTGAGATCCCATAATGCTTGTACCATCGGAGACTCTTTGATAAACTCAGTGTTGAAGGTCAATTATCTTGGTGTCACCTTTTCCTGTGATCTGTCTTGGTCTTCCCACGTTTTATTGTTATCAAAGAAGGTTTTCCGTCTGACCTACTACATAAAGAGATTGCATGCTCTTGGAATTACTCGTCATTTACTCTTACAATCTGTCAGTACTTGCATATTACCTATTATTCTTTACTGTTCTCCATTATTCTTTCCTGGGATTTTGAGAAAAGACTTTGCTGTATTGCGGAGAGTGCTGAAGGCAGTTAGCAAGATGTGTGATGAATCTTTCGAGATCATAATTAATGTGGTTGTGGATAGACATTTAAAATCATGCAAACTCCTGGCAGGTGTCATTTTATCAGATACTAGCCATCTCATTCACCCTTACCTTTCTCATTGTATATCTTCTGATAGAACGAGACGTAATTACACTAAAATCCCTGCACACAAGGAAAAGTATAGAAGTTCTGTAATACATTACCTAGCAAATATACTCTGTGACGAACAGGTTGTTAGAGTGAACCTAGTCAATAACCTACATTTTCAACATGTCTCTAATTTGAAAAGTTGTACAGTTTTTCGGTTTTTTGTTTGTTTGTTTTTTTAAAACCTTGTTTATTTCTTTTTGTATTTGTTACTGTCTTCTTTTGTTGTTGTTGCGTAAGTAACCTGTTGAAATACCCTGTGCTGAGAATTATATATTGTACCAAAATATAATATTGAATAAAGCCATTAATAATAATAATAATAATTTGTAGTAATGGTTTATCTAAGATCGATTCGTGATCTCAACTATAAAGTTTATGATTATATGACTGTAAAGATCCTGTTTTTTTTCAAATTGAAAACTTCTGATGAATACATCTTTGAATAATCTTTCATTTAATTGGAAACTAATTAAAATGAATGACAAATGTTTATGTTGTTATAACAGTAAAATCAACGTAGGCATGTGTGAATGAATTTACAATCAGCTGACTGAAATTATATAAGTTGTGATTGGGTGATAGTTACTGAAAAAAATCAAATTGTTGATCCATGTTCCAAGCTCTGAGATACACAGATATCCAAAGGTAAATAAACTGATCAGCAAAAAGTTACAATCTCTTCAAGAAAATAAAATGTAACATAACAAAGAAGTCATTTAAAAAGATTCCACGTGAATCAGTGAAATGTTTATTGTGCAGTTGTGAAAACCTATCAACTCTACAGGGTTTAGGTTTAAGTATGAATATTAACAGCAAATTTCTGGTAAATCCGATTGATGAGTAATGATTTGGAACAAAACAGCATCGTGGATTCCAATCTCAGTCACAATCAAACCCTAATTAGAACTTGTGACCACATGAAAATATCGAGATAACCTTCGAATGCATGTATGCCAATAGAGACCTATTAATCGAAGTTCTCAACATATTCATACAAATGTTTATCTACAGTAGTTCAGAAGTAATGAACAACTCTTAACTATCGATAACATGGAAGAGATACAACCTTTTCTATGCTTATTTCTACTACAGTGAACGAGAGCAAAACCGGGAACAACCGGATACATTTGAATACAAAATTTCAAGATCTCTTAGTAAAATCTGAGAACCATAGAGTAAATACTTTATTTGCAAAATGTCAATCAGTTGTCTCAGACTTTATTGTTCCTTCATTTCCATACTAATCACTCTCTGTTCTCGTTCTTTTTCTCTTCCCTTTGATATTCTCAACCTTCTACCTCTAGATGTACCATTTTCGATTGACGATATATACGACTTATATCTGTAGACATCAGTAGCATACACCACACTATGTTCAATTATTTGAAAATTGAATAAATGTTTCAGAAATCTTACAACTTATACAAAGAGTATTAAAGCAAATGATCATTTCCGATCGTTTTTTCATGACGCCCCACAGTTATGAATCCAAGATAATTATTATTGTATTACAATCGACAAACTATTACAATTTCATGAGTTCATGTTATAAATGGGAAATAGTGAATTTAACTTGGATTAATTATAGCATAATAATAATAATTTTAGATTTATAATCCTAGAACTTGGATAAAGAAATTATCAAATATGATCATTTGTTCTACTACTCCTTATATACAAGTTACATAATTAACAAAGACTCACAAACTAGAAGTATCACCTAGGCGTTCAATAAATTTTCATAGTTACGCAGTACCACTAGTTGGCAATCAAACGTATAAACACTTCATATGTGTTTATTTAAATACTCAACTCTTTAAATCCAAGTCGTTACTGATGTCAGGACAATATAGTTTAGTCATCAAACTGGATCAATTCCAATGATAAATAATAGTAAATGACCATGTTTATTAGTCAGTCTACAAACTACATAACTAACATATTAAAATTAAAGTTTATCTTGAAGGTATTCTCTAAAAATATAAATATAATGGGAAATTACAAATCCATACTATTATTCAATCTATGGCGTTCCAATAATCAGATAAGTATATTCTTACTTACTTACGCTTGTTACTCCTAATGAAGCATAGGCCACCGACCAGCATTCTATAACCCACTCTGTCTTGGGCCTTCTTTTCTAGTTCCATCCAATTCTTGTTCATTCTTCTCCTATCTCTATTTTCCGGCGTAATGTATTCTGTGGTCTTCCTCTTTTCCTTTGATCTTGAAGATTCCATGTGAGGGCTTGTCTTGCGAAACAAGTATATTCAGTATGACGTAATAAAATCCACATGAAATAAACATTTATAAGTGATATGGTTAAGTTATTCTGTGTTAAAACTTCAATTCTTTCGTTTGGTTTTATGATAAACACAAATTATTTAACAATTTCATAATCTTAGTTAATGAATATTTCTTTAAAAACTTGAACTATTCACTAGTAATTACCATATTAAACGATAACTTAGGAGGATAAACTTAAAAATGAATCGATTGAATTTAGATATTAACACCCTTGGATGTTCGTTTAGGCGTTCGCATGCGAAACCGAAGGTCCAAATCCCATATGCGGGGTCGTAGATGAGCACTTCTGCAGATTTCCATACTAGAACGAAATGACCTTCTAATGCTTCTAGGTTTTCAATGTTAGTCTATCTCAGATCGACTCATGTATTCGACTATTTAAAATAATTCCCATTTCGAAAACAAAGAAGCTTTTTGACTAACTTTCACAATCATATAGTGGTTTTCTAAGCCTGTCAATTCACATGAGACTTTCAGAATTTGAAACTGTTACACTTTTTAAATCCTTATATTGATTATTGAATGACATGAGATACATTGTTATACACAATCGCCTCTAATTAAATTAATCAATAGTTCCCTTTGGATAAACAGCAGTAAAGTATTAGAATGAATTTTAAGGTATTGAATAATGATCTATTAGATAAAAGAAATGAATCGATACAAAATCTGTTCATGTGATTAGACTTACGAACATGAACTTTAAGTGGTAGACATATGGCGATCTGTTGTATTCTCTGAGCTGGATAGAGTAGTTATGCCTTTCCATTGATTAGTTGGATAAATCATCATTATGAATTGTGATTAAATGTTAACATATTTGTGTTTTCTTTAAAACTATTGACGGCACTACAATCGACTCATTTAGTTCAAATATATGTATAGTTACTATAATGTTTGACCTTTGTTTCTTATTTGGCTGGGGTAGACTTGGTTATGTAAAATTCATTATACCTATATATCTCGTCTAATTGACTTTTGGATGAAGTAATTTCATTTAATTTCGACTGATTATTCGCCTTTTCAATCGAACTAATCTAGGCCAATATTTTGAAAATGATTAAAAATGTGATCACAATCTGTGTAAATGATACCATGCTAAACGTTACACTTGAAGCTCTAAGATTTGGTACCATGTTGGTTCATCAGTTCTAATTAAAATGAGATCCGAATGCGATCAAAGATTCTGTCCAGTGTGCTAGGAGACGTGAATTATTAGAACTTGCCCCTGACAGAGAATAGACACAATTACATTGAAAATCTTTATCAGAATGCGTGTTTGTGGAGATTTTTGTAATTTTAACAGTTGAATTCATGAGTCTAGAGGTTAAACAATTTATTGCAAGGCCAAAGGTCTTGGGTTCGAGCACCGGATGCCAGATCGAGGATATGCACTGATGAGGAGTCCCAAACTAGGACAAAACGGTCACCCAGTGCTTCCAGGTTTTCAATGGTGGTCTAGCTTGAATTCAACTACTAAAATTACATGAAAATTTGTCAGTCGAATCATGTCATCCGTGAAATTTATGTTTATAAGGTAAAATTGTGTTATTTCATATTTCCTTCTTGTTTTATTTTGCTTTAGAATTTCTTCTCAAATTGAACGGATTCAAATATTCTATCAAGCTCCAATTATACGATTTGTTTATAATACAGTATGTTTAAATCGTCATTTCTTTATCGTTTTAAGCATTAGAGAGAGACCATATTTGAAATTATGTTGGTAATATTGACTACATCTGTCAGTCTTTAATGTTTAAAGTGATGAATAGTATGTTCAAGACACAATGGACATGCTTATTTTCCGCCCATGAGTTTCACGGCGAATGAAATACGTAACTATATGTATCTTTCGGAATGTGAAGGTATATAACTTGTATCCCTGTAGTCATATTCAGTCACGAAGGCACCGTTTTACTCTTGGGTAAGCAACTACACAAAAAGAAAAGACTAAAGTCACATAAAAAGCCTCACTCTTGAAAGCTGATCAATTCTACCTACAACTCTTGTTTATATATGGGTAGCTGGACAGAGTTATTAAGTGCAAACAGTAATGTATATATATGTACATTTAACACTCTACACTCTTGGTTCGCTGACTCATTCATTTGCCTCTCTGCTTTGTGGTCCGAGTTATCTGCTAATAAAACTGTAGTCGCTGCTTCTCTTTGCGTTCTGACTTCAAATACCGTTGAGGATTATTTGGTAACGATAACGAGGGTGATTAGTGAACGAAGCACAGCCACTACAATCTGTTATTTTATACCTGATTGGTTCGTTCACAAATTATGGTCTCGACGTCTTATTTGTTATAGCCGCTCAATTATCACGTTTTGTATAAAATCCCCTGTGAACCGATCGTACGTTAGCATTAAGTACTGAAGTTGGCGCTGTGACCTTGAAATTCCTCAATCGCTTCTGATTGGCTCGCCCATAAATCATAGTCTCGCCACAAATACTAGCAGCTCACACACAGTGAAGTCTGAAATGAAGTCAGATTGGAATCAGTAACAGAAAAGAATTCACAATATTAAGTAATTTCATAACGTTTAGAAAAGCTAACTGCCTGTTTGCCTCCGCTGACTTGGAGATCATACCAACTCTCTTTGAAATATCGTTCACCAAATTAGAGGTACTAAATTTAGACTTCCATTAAACTCTTTTGTATACCACACCCAGCCTTCTATCAGAGTAACCGTTGATAATAGCGAAATCTAACGATAGGATAAGTGTCCGTGAAATTATAACGCATCCACTTGTTAAAGTTCAATAAATGTGTAGTATCATGCATTTTAGGGTCTTTTACCGTTCATTCAGTGTGAGCACTAACATTTAAGAGCATAAGATCATAACATTTGTAGTTAACTTTAGACGAATAAAATACAATCTTCAGTGTGAATTACACACTTATATTCAGCACTGACACACCAAATGAACATAGAAGTGTTAGATACCTTAATTTGACCAAACATTGTAGAAAAGGCGGTTAACTTCATCCTAAACCAACATTATTACTTTTGTTTGAATCGACCGACACCAATTTTTTTGGGTTCCGTAAACTAAATATTAACACAGGTGTGAAATAATCCTTTGGAAATTTCTACTTAGAAATTAAATGATAATCAACGAATTCATTTGCTTAAGGCGTACATTCGTATTTTTTCCTTAGTTCTATGGTAAATATATGTCTGTAGAAGGATAGAAAAGATTGCTGAATGATGGAGAAGATTTGTAGCTCAGGTGGATGATTTTGAGCTGGATGGAGAACAAAACTCCATCAAGATTGCTGACTTCTATCTAACGACATAATCGGTTATTTTAAGCATATGTTATTGTTTCCCTCAATCGCTGTGTTTATATTCGTCACAATTATATATTTTAGGATGATTACATCATCATCGCATATCAACTAACCCTCGTTAAAGTCACACTTTTCTTTAAGTATTAACAATAATACAATCTAATAATTCAGTTGCTTAATAGTTTTCATTTCATTTTCTCTTATTTCATACATCTTTTTCTTTGTTTTTTTCTCTTTCTTTCCAGATATTCTACTTACTATTTCTGATTGTCTTTAGTAAAACACTTCTAACATCATTAACATTGAGTTTTTCTTATTTAGATATTTTTACAACTTTAATGGTTGGATCATTTCTATGTGAAGAGTTAAAACAAGTAAGCAGATGAATACAAGTTTAGACATATAATTCTTATTTCAATGGTTAAGATCATGAGTCAGTTGAAGCTAGACCACCATGGAAAACCTGGAAGTATTGGACGGCCGTTTCAACCTATTGTGGGACTCCTCAGCAGTGCGCATCCACGACCTCGCCACTGCAATATTCGAACCCAGAACCTAGTGGTTTTGCGCGGGAGCACTTAACCACTAGTTAAACATTAAAAAATATGAATCTCTGTACAATGAATTCATTGTCAAACTATATAATCGCATATCATCAGTTGGATTATGCAAATATCTGAGGACTGTCCCTGCATGTTTATACGTATGTATGTATGTATGTATGTATGTATGTATGTATGTATGTATGTATGTATGTATGTATGTATGTATGTATGTATGTATGTATGTATGTATGTATGTATGTATGTATGTATGTATGTATGTATGTATGTATGTATGTATGTATGTATGTTCCCCGTACATAGCATGATTTCTCATCCATAGATTTCTAAGAGTTTCAGAATACAGTACGAAATCTGAAATTATTTGTGTGATGTTTTTAATTCACATTAGAGATGATAATACTCAAGTTTTGTGCAAGAAATTTTCAATGATAACTTAAGACACTGATTGTATAACATAAATTTTGCGAATTTATTGTGAATGATTAAGGAAAACACAGGTAGTGTTACCATCTAAAACAGTTCTTTTTAAAAAAATAGTATATACTATTAAATTTATCTGGTGTTGTTTTACTTGTATCTTCCAATTGTTATTTAAGACTGCAGTTGACCAGTCTCTGGTTGGCATATGTGCATCCTGTGCGGAAGGCCTCTATATCGCCTTAAGTCACAATCTTTTTAAACAAAGGTGAATAGTGACTAGCAGTGGAATGCAAGACGCGCGTTTCATCCTATTCGGGACGCGTTAGCTGGATATACGTACGTCTCAAAGTTGATGTTTACTCTGTGACCCGAACCCACTATCATTCACTTGAAACACCATCACGTTATCCACTTAGCTACTGAGCAGGTGGCTATCAGGACTCAGGTATATCCAGTTGACTAGTCTTAAATAGGACGAAATGCGGGTTCTGGATTCCACTACTAGCCAATTTCCATCTTTGCTTAAAAATTATATACTGTTGATCAAAATGGATGGTATAAATCTGATTTACAATGATCATTAGTTGAAAATTTTATTTACTAGCCAGAATTAGGAAAGTTATGGATCTTAAACTGAAAGGTCAGACTAAATCTTACCATTTATTTTGCCTCTCATTCATTATATTTAAGCGATGATGTAACAAACTTAGAATAAAGTTTTTGTTAATATACCTGATATCGAGGACATTCATTGTTATATATAGCAAAAATCTATGTCACTTATCAGCTGTGAGCCTGCAAATGTGCACTGTTGAAGAGTCTCATACTACTGCAAAACACCTGTTCAATGATTTTTGGTTTTCATCGGTTTCAAATTTTGACAATCTCTTCGACTCCTCATACTAAAATTGATGATGTGGTTGCCTATGTCTAACTGCAAAATATAATTTTCAGAGTTCTAGTGTAAAGATGACGCCAACAGAGTTTAACCATGAAAATGAGACAAATATTATTAACAACGATGGATGATAATTATGTAATGCCTCAGGTTGACTGGCGTTAGATACATCAACCACTGGATATCAACTCGGTATTCTGAAAGTTAAAAGCTAGTAGCTAAGACTGAAGATCATGGATTCGCTTCTCGATGAGGCTGTGGATTAACATTGTTGAAGAGTCTCATACCAGAAAAAAAAGCGACCCAGTCTTTCCAAGTTTCAAATAGTTACCCAAGGTCATTTAATGATGACTATAAAACAACTATGAAAATTAACTATAGAGTAAACATGGAATGATTAAGAAATTTATTGTAAAAAAAAATGGTTATCATATATTTTCAAAATTTTATAATCATCTAGCATAGTAAACAAATAAATAATTTGTTTGTCCAACTATTTGTTACATAATTGACATAACATTTTCATGACTATCAGGAGTATCAACTTGAAGAGGAGCTGAATTACAAGATATTAATAGACTACTCATTTAGTTTGTCAGTAAAGCCAATGACACTTGGTTGTAGTAGCTCTCACTTTTTGTCATTAACAAAAAAATCAACAATTAAATTCATACTACTAAATTTGTTGACGAATTACAAGTTTTACGTGTTCAAAAGAAATTTTAAACCATTTAGATTTAAACCGTCAAAGCCATTTTTAAAAAATCTTTGATTAATACTTTAATATTCAGTTAAACAAACTGTTGTTGAGATCATGAGTCAGTTGAAGTTAGACCAACATGGAAAACCTGAAAGCACTGAATAGCTATTTTGTCCTCTTATGAGACTCCTCAGCAATGCGCATCCACAGTCCCGTCTCTCCAGATCTGAACCCAGGACCCATCAGTATCACGTCTAAGCGCCTAACCACTGAACCACTCAGTCGTTCAGCATCCAACGGTGTCTAAAGATGTCTAACTTCAACGGATATACGAAATTGAGTGATACATTCAGCATTGTCTTCAATGAGTAACTATCTCAAAACAGACTCAGTTGAACTCCACTAGTCATTGCTTCGCATTAGAACTCAAAAAATACCTCTTGAAGCCAATCACTAGTGAGCATATGTTGAATAATATCAGAGAGGGTTTTTTGGATATATTATGATCATTTTAATAGTTAAAATCATAAATAGTCTAGCTTCAATTGACTCATAATCACTTACTTACTTACTTACTTACTTACTTATTTACTTACTTACTTACTTACTTACTTACTTACTTACTTACTTACTTACTTACTTACTTATTTACTTACTTACTTACTTACTTACTTACTTACTTACTTACTTACTTACTTACTTACTTACTTACTTACTTACTTACTTACTTACTTACTTACTTACTTACTTACTTACTTACGGATGTTACACCTAGTGGAGCATAGGCCGCCGACTCATAATCACAACTATTAAAATTGTTATTTATTACCTTGATATTATTTCATAGATTATGTAATATATTGTTGTTTATTATTATTATTATTATTATTATTATTATTATTATTATTATTTTATTTCTTTATAGGCATTCAGTCCTGGTTCAAGTTTAAAAGAATATATTAGTGATGGTTGGAATAAATTAGACTGTCTTGCAATCAGTTTATATATAATTGGTTTAAGTGTTAAAATTCATGCTTATTACAATTTAATTAATGAACAAATATATCAATTAAATAATCATAATAATCATTTATTGATTCATTTCAATGATTCAATACAATCACAATTATTACATAATCAAACAAATATTAATAATTATTATATTGATCAATATAATTTAATCAATAATTCATTCAATTTATCTATTGAACAAATTCAATTAATGAAATCAATTAAAACAATTGAAAATTTACAAATATTTAGTGGTTATGGTTATACATTAAATCAATGGACACCAGATTTACCATATTATATAATATCTAATGAATTATTTACTATATCACGTATATTTTTTGCCTTTAGTTTATTTGCATTTTATGTAAGATTAATGTATATTTTTAGTTTTAGTATTGTACTTGGACCAAAATTAATTATGATTAATAGAATGGTAAGTTGAGGATAGTAATTGATCAGTCTCTTATTGGCATATGTATGTATACTGTGGATATTGCCTTAATATTGCTTTCATTCACAAGTATTATAAACAAAGATGGATAGTGACTAGCAATGTAAATACAGGATGTGGGTTTTGTCCTATTTGGGACTTGTCAGATGGATGTAATTGAATCTCAGATTTGATGTTCATTCTGGGACTTGAACTCAATATCGTTCACTTTGAACGTCATCGCGTTATCCACTTAGCTACAAAACGTATGTCTTGGATTTCACTGTTAGGCGCTATCCATCTTTGCTTATAAGAGAATATTTGTTTCAGTATAGTTTCAATGAAAGTTATTTAATTTATAAATATTGTTGGATGAGTGTACAAATCAATAATTATAATCAGAAAGGGGTTTTGTAAATATGATAGTAATTTAATAGTTGTTGAAACAGTTTTCCACATTGTGGTCTAGGTTTCATTGACTCATGAATTTAACTATCGAATCATTATTTATTTATACAGAAAATGTTTTTTTTTAATTCTTGATGTATGGTAAAATATGAGTTTTTCTTTACAAATAAACAAACAAGTATACTCCTTGAAAAATCAAACTGTCAGTATAGTGAAAGTGTGCTAACTCTATTTTCTTGTTTGAAGAGTTTCATCGACTTCAATTGGTGAAAAACGGACGAAAAACGAAGCTTTTCGTTAAACTACACTACAAAGAGGTTTTAGAGATTGATAGATTTTACGGCGAAACTATAATTTATGGACAAACCAATCAGATATAAGATAACTGGTCTTGAATTTTAGCGTGAAATTCATTTTATCCATTTAGCTAAACAGCGTTTTAACATTATAGCTGATGTCAGTTCATGATGGAAATCTTAAGTCTAAATCCTAACGCTAACCAACGATTGAATATCTTAGTTCTAATTCCTCAAACTGGTTTATAACCTTCATTTACTCCTCATTAGTAGATGAATATTCTCAAGGACATTTTAGTGTTGATAATAGATCGTCCATAAATTACAGTCTCACCGATTTTACAGTTTACACCTGTGTTTTAAAAGTTAACCATTCACTACAAAACCTATGAGCTCGGAATTCGATCACTTGTAGCAGGATAGTGGATCCTCATTGCCAGGGGATTTCATAATGGAACAAAGCAGTTATCCAATACTTTCTGATTTTTAATGGTTATTAAACTAACATTGGTCTGTGATGTAATCTATACTAATACATTTAAACTGTAAAAGAATGACCAAAAAAACTATCTACCACCTGTATTAAATGTGCATTACTTCAGGTTGTTACAGTTCATGACAAATTATCTTATTGTAAGGGGATGCTTCAATAAAGGTATAACATTTCTACTCATCAATTAAATCAATAATCAATTAATCGATTAATTTTCATTGTATAGGGGTTGTGGAGTTTACTAAGTTTTTGATTGAGATCATGAACCGATTGATGTTAGGCCACCTTTGGAAACCTGGAAGCACTGGACGGCCATTTCGTCCTATTGTGGGGCTCCTCAGCAGTGCGCATCCACCATTGGATGCCGACTCAGTGGTCCAGTAGGTTAAGCGTCCGCGCGCGAGACCTAAGGCCCTGGGTTCGAATCCCGCGAGCGGGATCGTGGATGCACACTGCTGAGGAGTCCCACAATAGGACGAAACGGCCGTCCAATGCTTCCAGGTTTCCAAAGGTGGTCTAACATCAATCGGTTCATGATCTCAATCAAAAAATAATTTCCATTGTGTTTAAATGAATTAATAATAATAATTAAAGTACAATAATTTTTCATGAATTGTTTGTTTTTTCCAATTATTTTTCTTATTTCATTCAATTTCATAAAAGGGAAGTGGTTATTCAATGGATACTATAGAAACCAATTCAATTCTCTGTTTAACATCTTTTTTTTATCACATGTTAATATTGAGAATTGTAAATTTTCATACTTGAAAATAATGACTATGAAGATCTTTTTGTTAAAGTACTAGTTCTATAAGAAAATGTGAACAAGGAATAACCAAGATAACGTAATAAAAAGATTATAATAATAGATTACGTAATACGAATAATAACAATAGAAACAAAAACGACAAACATAAAGGGCATAATAATAAACTGAATAATAACCAAGCAAACTTGTATGAGGTTACAATAATAACTGATTAGAGTTTAAAACTAAAAAACAATCATTCAAAAAATCAATAACAATCAAATAAAAGTGAAGAAGGAAACATTAATCAATATTTATAGTTACACAAAAATAAGTATACACACGCCTACGCGCTCATATAAAAACAGCCAAGATTGATAAGCGAATAATTAACAAGATTAGGATGTGACTGAAGTAGAATGAATAGAATGGGCTGTCCGAAAGCTAGAATAAGATATATGGGCTTAACATAATAACCGACACTACATACTACATTCAAGTTATAACTCGTTACTAACTGATTAAGTCAATTGTTATTATACATATTAGGTATTAGATATAATTGGAATTCTTTTTAAAGACAAAATTCAAAAAAAGAATTTATTGATAGACATTAGAACTGATTGAGCTTTTGACTCTCTTAATCAAATACTTTGATATCATTATTAGTAGGTATTCGAGTTATTGTATTGTTCATAATCATAATTACATTCTGATTAGCACTTGTTAGAATCTATGAATTCTAAATGGATTTCCATGATATCACTATTATATGAAAGTTGTTTAAAATAGATGAATTGTTTCTAGCAAGGAAGTTTTAATGTGGACAATAACAACAACAACAATAGTAACTGGATCCTGATACATTCAGGTAATGAGCCTAAAATAAGAAGAAATATACACATTGGAATCCAGTGTTAACCACAATCTATTATTCACAATACCTTAATGTTTGTATTTAATCTTTAATGATAATTATAATCTTTCACAAGAATTTATTGAAGAAAATCTGATTCTAGCTTAATGGAAATATAAGAAAAATCAAATATCAATGGTTAAGATCATGAGTCAGTTGAAGCTAGACTACCATCTCCACAAAACCCATCTGATATTAATCAACATATGATCACTAGTGACTGGCTTCACGAGGTATATCCTGGAGTTCTAGTGAGAAGTAGTGACCAATGGAGTTCAACCAGGTCTGTTGTGAGATAGTAACTCATTGAAGACAGTGATGAATGTGTCGCTCAATTTCGTGGATTAGTTGAAGTTAGACATTAACACCGTTGGGTGCCGGCTCAGTGGTCTAGTGGTTAAGTGCTCTCGCGCGAAACCAGTAGGTTCTGGGTTCGAATCTCGCAGAGGGCGAGGTCGTGGATGTGCACTGCTGAGGAGTCCCACAATAGGACGAAACGGCCATCCAGTGCTTCCAGGTTTTCCATGGTGGTTTAGCTTCAACTGACTCATGATCTTAACCATAGAAATTACTACAATCCCCACAAAACCCATCTGATAAAAATCAAATTGTTTACGAAGTTTGTGGAATGACTTTTAAATGATCATTTTATACTCCTAATGAAAACATCTTATTATTGTCAAATATCAGTTAAATTATTGTTGTATTTTAAATGAAAGTATTTAGAATGTAGTTCAAGCTAAGTTCTGAAACATTTATCTCACTTATGAGTATTTCAATTATTTTAATTTACTTGACACATTCATTCAAACTATAATGGCAGTGTTATTCACTTTTTTCCATTTGGTCTCCTCAAAACATAGTATTATTAGTAATATTACTTGAGATGCTACCAAGAAAGTACTTCTAAGCGATAAACGACACAAAATATCTGTATATAACTTTTAATCTCGAACTTTACTATTTTAACATTTAGTTAGAGACGTTTTTGAAGGTTGATTGACATTAAAATCATGAACAAATCTAAGTTAGGCCATCATTGGAAATCTGGAAGCACTAAACTGCCGTGAGGGACTGAGAAAGCACACTCCTGAGGAGTTCCATACTAGGAAGAGACGGCTGTCCAGTATTTCCCGGTTTTTAATGTTAGTTCAAGTTAGATTGATTCACGCTTTCAATGAAATTCAACATTCTCCACAACCTCATATTGAAGACAGATGTAGTCTGCAGGTTTTATTCAAAAATTGATTGAAATTCAAACTGTATTTTTGAAGAGAGAATTGAACAGAATCCCGGATTTGATTCCTTGTATGAGGGAGAACTAAGATGTAGACTGCTTAGTATTCCCATATTAAGACTAAACATTTGTCCAATGCTCTTGGATTTTCGATGATATTTCAAATGAGATCAATCTGCAGCAAATATAATATACAGATTTCAGCACCTATCAAATTAGATAAAAACCTGCTTAACTAACATGGAATTATCATGATTTGTGTGTTATTTTTTTACATTCTTGAATAATATTAGGTGGTTCATGATCTCCTACCATTTCTACTCATTCTTTTGGTATGTCAAATTGGATATGGGATCGCATTTCAATCAATTTCATTCGCCAATGGTTACTACAGTGATTATGAACAAGAAAAGATGAGTAAGTTTGCCATGAATGAAAAAGTAATTAAAGGCTGAAAATTTCAAATGAATTTTTTGAAAATGATAACCAATTTGTACCCTGAGTGAATGCCTGCTAGTAGTTCTGTGTTCCCTGAGTTGGGTGGTTTAAATGAAATGATTTTCTTTAATATTCTGGTTGGTAATTTAATAGTTGAATTCATAAGTCAATTAAAGCTAGACCAACATGGAAGCACTGGAGGCCAACTCGTCCAATTATAGGACTCCTCCGCGGTGCTCATCCACGATCCCGCCACCCGAGATTCCAATCCAGGACATATCGGTCGCACACTCGACCACTTAACCTCTAGACCAATGAGCCGGCATCCAACGGTGTTAATGTTCTAGATCCTGGGCTCGAGTCCCGAGGACGTTATCGTAGATGCGTACTGCTGAGGAGTCCAAGATTAGTACAAAACGGCCGTTTAGTGCTTGCAAGTTTTCCATGTTGATCTAGCTTTAATTGACTCATGAATTTAACCATTAAATTGCTAAAATATCCACAAAACCTCTTCTTATTCTGGTTAGTATCAGAAATAAGTAGATGAAATTAAAACGTCTTTTTCAGTAAACTCAATGTATTTGATTTTTAAAAAAACATTTTCGTCCATGAATATGTGACTTTATACTGAAACCAGCGAAGCGTTTCAAGAGATCAATAGAACGGCCTTGAGATCATCTTGTCAGAACGTGAAAATATACATTTAAACACATTTTTTTGAAAAAAGATTATTATTTGGATACATACATAGTGTAAATTAAAAACTTAGCTTTAGGATTACTGAATTCTATGGGACTATAAAATTTCTCTGTATGGACAATGACTTAATCTTTACAGAAAAATGTTCCGTAACATGATTTAGTTGACTACAGAGACAGAAAATCGATTACTCGAAAACTGTATTCTGAGTAATTCTTCAATGTCAACATCTAAGTTCTAACCTTAAAACTGAACTCTAAATACTGTTAAATCTTGTTCACATTTCTTTAAAACGATTGTAAAACAAATTTAAATATAAGTTGTTAATTTTTGAGTTTTGCTGTTGTAAATCTTTATTTACACATGACCCCCCCCCCCAATGAATGATCTTTCTCGACAATAATTGATATTTGCTGTACTAGGTGACTATAGGTCCTAGGATATGCATTACTTACTTTCTGGGACTCCTTTAGATCAGCTTTTTCGTCTTTTTATATTTAAAGAAAATCTGTAGCATTCAAAACAGTAGTGATAAAACTCAATGAAATTTCTCTATAGAATAATTTGCTTTTATAATATTACTGATAAATGAATGATGATAATAATGACATATATTCTTCCAGTTTTGTTATCAGTGGCAAAATTTAGTTAATGTCATTGGAAAAAAGAAGTACAATTTTCGTTGAACAGTATTAAGATTAGGATTTCTTTTTTAGTTTCAGCAGTAATGATCGACAGAATTTTTGAATAAATAATAAATAAAACACGAAATTGAGATTAGTTGAAGTTAGATAATAACAACGTTGGATGCCGGCCGGCTCAGTGGTCTAATAGTCAAGCGCTTGCGTATGAGACTGATAGGTCCTGGGTTCGAATCTCGCGAGGAGCGGGATCGTGGGTGCGCACTGCTGAGAAGTCCCACTGCAGGACGAAACGGACGTCCAATGCCTACAGGTTTTCTATGGTGGTCTAACTTCAATTGACTCATGATCTCAACTATTAAAATTAGTTTAATATCCACAAATCCCCTTCTGATATTAAATAATATTTAGGTATGAGATTGATTAGTATCCAACTCGTCATAGTGATGTATGCATATTTAAAATTCAAATACTGTTCAAATTATGTAAGTATCCTAAATATTCTTATTCAGATATATATACACGCTTTCATTTCGATTTTCTTTATCATAGCTGTAAATTCAACATATCAGTCCAAACCTGGAATACGTAGTCTTTATGATGTAATTATGACATCTTATTTTCAAATGTTGGGTGAATTTCGTTTAGACGATTTAGCTGGAGATGGTAAGCAGCTCAAATAATTCTTCTTTTTTGTTGTTTCATTGTTAATTTTAGTTTCTAAATATAAAGAACATATTTAAGCTTATAGAGAGAGAGAGAGAGACAGAATAATTATTCGGTATTTCTTTTAAATACTAATATTGGATTGTTATTATATAATCATTTTCACCACTTAATATAATTTCAACAGAAGTGGTCTAGTGGTTAAATGCTCGCTCGCGAAACCAGTAGATCCTGGATTCGAATCTCGCAGGGGGCGATGTCGTGGATGTGCATTGCTGAGGAGTCCCACAATAGGACGAAACGGCCGTTCAGTGCTTCCAGGTTTTCCATGGTGGTTTAGCTTCAACTGACTCATGATCTTAACCATTGAAATAATACTATAGAGAATATTAGTGACCGAAATACATATGAGTGTAAGAAATGTATTCAAAATCAAAATAATGATGGGGTGTGATTAGTAACTGACTTTTTACCTCATAAAAAGATTTCAAAGAAGTTTATAATCAACTTACTCAGTTAACATACTACATACAAACAGCTTCAATAATGATTACATTAGGATTTCAGGTATTTAAGGAACCAGTAGATATTTATTACATTCGTTGTATTTCCGATGTATAGTATAAATTAAGTTAACCTTTAGAAGTATAAGTGTTGTTTCAGTCTCAAAGTACTAGATCACTCTTGAAAGTGGTAACTTCCCTTTTAAAATCACAGGTAAATCTTAACGTTTTAATCAGTAATTGACGTTTGAACAGTATACCAGGGTAATGAGTGAAAAGTTTAATGATAAGTCGTGTAGGTTGAACACTATATACGAATCCTAAGCTATTTCCGTAACCCGCAGACTAGAACTACACAGCGACTTGAACTCCAAAAAGAAGACACAAGTATGAGAGAAAACCCTTTATCCCAAGGTTCGTTTTAGTACAGAAAATCAAGGGTATTTATAGATCTTGGCGTCTGTTAAATCAACATCATATTTCAGCCAATCCGTTAACGTCATATTATGCTACCGAACAATGGTAGCACGCCACGCTGGAATTCTCGAACGTTCCATCATACTCTGATTGGCTAGGGCCATTCGGCTCCTTTTTGGGCCTCTGGAGGCTCCGTTGAAGTTCTCCGGAAGCCGACCCAACATTCAAGACAAATATTATTGTAAGTAAGGAGTTATAAATAAGAACTTTCGTCTAAATTTGATCGAATAGTTTCACAGAATTTGGGCGCTGAGAAGTTGTGGAGATTGTTGAACTTCATTGAGATCATACTCTATGGGAGTATACTAAATGTTTGTGAATAATTTACTAGTGAAATATTTGTATCTATCTAAAACATTTTCTAGATAGTGGGCTACAATATAATGACTTATTTTTTAATATTTTAAATAGGTTCATCTTGTCGTGACAATGGAATGTGTCCACAAACTTCATCACGTCGTCTAACTATAATTATGTTAAGTGCGTTTATATTATTAACTCAAGTACTTATGTTCAATTTATTAGTTGCAACATTCACGTAAGTTTTAAAATGTAGGAAAAGAAGATATTTTTGAATATTTCTGAATTTTACATCAAGAAAATGAATCATTTTTTTGGTGGAGCTTTATCCTCTGAGCTGAATAGTTTAGTTGTGAAGTTTTGATTGTTTTGTTGGATGACATTATCACATAACAAACTTCATATAGAAGTGAGGTGTCCACCTTTTGCAATATATGATTCTCAGCTTGTCTTTTAAATACCTCACGCTTACCTAAAGTTTTTATTGATAATGTCCATAGAAGCAATGAAAACTTCATAATTAAACTATCCAGCTCAGATAATAAAGCTCCACGGAAATCATCCGTTTGAGTTACAGATCTCCAACATCTCTAATTTATGTGTCATTTGTTTGAATATAGACCTTTATTTCTTTATAAATCTATCGACATATAATCAAATCTGACATGCTAGCATAATCCTCTTTGGGATCTTTAGATTTTATGCATTATTATTATTATTATTATTATTATTATTATTATTATTATTATTAAGGTAATCCATTCAAGATGAAAGAATGTCAACGAAGACTGATGAAAATTCAATCTTGAGTATAAATGATGGAAGAAGATATGGTCCTTTACGAATAGACCATAAATACAAACATCACAAATATTCTGACATGATTCTATCTAAAAACTACTATATATGTACACTGAATAATAACAGTACAAAATCTTGCCTGAGAGTAAATGTGTAAAGCGTCGGATCTCGATACAACATAAACAGTACACAATTCAATAAACATATCATTTTAAGCGAAGATGGATGATGATTGGCAGTGGAATCCAGGACGCAAGTTTCGTTCTATTTGGGACTCGTCAGCTAGATGTGCCTGCATCCCATTACATAATCTAGTGGCTATCTGGACTCAGTATCTAGGTGGATAACGTGATGATATTTGAGGCGAAGGATACTGGGTTCGTGTTCCGGAGTGCAGGTACATCGACCGTCAAACCCCAAATGAACAACACATGCATCATAGATTCTACTGCTAGCCACCATTCACCTCTGCTTACAATGCTTGTTACTTAAGGCAATGTCGATACATCCTCACAGAATGCACATATACCAAAAGAGACTGTCAATTATAGTCCTAAACCCCAATGGCAAGATCCAAATAACTAATACAAAATTAATTATACCATTTTAAGTTCATTGGGTTTACGGAGATTGTTGATTTCCATAATTTGATCCATAAAGTGAGCTGAGTTAGACAACCATTGAAAACCAGGAGGCACTGGACAGCTGTTTCGTCTAGTTGTAAGACTCTTCAATAGTGATCACCTAACTGAGGTCAATATGTGATGTGAACTTTAAAATACAACTTTTAATGATTACATAGTTAAGTTGGATCAAAATGGTTCAATAAGTAGGAAAGTATCTTCTCGTACATTTTTATCAGCCAACAAAGATGAACATTTTATCAAAAATTTCAAAAAATAGTGGTTCATGAGATGGTGGAGAAGATTTGTAGCTCAGGTGGATGATTTTGATGGAGTTTTGTTCTCTGAGCTGGATGGTTTGGTCGCGGAGCTTTCATCGTTCTTCTGAACGACATCATCAGCACAAACTTCAGAGAGAAGTAAAAAAACTTCTCCTTGGAAAAACCGCTTGTCTTTACTTGAGAGATATGACAAAGATACGAATATACAGATCTATTCATTATTAAAACATTAAGATATTGTAATTTATACCTGATGAATAATCAGTCGGAAAGATGAAATGATTTGTGAAGTTTCTGACATGATTCAAATTGTATTTCCATATTAGAAAATAAAAACATACTCACTACTATAATATGTTTCGAAACATGATTCCTCAGTTATCTAAGAAGTGATAAGCCTCTTAAAGGTACTGATGGTCACGTTTTCCTATAAATTACTTTATAACTACATAGAACAAAGTAGATTATTCATTGTTTTCCTAATCGCACCTTCTGAATTTTAGATTTTTCTTCTTCACAAAAAAGTCATTATTTTAAGTAGGTAAATTCTAAAGTCAACTCAAAACTGCCAAAAAATAAACTATAATGAACAAGTATTACTATGAATTATCAGAATAATCTACAGTGAAGATTTAATTCGTCATTTTAGTCAACTTTCTGATTGCGTTGTCATATAACTCATCTCACAAGTTAGTAGATAGCTAAACATGATTATTCAATGAATTACGCAATAGGCTTTAATGTGAAAGAAACTGCCTTCGATTCCCAACATGTTCATTAGAAATGGGATACAGATATAGCTAATTGGCGAGTACCAAATAGGACGAAACGAGTATCCTGAATTTCACTGCGACTCATTATCCAACTTTACTAAAAACTTGTAATTACATTTCATTATCATAGTAATCCTTTCAAGATATAAATATTCCAGAAGAGGCTAATCAGCAAGTTGTATTTTTAGCAATGATAACGTAAAAATATAAGCCTTGACAAATTAATATACGACATTTTTATTTCAGTACATTTATAAGTAGTATACGTTTAACAAACATTAGTAGACTTTGACTATGTGTAACACTCTATATCTTTTTGATATTTATATAAATGTATTTTATTACATTCATTCGTCTTTTTTTAAGTTCAACATATAACGAAATCGAAGGATCTGCTCAATATTTTTGGTGTTATCAACGTTATGAAATGATACAAGAATTTGTTGATAGACCATCTGTTGCAGCACCATTTATGTTACTTTGGTATTCTGTTGAATTTACTGGATTCTTATTCAGTTTAATTGGCGGTACTTTATTTAATCATGCTATTGAAGAAATCAAAGATGATGATCCATTTTGTAAGTGAATATAAATCTCTTAAATTTAAATCGATATTTTAAACACTTTCTTATTTTTTTTATTCGTTGCATACTACTTATACGTAGTTCAAGTTATTTAATATCATTCATTGAATTATATTATTTTACAGGTAGAAGTCTACACACCAATCCAACATTAGATAGCAAACTAACTAAATGGGAGCATATGATGGGTACTCGACGAATTAAAGCTGATACAGATGTAGGCGGTGGTCGTAAATGGACAGGAAGATCACATGGTGATACACATGCAATTGTATTACGATCTGCTGCAGCAGGAGCAGCTGGGAAAGGTTTAGTTTCCGGTGGTACCAGTGTTCATAGAGATGTTACCGGAGAGCCTGGATCTTTGTTAGAAGGAATTGGACCTATATTTGGTCCAGATACAGAATTTATTGAAGAAAAATTTCGTGAATTAGGCAATCAAATTGGAAAACTATCAACTTTTGAAGAACGTTTAGGCAAATTAATTCAAGGCGGTAATCGTGTAATAAGTATTGTAAAAACGATTAATGAACAACAAAAGCAGGTCAGAATTGATGTTGAACACTATATTGATATGTTCATTAACTTAACAATCCATAATGAACAGAATCAAACAACTGAAACATTTGGTTTAATTCATAAGTGTTATTTCAATACTAAGTTATACATTATTTAGTGCTCTACATTAGACAGTTTATGTAACAAAGTAATAGTTAAAAGCTTAAAAACTTATTAACTATCAATAATGTCACCATTTCTAAGGTTACGTGAGAAGTGTTTCGTCCTATTTTTAAGAATGCTCATTAGTCTACACTGTTTTTATCGTATCGAAAAAGAACTACTCTATAGTGATCAGTTCATCTACACAGCAGAAACCTGCAATTTTAGTGTGATGAACAAGTGAGGATAAATAAAAGTATTTGAATACAAAATCACAGAACGTCTTACTAAAATCTGAGAACCATACAATAAATGCTTAATTTGTAAAATATCAATCCATTGTCTCAAACTTGAGTGTTTCTTTTGCAAAATATCAATCCATCGTCTCACATTTCACTGCTTCTGCATTTTCATACGAATTGCTTTCCCTTTCCGTTTTTTTCTTTTTCAACCTTCTACTGAAATGCATTCTATTCCTGACAATCGTTATATACTACTAGTGTAGATATAAGTAGCTCACATCACATTAGTAGTGTAACCTTACACATTAAAAACACGTAGAATATCTTGAATTCGTAGACAAATAGTAATAATAATTATTATTTTTATAAAAAAAATTTATATCCGAAGCTTTCTGTAGATGGTCATTATATAATTGATTCAAATAAAAACCTAGATCATTGTATCATATAAATCATAAGCCTAAAATTAGTTGAACAGAACTTTATCAAAATTCAAATTGTCTACCTAATTTCCAGATCACATTTTTGATCACTTGTTTTCTCTAGTTGAACCTAACTACTATCGACTAATTTACTTAATTGTTAAATTAATGAAAAAGAATTTCACAGATTGAAATCATGAGTCATTTGAAGCTAGACCACCATGGGAAACCTGGAAGCGCTGAACGGCCGTTTCGTCCTAGTATGGGACTCCTCAGCAGTGCGCATCCACGATCACGCATCCCGCGAAATTCGAACCTAGTGGTCTAGTTGGTTGAGCGCTCGCGCACAAGACTGAAAGGTTCTGGGTTCGAATTTTTATTATTATTTATATTAATTAATTAGTAATAAACCATATGGTAGTTGTAAAAATAATTGATGAATTACAGAATCATGAAAAGAACTTTACAAGAACACAAAAACCATTATATAAAAACCATTGTGACTGAAAACAACCTACTATGAAACTTATTGGGATATGAATTGTCAGATATTAGAGTAGTTGAAAACAGAATGACCTATTCATTATTTAACTAACTTCACATTTAATCGAGATCATAAACCGATGAATGTCAGAGTATTATTGAAAACCGAGAAGCATTACAAAGTTATATCGTCCTAGTATGAATCTCGTCACCAAAGCGCGTTCATGATACCGCATGTGAGAATCTAACCCAGGACCTTCAGTCTCGTACGAATGCTTAACCTCAAGACCATTGGTCCGAGATCCAACAGTGTTAATGTCTGATTTCAACCAATCCACGATATTGCTCGACCATCGTCCATTGCCTCACACCCAACATGGTTGAACTCTACTGGTCAAGGCTTCTCACTAGAACTCCAAAAATTATCTTTTGAATCTAGTCACTAGTCACATTTATAACTTTTGTGCACATCTCATATTCAAGAACACATACACTATATGACTTAAAAGAAAGTGAATGAGACAGATTACTGGAGTTATTCTCAACTATCTGCTATAAATATGTTCGATGTAGTGCAACATGATAGACCTAATGGAATACATAAATATAATAAAAGTTAGAGCACAATTGATTGATCACTGGGTGGTTATCAATCTCATGCTTGTCTAGTCCTTATTAGTGCAGATCGAATGCTATCGATCATGTTGCTCTAAATGAAATCTTTGATGAGAAATAGTCTATTATGTAACACATCCAATAAATAAAGGGCAAAACAGCTGAAATTGTTGATTTTGTTGTGTTAGGGATACTAAGTCCCAAAATACAACATTTAGAAAGAAATCAGTTTTAAAACCCAAACCGTAGTCAAGTTTTTCTCATCCATTAACGTTTTCATCTGTATTAATTCATTTGATATGAAGGTAGTTTATTCCATTTTAAATATATTTTCATTATATCAATGAACTCATTGTAATTTTCCGTATGTTATTGATTGGACTTGGATTGAAATTGAGAATCTTCTTGTTATTGTTACTGAATGCATCTTCCTTACAAATCTCTCGGTTTTATTCGCGTATCGATTATAAACGTTGGAGTGTTGTGGGGTGTTGGTCATCCAGTATATTGAGTATGCATATCAAGTTCTGTATTAGATGAATTATCTGACCTTTCGTAGTCAGAAATTACTTAAGATAACCAGGAACATAATGTGAGGATAACTTTGGCTTCAGAGATATAAAGATTAAATGTTAACATTTATGGAGTGGCTTTCATATAAGGAAGATCTGAACCCATTAAACTCATTAGTTAATTTCACTGAGAAGCCAGTAAATCACCTGAAAAACAAACCATTACACTTTGAAATTATTACCTTAACTGCATCATTTCTAATTTTAAAAAAATTATATAACTCAAAGATTTAATGGTCGTTTTCCCTTAGCACTTACGATTTTTTTCAGTAAACTGATTAGTGAAAAACATGCGTCCAAATCCAAAAGTTGATGTCGATTGGATAAACAATAAAAAAAACAAGATCACTGAATAACATTTTAAACTTATTCGAGACCCAGTGTAATATATGATCTAGATATGGTGATGTTTACGTCAATTCTCTAACAAATTAACATTTAGTCAATGTTTCAGAATCCATAATTTACAACAGTCAACTTTAATCAACTCATCATCATTATCAAATCATATCGATAAGAGTCGTTTATCACTATGAAGTGAATTAAAATTTTCAGCTAAGTACTACTGTGATGAATTTCCTTTCCACTTCTTTTGTCCCACTGGTTAGTTGTCCGCTAACTGAGTTACCATATACGACAATCGCTTGACTGCTCATATCAAATTTCTCACCATTTCCCAATTTCCCAATTTGAACAACAGAAACCCATCCGATTACATTGTATTATTTCTCAGTGATTATATAAATGTAATACAAGTCCATTATGAACTATAAATAATAAATCAAACTATGTAAATAATTAGGATCGTTTTGGCAAAACGTTTACATATTAAGTTCATAACTAATTTACTGCAATTTATGAATGAAAAAAGGCGTAATGATAGGGTAGGTTACATGTTTACGAATTTACAGCGCCTTCATTTTTCAGTGTTTACTATTTGTTCAGTGCCAAGTGATTTCCGGAATTTTTCAGTCTATTCATTCATTGAGTACTGCGTGCATGAGCATAATTTTCATTGAAGATTTGAGGATTTCAGGTTCCAAATTCCAACTTATTTGCTTTTTCATATGATTATTCGGAATACCCCCACAGTGTCTTGTTCAGAGAAGACACTTCTAATGAAAATCATGCTTTGTGTCCATCACTGATACACTAAACGAACGGGAAAGTACTCGACAATGCCAGATATCTAATTTCTAATGAACATTGAAGAAAGGTAGTTATCCTCACGTATTGTACTAGTTAATGATTCAAGCAGAAGCTTACAGTTAGGACAGTATCAAAATACTATCCATCAACCAACCATTTGAAACATACCATTTAAAATATTTATGGTCGTTTTACAAGAAAATAATGATTAGAATTTCCTACTTCCATTTGTTTCTCATTCGTAATTATGATCCAGAAAAGATCCTAATTAATAATTCACTCTTTTTCCATACACTTCAATTACATTTTAGATAATAAAAAGTTTAACACCAACAAATGGTAAACGACTTGTTGGTTGGGGTAAATCAAACAAGAAAGAAAATAAAAATTTATTAATGACAGCTGTCTGTGCAGCAGTTACTGGTCTCGATTCACACTGTACGATTATTGAAGAGAAAATTGAAGAGAAGTAAGGTGGTCTACACTAAACATCCATGCATAAATACTCTACTGATTCCTTATGATTATTGTTCATTTTAGGAAGTCTTACTTTCTCTGCTACTACCATTGTAGTGAACGAGAACACAAGTGGTAGCAACCAGTTGTAGGTGGATACAAAATTATAAAGTTATTCGATAAAACATGAATACTATACGTTTGGTATTTTAGTTGCAAAAATATCCATCAGCTGTCTCAGAATTTGTTGTTACTTCATTTCCATACCAATCACTCACTGTTCCCGTTTTTTCTATTCGATCTTGTTAACTTTCTGCAACCAGGCATTCCACTTTAGTGTTACATACTACTTATATCTGTCGATATGAGTAGCACACACCAAAATACCACTACTAAACATCAATAATAATGATTTATAAACAAAACCAAGAAACTGTGTCGCGTTTTAACAACAATTTGTTTTAAATACACCTGTAAATATCCAATATGTATGATAACATTTTTAAACAGTGATTACCGGCCTAGCTTTAACTATCAAATTATTACAATCTCCACAAACTCTCATTCGGATACATAATTTGGCTTAAACAAATTTAAAACTAATGAATTTACTGCATAAAATGGATGATCCAGAAGTTTGCTGAGCTTGTCATAAATTCACAAAACTGAAATGAATTCCTCAACAATTTAGTATTGAAATCTATTGTGGGATGAAATCAGTTTCATAGAATTCTGAATACTCCTTTAGGTCTACTATTCAGAACATTTCATGATCAACAGTTCAAAATATTAATTTCCTATTTTATACACATTTCTTCGCTAAACAATTTCTAATTACTTACTTACTCCTGTAAACCCTCATGGAGGAGCATAGGCCGCCCATCAGCATTCTCCATCTATCGTTTGGTACACTCAGAAATTTCTAAGCTGTGTTGAAGCGTATAAATAGACTGGTTTCATCCTCCATTGAATCGGTTTAACTATAGCGATATAGACAACGGATAAATATGTAGCTAAGACTATCTAAGGTTTCTCTGAATGTTGAAAATGTGTTAAACATCAAATTTCCCTGCTTTACATATAATAAAGTGTTACGTCTACTCTCCAATAGTATACTGTAAAACGAAAGTATGTATTTCCCCCAATAACCTTCACAATTCTCTCGTTATCTATATAAACTTTTAATATAGTTGTTTGTTAAACATTTCAAAAGGTCGTGGAGATGAGATGTTACAAGCTTTACAGAGACAGAAAAAGACGCAGTACGAAAGACTGATCTTTACGTTTTCTTAATTTATGAGTTGAAGTTTTGTAAACGTATAACAACAGCATATATTAAATGCCCATAAATCATACGGTTAACTTCACTAGAGGAACATTTAGCTGGATATATCTAGTTTAGCGAGATAAAATAATCTGACTACAAAAAATATGATCAACTAACTATAATAAACTCTTTTTTCTATGTTGTGCTTCGTTCATTTGAAATAGTTTAAGGGAAAACAATTGTAAATACGCCTGTTTTTATTTATAAGGTTAAGAATTGAAGAACAATGCGTCAGAGCTATTTTAACAAGAAGCAACGGTGATGAACTTGAAGCCGATACAGTTCTAACACCACGTAAAGGACCACCATCACGTGGTCCACGTGCAGCTCCAGCATCTGGTAAAATTTATGAACGCCTTATTCTAAGCCATCGACTATGGCGTATAGTTCCATTTAATTTTGAAATATTCCCTGGAATTAGAATGAATGTACCACACGATAAAATAAACTGGAAAGTAAGTGTATTGTGTTTTCGTTAAATCATTTACTAATCTTCATATTAAACAGTCTTTATAAACCATCCACTCAAAAGCTTTAGTGCGTTATATAACCCCAACACTCAACGACTAACTTACGTCTGTTACCTCTCGTGAAGTAGCATAGGCCACTCACCATTGTTATCTAACCAAATCCTTTCCAGTTGTTTTCAAGTGCTATTCATTCTTTTGATGTCTGCACCCAGGTCTGACTCAATGTGTTCTTTGGTCTAACTTTTCGTTTAGCCTCAAGGATTCCACAAAAGGACTTGACTCGTGATGCAGTTTGATGATTTCCGTAATGTTTGTACTTCCCATCTCCAGCGTCTTTTCTTAATCCCCTTTTCATCTGGAAGCTAGTTTATTCTCTCCCACAGTAGGCTGTTGCTGATGTTGTACGCTCAATGGATGTACAAAAGATACCCAACGACTGAAGTGATATAAAAATAAATTTACGGGCTACAACTAGAAACTTATATTGTTAAACATTGGATATTCATCATTAATCTTATATACTTCTTACAGCCTATCAAACTGAATGACCTTGGATAAAAGTACATGGGTTTCCATTTTGTAATTGTTCAGTTATAAACCATATGAGTGAATATATTCTTTTAATAGTTGAGATCATGAGTCAATGGAAGCTAGACTACCATGGGAAACCTGGATCTCTTGTGAAATAGTAACTCATTGAAGACAATGGTGGATGTGTCGCTTAATTCCGTGGATTAGTTAAAGTTAGACATCGTTAGACACTGTTGGATGTCGACCGGCTCAGTGGTCTACTGGTTAAGCCCTCGCGCGCCAGACTGATAGGTCCTGTGTTCGAATCTCGAGAAGCGGGATCTTGGATGTGTAGTGCTGAGGAGTCCCACAATAGAACGAAACGGCCGTCCAGTGCTTCGACGTTTTCCATTTTGGTCTTACTTCAATTGACTCATGATCTCAAATATTCAAATTACTACAATCTTCACAAAACCCCATCTGATACGAATATAGTTTTTATTTTTATTGAAAGATTATGCCTCTGATGAGATCTAAATGTTTATATATTATTTACCATGACTACTGAAATTAATATATCGCTTCGTGTTTAAGATTGTATTAAATTGGTTAGTAATTATCCCTGTATGTCGTCTGGATCATAGACTGTGAGAAACGAGAGATATTGAGCAGTTGTTTTATCCTAGTATGAGAATCTTTAACATAGAATAGCTTACCACTCTACATGGAATAGAACCTAAGACCATGAGGTCACATAACAACATATTGAGCTAACATTCAGGGATTCAGATTTCTGATAGTAGTAAATTCACTTTTAAAAATCTTTTTCGGAGATATCCATCTCAACCCCCATCCCGATGAACCCTAACGGCCATGTAAAACATTTCTTTTAGAAGTTAATCACTGGTTAACACAAGATTATTATTACCATGAGATATCTCTAGTGTTCATTCAATTTCTAGGTTATAAAATATACAGAATTAACATATTTGGTATAAAGATACTTCAATACTTCTGTTTTAGACGATATTAATTAGCCTACAAATCTTACAAGATATCTAATTTAATATTCTAATATCAATATATTCATATAATTATTTGAACTTCACTTTTAGATCCCATACGATACATATCGAACATTCACTGTAACAGATGATAGAATTGCTTTACCATATCCAGAATTAGAAGATGGACCAGAAGTGTAGGTTGTTCACTTTAATTTTAATATTGAGAAAAAATTTTTTCTTTAATGAAACATTCTTTTAAGAATATTATTAATTAGTTAAAGGGAATCAATAAGAAGAACTGTTTTATTTATACGAAAGTATTTGTTTTTATTTTGGCATAAGATTTTACTTCAATACAAAGATACATTAACCTTGTCACATAGATTCCAAATTAAATTGTTCTATATTATCATTCATTTACTTACATTTTAAGTTATATCACACTATTACATAACAGTCTATTTTAAGTTTTTGATTAAAATTATGAGTTAATTCAAGCTAGACCACTATGGAAAACATCAAAGCACTGGACAGCCGTTTCGACCCAGCATAGGGACTCAGAAGTGTGCACCCACTACCCCGCGAGATTCGAACCCAGGACCGGTCGGTGTCGCGCTAGGCGCTTAACCAACTAAACCAATGAGCCGGCATCCAATGGTGTTAATGTCTAACCTCAACCAATCCACGAAATTGCACGACCATCTTCCATTTTACTGAGGTAGACACCTGTTTCTACCTGACACAGATTAGCTCCACTGGTCACGGCCTCTCACCAGGACGCCGAGAATTTTCTCGCGAAGCTAGTCACTAGTGAGCACATGGTAATTATCAGTTTAGTGGCTGTAAAGATTGTTAATTTTCTGATTGAAATCATGAGTCAATTGAAGCTAGACCACCATGGAAAAAGTCTATTTTAAACTAAACTATTGAGTGATAAAATGAACTTGACTACAGTATTATGTGAATCGAAGTCATTATGAACTTATTGTTTGTTAAAATAATGAATAGAATAGACAATGAAATAATATGGACAAAAGTTGTTAGATGATTGGAAGTATAATACAAATGAACAAATATCCAAACCTACAAGTAAGGTCAAAATTAAGAAAGAATAAGAAGTTAATAGAATGTTAAACTGTTTTTCACTCAGATTCTCTTTTATCATAAGTTAGATGAAGATAATATTAAATTATTCTGAATACAAAGACTATGATTATTGGTTCGAGTTATCAAATTAACTCTAAATGTATACAAAAGGTAAATTGGAACCTTATTAGGCAATCAGAGGTAATGAAGAGGAATTTGTAGAATTGAGTTCCTTGCAAGTTGATGAATGTCATCAATCTTAACGACATTGTTTACTACATATTGATGAACAAACTGATAAATATCACGGTCTTATAATAGGTAGTTGTGGGTCGAATAGTTTGTTGTTAATGCCTTAGACTGTGAATATGTGTGAAGGGGATTCCGATCCCACAGGTACAGCTTTGTGATGAGACCCAGCTATTACATAGCATACGTCTTACAGTGCATCTTATCTGTTAATTCTATACGTACTATTATCTCTAGTATAAACATACAACTAAGCTAGTAGAAACTTTCGATAACCGAGGTGATATCAGCATAATAGGATCAGGAGACTTCGTTAATTGTTAAAGAACTAACGATGAATAATACTGTGCTGGAGTATTTAAGAATGAGAAAAAAGCCACATAATTTGTTCATGGCTGATATTAAAAATTGAGTGAAACTTATTGGTGAATTGAAGAAAATCACAAGAAACAGTATCTAAATCAAGTCTCATAACAGCTGAGACTTTGAACTCTCAACCGAAAATATAACTTACTTAATTACTCCTGTTACTCCCAATGTTACTCCCGCCAAACAGCATTCTACAACCCACTCTGTCCTGGGTATTTCTTTCTAGTTCTATCCAATTTTTGTTCATTTTTCTCATATGTGTCTTCATTTCTCGACGTAATGTGTTCTTTGATCTTCCTCTTTTCCTTTGGCCTTGAGGATTCCATATGAGGGCTTGCCTTGTGATGCAGTTCGGTGCTTTCTTCAATATGTATCCTATCCACTTCCAGCACTTCTTTCTGATTTCTACTTCCGCTGAGATCTGGTTTGTTCTCTCTCACAGTAGGTTGTTGCTGATAGTGTCTGACCAACGGATCCGATGTATTTCGCGTAGACAGCTGTTAATAAACACTTGTATGTTCTGGTTGATGGCTTTCGTAGTTCTCCAGGTTTCCGCTTCATACAGTAGAACTGTAGCTGAAAATATGCCATTGCATTAAGCTCACCCAAGCACAAATTTGTATGATGGTTATAGTTTGACCTGACGATCTATCTGTTGGAAAATGACTGATTCTTATTCAGTGACTATTATGTGTTAACCATTATTCAGACAGCCGATACATAATGTGTTTGACTGACACAGTAAGTAGTGAGAATTTGAGCTTCTCACAGCAGTAATAGTTCTTCCGAAGTTAATGAAATTTCACAGTAATGAGTTCTAGTAAATAGTAAGTTTATATATATACCGTAACTAATTTACCGAGTGTCTAACGACAATATACCATGCCTACTTCACTACGAGGTTGTGGCATACATTATCGATGACAGCTAGGTTGGGTTTGATCATTCAAATACCAAGTCATCTGCTGAAAAAATGCTCTTTTATTATTATAAATTACCGTTATATTTCCTTACATTTTCTGTACATCTGCATGTGTTCAAGATCCCAACAAACACTGCCATACAACAGTTATGATATTGTGAAAGGTGTAAGTCGAATGTCATTACGTGGTCGGGTACGAATAGTAAGGCAAACAGATCATATAACTGATCCTAGAACAACTAACGTGACATCGAAAACTGCACCGACTAAATCAACAGCAAAGTTATCTGAATATATTCCTGTTGGTTACCCATTGAATCCATGTGGACGTACTGGTTTAAGTGGTAAGGGTCTACTACCACATTGGGGACCTAATCATTGTATTATTATTGCGATTACAAGACCAGATCCAGGCCACAGATTCTATGAAAATTTACCATTTATTCAAGTTGGATTACTTCATAACAATCAACAATTATGTTTACCATGGGTAAGTCTGGAAAACATATTATTATTGTTATTGACTGGCTGATATATATTAATATTCATAGTTTTGAATCACGAACTGATCTCAGCCAAACCAACATTGAAATCGTCGAAGCACGTGGTAGGTGTTTCACCTTAGCGTGAGACTCCAAAACGATGCGTATTCACGACCTCATGTCTCGGAATCGACCCCAAGACCTCAGGTTCGGTGCCCCCAGGTCCTCAATGACGGATTAATTAAGATCAGTTCGTGATTTAGAACTATGAAAATTTTACAACCTCTATAAGTCTTTGCATACCAAACAATCTTTACTGTTTAGAAACTGGTTAAACCAGGAACAACAATCGTGCAGAAAATAATGGGAATTCACCTATTTTATGGATTCTCTTCAATCGTTCATAACCAAGAAATAGCAGTATGAATTTTTAAAAGTAAGGCATGTTATATTATCGTACTTCAGAATATCACAAAAATTCTCGTCAATGAAGATCAATAAAAAGAGTATTAGCCGTGCAAGAACCATGAGTGATGGTTGGAAAGTTGATCATTTGCATATTATATGGTGTGAACAGTCCAGAAGAAAACTTTTTAAGACTCTTGAAAACAGGTTACTAAAAAATTAGTGTTGAAAGCGATGCAATAGTAACTATATTAAGTTAAATTGATTAAAAGTTTAAAATAAGTAGAGCGAAGATAAAGAGCAAGGAAGGTTGAAAACAATGAATTTATAAAATAGAACACAAAATAAGACGTTACCTAACCGACTGTTACAAAATGAGGTCATCGGAGAAGTGCAGGACTAACGACACGATTACTTGGAAAGTATAAACTCATTTTAAAGCTTTATGATACTATTGGGTTTGGTAAAATGGAATAAATTCGAATTTATTTGCTTATTGACAATTCTGAATGATTTTGAAATAAAAACATCTTGCCCACCGTCGATAAGATGACAGGCGATCGCATTACAAAAACTACATTGAGATTTGAACCTCAGTCGTCGTGAGATTCTCTAAGAGACGTGACCAATAACTTGCCTTCCAGTTCTTCTAAAGCATTCGCCCCCTCAACTATACGTAAGCTGGTGAATACAAGTAGAGGTAATATGAGGCAAGTATCAGTACACTTTCGGATGTTTTAATGATCGCCTTGTTTGATATGCTGAAAACAGTTGAGATACTAAATCCTGGGTCTCATAGTTGAGCGTATCAAAAGTCATTTAAAGCACAATGTTTTGTATCCCGCTGTAAATCATAATGTTCAGAAACACTTTATAGCTGATTTCATGAGCTGATATTTGTCAGCTGTTGACATTCAGCATCGATTTTGATAAGTTTCGATGGACAGAACTCATAAGTCTAGTGTACTTTGGTTTCCAAAGTTTATCTACTTAAAACCACTCAGCTAGGTAGACCATTTAAAAAGACTACGTTATAAAGAAATATCTCGGTTCTATCTACGATTTCATAAAAACAAGTTCATGAACTATGGATGGAAAGGTGAGGTTTGCGTACAAGTAGTCCCGTCAACGAAAATCTTAGTATTAAACAATCCATATAATAAGACGTTTTCTAGTTAAGCGATGCTTCATATAATACTAATCCATATAGCAGTGATTGGAACAATTCATTCTGTTCAGTAGAAATTAATCCGGAAGGTTACATTTTTTACATTTAATTTATTATCTCCCATATGTAATATTGTAAAATAAATAAATATTTTTTCTATCATGATGGGGAATGGTCGAGACCATAATATTGCAACATTTGTTGATAAATCCACCATTACAGACAATATGTGTTAAGGTATTATGAAAAATGTAGAAAAATGGTCATGTTATAGCAACTGTCCTACAATCTATTTCGATCATGGTTAATTTTTGTTAAGCCATTTTATTAACATACTTAACAGACAACGTTATTTGATCAGTAACGATTCATCTATTTCTCTGTACTATTATAATCACATACAACAGTCTACGCACATATCTCTCTCTAGCTTAAATGTTAATCGCTGAAATGTCGCTCGATAAGTCATTCTCTTTTACATTTATATATATACTCGAATCCTATTGTTAACCTTTGCCTTGCCTAGCTGCGCCTTGATTCTATTTGACTATAAATTTGCCTCTGTATTCTTCTGCTCACATATCTTAGCCACTCTGCTCTAAATTTGCTCAATGTGCTTGTAGCTTTGTGATTTGTGCTATCCGATAATGAACTGTAGTCGCCTCTTCTTATTGCTTTCTGAATTCAAACAGCGTTGGAAGAAGGTTTGAATTTTCTAACGGATGAAGGTTTTACAAATCTAAGAATGTATCATTAATAATATTTATGCAACCTATGAATCCTATTAAAATAGGTTAATCCTATTGTCTATCTGAATTATATTTTTCACTTTTGTAAAGCATGATTTTCTACGATTTAAGTTCATCGGAGCATTTGACGCTAAGTTATTCAAGAACATTTTCCACTATTAAAGGTTATTGTTTCATAACTCCTCCTTATGTATGTATGTCCACATATAGAAGTGAGTTGATAAAAAGAAAGAAATGATGTTGAGGCCAGTGTGTAATGATGGGCTTTGTTCATCCAATGAAAGTCAGTTTGGTTGAACAACACATTTCCTCAATTGTTTTCAGCCTCCGTTTCAAATTGCATAGTATTGATTCTCCTTGATAATGTAATGTTGACCTTTTCCTTATAAACAAAATTAACAAATGTTTTGGGTACTATCTAACTTTCATAATATATTTATAAACTTCAACGGATATCCACTCAATATTAATGTTTTAATCAGTAATTTATGATTCTGATCTATTGTATCAAAAATGTAGATTCATTGAATTCACGGACGATCTTTTATCAACGCTAAAGTGATCTTGAGAATATCCATCTACTAAAGAGGAGTAAATGAGGATTATAAACCAGTTTGAGGAATTAGAATTAAGATTTTCAATTGTTGGTTAGGGTTAGGAATTAGACTTAGGATTTTCATCATGAACGGACATCAGCTATGATGTCAAAACGCTGTTTAGCTAAATGAATAAAATGAATATCATGCTAAAATTCAAGACCTGTTATCTTATATCTGATTGGTTTGTCCAGATATTATAGTATCATCGTTGTTTCAATTCACTTAGACTTATATTCCAACGGATGGAAATGTATTTTACAAGTACATCGTCTTCTTCACATCAATTCAGAATTTTCAATATACAATCGAAATTTATAGAATGGATTGGTCATTTTAAACTTTGAATATCCTTTAATTTGATAAAATACAATTTAATTCATTAAAACCTTATCATCTATGAGAAATATGAAACAGTGTTAGTGTTGCTATAGTGAATTATGGAAATCAATGAATGTTGTATTTTTAAATCACAAACTACCTTTTATTTAAACAACCATTCAACATAAGGAAGTATTACTGTTAATCTGTAGTGTTACTTTATGAAAAGATAAAGATATAAATCAACGATAACTTTCGTTTAAATTTTAAATTTAACATAATTTGTGTTATTGGAACGGGGATTTGTGGAGATTGTAGTAATTTTAATAGTTGAATTCATGAGTCGATCTAAGTAAAACTGTCTCCACCTGACATAGATTTGACTCCACTTCAGACAATGAATGAAGTTTTGCACAAGATCATGGATCGATTGAAATTATACATTAACATCGTTGAATGCTGGATCATTGATCTAAAGGTTAAATATCTGTTCGCGAGACCGAAGATACTGGGTTTGAGTTGTTCGTATAGGATTGTGGTTGCTCACTGATGAAGTGATTGTCCAATACTTTCAGGTTTCTAATGTTAGTCTAGCTTAAATTGACTCATGAATTTAACTATTAAACTCTTTTGCATTGTAAATTGTATGACCTTAATTATATACATTACTACAAATCAATTTACTAATATACCATCAACTGCTTTTTCTTGAAATCTAAAGCTCATAATGTTATAACTTGTGAACCTGCGTGCCCTGTTTATTGTATAATGCAACGATGTCGCCGATCAGAGAGCAGCGAATTATCGATCGAACCAGTGACGCATAATACACGTGCGACAGCCTATAGTCCTGATTGGTCTCGCTCCCTGTCTAGCCCAGCCAGTTAAGTCCAGAACACTAATCTCAGCCTCCGCAATATGAATCATTTATTTCAAACATACTGGGTTTATATACCAATCACACACATCACATCGTACCATAAAATAGGAAACAACATTTGTACAATATTTAGCCAAAGGTGGCTGTGAATGAGGGAGGTAGTAATTAATAGACAGGGCATAATGTAAGAATGGTAAATCGTATAATAATAGTTCATAGGTCAAAATAAAGCTCATAATGAGAGGGACATGAATATGAATAGTTTAGTTATTTAACAATTTTACGATAAAAATGTACGCATAGTATTGGCTCATAAATGGATCCCAAGAATTACCATTCATTATTCTTATCGGGATATAACACATAAGTACTGTACAAGTATAATAATGCCAAACAATGATCCAATACTTTTTAAATTATCTTTACATTTTTAAAAATTACTTTTTAATGAATCAGTTACGATTTGATTTTTTTTCTCAATTATCAGTATTTAACTGATCATCGAGAAGATTGTGATTTTCAAGATTGTAGTGCTAATGTTATACGTGGATTCATTCAACGTCGTCTAATGAATTTATTTGAAAATAAACACCATCAACAGTCAATGTTGATAAGTTTAAGAGCTGCTAGTGTTTCAATTGTAAGTTAGTTAATTTTTGTTAAAATATAATTATTTGGCGTGATTTAGGTAAGATAATATAATTTATGGATGAACTAATAAAATTAAGGATATCAAGTCTTGGATTTGAGTCTGAAATTCATTCATTCATTTAGTTAAATAACACTTTAGTATTATAGCTGATGTTAGTTCCTTTGATGAAAACCCTTACTCTAATTCTTTGCCCTAAATTCTAACATTAAATCTTAATCTTAATTTCTCATACTAATTTCTAGCCCTATTTTGATCCTGGTAAATAAGTGAGTCGTCTCAAATTCATTTTAGAATCGCTCAAAGTTCATCCACAAATTATAGTTTCACCGTTATCTCAAGTCTACTCTGCAGACCGAAATTGAAATAGCCACTCATAATTTTTTTCGAAGATTGTATGTCTCATCAAAGATTATAATTAATTGAACTATTATTTATAATAAAAAATCTAGCTGTATTAGGTTTGTACTCCTCATATAAGATTATCATAGAAACAACATTGTCATGTGATTGATGCAACTAGGAACTTTGATCAACTTAAATGATCAGGATATCTATTAGTCGTACCCAAAATTTGAATACTTCACCCTTCTAAACTGGAGGGCTTATAAGTTGATGAAATTAAAGCTATGGATGGTCAAGACATTAGTTTACTTTGTTATTGGTTACTGAATTAAGGCACTGGGAATTTGAGTTCCGGACAACAACCGGACGGTAATCTGTTGTTCACGAACTCAAGTGACATTGATGGAAATCGTTAACAGTTATGTTAGTATAGTGACTTATCATATTCTTTAAAGTTTCGATTTTCAATATTATCTCGTTTTGTTTCTAACAACTTTTATCATTTTCACTAACAGTAGACATTTATGTCAGATCCTACTTTGTTAATGACTGACCTACTGAATGAATTATGAAATGACGTCTTTAGCAATTAGTTCAAAGAATTAATTGTTAAAATTGTATGTGTATATGACTGTACAGCTTGGAAAAACATCTCTTCACAGAATCTCATATCGTAAATTTAATATATATATATATATATATATATCTTTTAAAATGTAACTAGTCTCATTGTCCAAATGGAAATTTGTTCAGTTTATTAACAATACTTAGCTTATCTCAACTGAAATCCCTAAATTCATGTTAAAATTATATATTTTTCAAAGTGTATTTCATTCGATTGTAAATGTTAAGCTGATCAACAATGAGAACAGGATCACAGTCTCATTCAATAGAAATGAGTTTAGACTATGAAATAAAATCAAGTTATGTAGGTATTTTCGAATGACCTGTATAAGATATTTCAAAGTAGCAGTATTAGCAGTATGGTGTGCTCTACAAGCAGTATGTAGCAGGAGTTGGAATTGGAATGTGATGTGTGGGCGAGAACGATAATGATTGATTGTTTGCTTAGTCAGACTTGTATATGGTCTGACAGGCGTTAGATGAGTTATATATTTTCCTATACTTATTATTAATATTGTTGTTGATTGTTGTCAGATTATGTCGGCTAGTTGTCAGTTTTTGATGTGGAAATAAACTTACATTCTAGTCAGGTTAGTCACTTGTTCTTGATCTGAGTTGTATTGAAGTCATGTAGAACAGACACTGGGATCGAATCTAGTGTAGATATTCGTAAAGACGTGGAAAACCGAGCGTCATATAACAGAATGCTTACCAGCAGAAGACTGGAATAAAGAGGAAGGAAAACTGAGAGTAATCGGAATAACAACAGGATTCAAATTATGACGGAGTATGTAAAGGGCAACTCATGGAAGATATGCAAATGATATATTTAATGCGTGATTTTCATATTCCACAAAGACACTGTGTATTTTTATATAAAATAGTAAATTAGTTTACCGTACCTGAGTTTTCATTCACTACGGTAGGATCGTATGTGATATGCTAATACGTAAATTCCCACATCTCATCAGTATGCACTGTTACAGTCGCGATCGGATCGAAATCAACTACAAAGAACGTAATAGTTTAATTATTTACGTAAATAATTAGGCTAGTTGTAATATTTATTACATTGATACAATCATAGAACACCTAACTGAATGTGTCTGTATCCTGGTTTTGATGTTCGCATTGCGATCCAGACCCACTACCCATCGACTTAGAAATTAGAAAGTTACATACTAAGCTACTTAGTTACAACGAAGAACAGACAAATTAATGACGTTAGTGTTAGAAGTAATTAGTTCAAGTCCTAATGTAAACACGTACAGTTCAGTGTAGGCGTATCCAGCTGACGAGTTTTAGATAAATGAAAACGTGCCTCTGAAGTTTCCCTTCTAACCAGCATCCAAAATCTAATCATCTTACAACAATGAACAATAGAAAGCCATTGACTCAGGAAGCCTATATTACAACAGTGACTGAATAAATGAAGCCTCTAATAATGGTACCAAGATAATGTAAAACCTAACAAGTAATAATTAATAGACTTAATGTAATAAACATTATTCCATCCAATTAGTTACTTAAATATAAAGATGATTAACATTAAATTTGTATCAATACACATAGTTAGGCATTTTTACAATTTTTCATTCAAAACTTTAGGCTTATACTGGTTATATAACTGATCATTTGAATGCTGATCATGCATGGATTGAAGGAGTTTTATTTAATATACATGAGAATGAAGAACATCCATTTCAACAGGAATTTTTGCAGGTATAAATAGTTGTTTTTATGTAATGTGGTAGGTATCTAGGGTTAGTAGATAGGATACTCTAAATCTAATTTTCAATCAAACTCATACAATGGATGAAGGGTTGTACAAGATCATGGATTGATTGAGGTTAGACATTAACACTGTTGGATGTTGGCTCAGTGGTCAAGAGGTTAAGTGTTCGTGTGCGAGACTAAAGGTCCTGAGTTCGAGCCCCTCGTGTAGGATCGTGGATATGCACTGATGAGGAGTCCCATACTATGACAAAATAGCCATCCAGTGCTTCCAGATTTTCAATGGTGGTTTAATATTGTTCTATTCATGATATCAATCTAAATTGAACAATCTCCACAATCATACACTGACGATATATATTCAACTGCTAATGTTGTTTACTAAAAAAAGTTAATAATCATAATCACTTATAATTTGATATTTGACAACCTCGGATAAAAAAAACATTTAGTTACTATTAACTAAAACAATTTCTGTTTATATCAACTATACTGTCGATCACAAAAGTAATTGTGCTCATTTCTTTCCTCTTCTTTTTAATGTTATCATTAGCGATATTATTATTATTGTGTAATCTTATGCTGCGATTATTGATAAGAATCACCAGGTTAGTCACGATAACAGTCAGTGATCAATCAGTGCAAATATTTCAGTTCCATGAGAGGTCGATAGTGGTCCTAAATAGTTTAGTGATGATATCTAGATCAATGAAACTGAATGATAGGGGTTAAGATCTCATAGATTTCAGCTACACTTTGCTGATAAATTATAAATTCGTAGTGTCCTACCTTTTATATCCAACTAGCTGACATTATCTAAGTGATAATGAATCACTTTGGATATTGATCGATAGGATTTAATCATCACTAAGAACCAGACAAATGTGACATTTATCACTGATTTATTTACAGTCAATCTGAGTTACATGTTGTATCAACCATGGATACTAGCAAGGTTGACAATTGAAATAGTTCTCTTCTAACTGATAAAGATAATGTCATAAGTATAAAGTAGTTTATAAGAGAAAATATCTTACATACCAATTATATCACATCAAAATAAACATGATTGAATATGACTTGAAATGTAAATGATTACAAGAGAAGTAAGTTTTTGGCAGGACACATATCGATCCATGGAATGACGATCTAATTATTAGACTTAACTCTAAACTCACTCATATCATTTTTAAAAACTAAACATTGTCATACAAATAGTTTGTTATAAATTACATGCCAAAAATATCAAAAGCATTACACGTAAAGATTATAATTAAAATAATCTCAACAATTTCCCTTACTAACTAATCTGAGTTTCTTCTATGAAAGGATCAAAATCAAAATGATCAAAGATAAATGAGATTCAGTAAAAATGTAATTTGCATTTTATTTATTGTTATAACTTGTGGCCTGTGCTCGCTGTAAATGTACAAACGTAACGATACAGCCAATTAGAGAGCAGTGAATTATCGATCGGATCAATGACGCTTAAAACTCGTACGAACAGTCTAGAGTATTTATCGGTTCTGCTTCCCACCTAGCCTAGCCTGTTAAGTCCAGAACACTAATCTCAGTCTCCGCAATATGAATCATTTATTTCAAACATACTGGGTTTATATACCAATCACACACATCACATCGTACCATAAAATAGGAAACAACATTTGTACAAGATTTAGCCGAATGTTGCTGTGAATGAGGGAGATAGTAATTAATAGACAGACCATACTTCAAGAATGGTAAACCGTATAATAATAGTTCATAGGTCAAAATAAAGCTCATAATGAGAGGGACATGAATATGAATAGTTTAGTTATTTAACAATTTTACGATAAAAATGTACGCATAGTATTGGCTCATAAATGGACCCCCAAAGTTACCATTCATTATGCTTATCGGAACATAACGTTTATCATTGATTATATCCTTGAATAACTTTAGACTAGATTGTTGATTGAAATGTTGATATTAGTTCACTTGTAATTTCAACATTTAAACTTTGAATCATTAAAATGGAAAAATTATTCTAGAATCATGTATTTTCATTCTAATATTCTACTAAAGTATACCAAGATATTGTCCCATAATTATTACAAGAAATATCCCATAAATTCAGAGTTGAAGGGGGTAGGGTATTAAAAGAAAAAAAATATAAACCACCGAAACCATTTTCTCCGTTAGTTTTTATGTGGTACAAAAAAGTAATGATAAACGTCAGGAAATGTTTTTTCTTGTTTATCTATCAGTTTCCTCATTCTTTTACTCCTCAACCACCTTCATCGTTGTATCATTTCATGTTAATCTATGGTTGTTTTATTGTATATATTCCTTCATGTTTTTATTCTCGAAAAGTTCCATTTCATTTCCTTTGTGTTTCTCTCTGTCTCTCTCTCTCTCACACACACACTCTATTTTTGTTCGTATAAACAAACAACTATGTAATTTATTCAAAATGTTCCTCTTGTACAGTTGAAATAAAACATAAGATCACGAAAAAAGATAATAATGACAATCGAAACTGATGTATTGAATCGAATTTAAAAGAAAACAAAACATGCTTGTATTAGAATGGATGAACAATTCCTTCCAAAGTCAAATTTATTCTTCTTTTATTATTTAATACATAATAGATTGATGTTTACGACTCAAAATGATCAGTTTCTTATTGTCATATGTGTATTTTGTACGGATTGCCTCAATTTGCAAGTATTATGAGGAGAAATGGATGGTGACTAGTAGTGGAGTTTAGGACGCGTGTTTTGTCCTTTTCGGGACTCTTCAGTTGGATGTACCTTTATCATAGAGCTGATGTTCACTCCATGACTTAAAGCTAACACTACTCGCTTCAAACACCATCGCGTTATCTATATCAACTCTGGGATACAGGGGTATCCAACCGAAGAGTTCCGAATAGGACGTCCTTGATTTCACTACTAGCCATCATCCATCTTTGCTATTTTCTATTTAGTTTGAAAATAATGTATAATATTTAGAAAAATAAAAGAATAACCTATTTGAAACTATCTAGACTGATGTAATCTACACTAAATCAATAGTCATCAGATTATTATGTTGTTAGCGGGACATAGACTGGATTAAAGCATGCTCAATGCACGATTGCTTTGGTGCACGCTGATTGGCTAATTCTTGTCCAATCAGTACTAGTCGATAGCTGGAGAATATTCTAGAATCTTCTAATGTAAAAACTATAAATATACTAACGTTTTCTCTATTGCGCATCTTACTTCCATCTAACCTTGTTATTTGGAATATAATCTCTTTCCTGTTCAACCGTGTTCTAATTTGGGGACTTGTCGAGTGAATCGGTGTCCGAGATTACTGAGTGATAGCAATAGCTGGGTCACAACCGTAAGAAGGAGATTATAACATATGTATATAATAAATGAATCTATTACAGAAAAAATGAAATAGTTGACTTAGATCAAGAAGAAACAAATCTGTAGAGTAATGTATGTGATATTTAAATGTTGGTGAAGTCTTTCAGTGATATATTTTACTTTTAAGCTCTTAGACAACATGGTGTTTGGAGTTGAAATTAAGTAACATATATTTGATTGTTTTTTTGCATACATCATCATCTTTACAGCCTATTGAGTTTACTTTTATCTTAATGATTATCTCATAGATTGAGTATCATCAATTGATCTTTCTAACTCCATTTTGAAATAAACCAACAGCAATGATTCTCGTATTGGTATAGACCATGATTTTATGAATGTTACCACTGTTAAGCATTAGTTGCTATCACGTAGGATATTTATTACTTTTTTAAAAAATCTACAACTAATTGTTGAATCATTTCAATCAGATGGTTAAAACATTGAAATCAAAAAAATTCTTTTCAATGTATCAACTGTAGTGCTTAAGATGGACTAGATTTATACTGATATCTTATAGAAGAATTTATAGTTGACTGAAATCTATTACATTCAGATCTTTAATAGAAAGTACAAAGCCAGAAATATAGAAGAAAGTTTACTTTGAAGGTTAATATATATATAGAATTTATCGGATGATTGCTTACTTTCGGTTAAGCAGTCACCGTGAAACACGAAAAGTTCTTGTTCAGTCTTCGGTGAAGTCGTCAATTTGCACTTCTGAAGAATGCCACATAAAGGCAGAACAACTATCCATCTCTTGTTGGTTATCAGTGGTTGTTTAGATAAAATCTCTTCATGACGTTAGCCAGAGAGTGATAATTTCTTAGACTAAATTTGTCAGTGATATTATCTCAATGCATTTTAAAGAAGTCTATATTTCATCAAGATTTTGATAGCTAGTGATGACCAATAAAAAAATCTGTCACTATCGAGAATTTCATTAGTATTGGGATTTGTGGAGATTGTAGTAATTTAACGATTAAAAATCCTCATACTGATAATTATCATGTGCTCACTAGTGATTAGCTTCAAGATGAATTTCCTGGAGTTCTAGTGAGAATCAATGACTAGTGAATCCAGTCCATTTCGGATAGATACAGTTATCAACCTCAGATAATAGATGAAGGGTTGCACAGGATCATGGATCAGTTGAAGTTAGACATCGACATTGTTGGATGTCGGCTCAGTGGTCTAGAGGTTTCGTTCGAGCGCGAGACCGAATGTCCTGTGTCTGAGTCCTCGGTATGGGATTGTGGATGTGCACTGATGAGGAGTTCCATACTATAACAAAATAGTCATCCAGTGCTTCCAAGTTTTCAATAGTGTTCTACTTTAGATCAACTTGTGAGTTCAACCATCTACAATCTATTTAAATTATCACTTCAAAGTCATATTTTCTAGAGAAATTAATAGATCGAGAAATTTCAGTTTGACTGATTGATTTAATCAAAACAGTTACATCAAAAATCTTTATGAATATATACCTGGTCGAAGTCAAATAATATGTAAGGATTGTTGTCAAGTGGACACTATAAATTGAGATTTAGCTCGAGGGGGGAGAAAGGGTACATTTCGTTTCGATTATTATTATTATTGTACATAAAATAACTAAGTTTTGTAACATTTCATCAATATAAAATGCTTCACTTAAAACCCACCATCATGTAATAAATATTCTATAAAACAAATTACAAATCACTATTCTAAAATTCAATGAAAGATCCATATATCATGCAAAATATCTTTCATAAAGTATATAGAAAATGATTATAAATTCAGTCATATAATTATGTTTCTTTTTGCTCTATTTGTTTGAACTATTTTTGTTTTCTTTTTATGTGATTATCTAGATACAATTTCATGTTAAATTAATGAATAGGATTATTTATTAAGTTATACACAATGTCACACTGTACCATTGAATAGGTGTGAAAATTTATATAAATTGATGATATTTATAGTTTCAAATAATTTCTCTAAACTTTCATTATTTTCATAAAGTTGATAAACATACCTATGAGATTTTAATAGTTGAAATTATGAATCAATTGAAGCTAGACCAACATGGAAAATTTAAAAGCATTGGATGGCCGTTTCTTCCAAGTACGGGATTCCTCAGCAGTGAGCATACACGACCCCGCCTCCCGCAGGATTCGAACTCAGGACCCATCAGTATCACACCTAAGCGCTTAACCAACTAGATCACTGAGTCGGTCAGCATCCAATGGTGTCTAACGATGTCTAACTTCAACTAATCCACAAAATTAAGCGACACATCCACCATTGTCTTCAACCAGTTACTATCTCATAACAGATCCGGTTGAACTCCACTAGTCACTGCTTCTCACTAGAACTCTATGAAATACCTCTTGAAGGCAGTCACTAATGAGCATTTGTTGATTAATATCAGAGGGGGTATTTTGTAGATATTATAGTAATTTTAATAGTTGAGATCATGAGTCAATTGAAGTTAGACCAACATGGAAAACATCGAAGCACTGGACAGCTGTTTAGCCGTAGTATGAGACTCATCAACAGTGCGCATTCACGATCCCGCCCCCCCCACGAGATTCGAAACCAGAACGTATCAGTCTCACGCGCGAATGCCTAACCATATATTTGAGACTTGATATTAATCTCTTTTTAATTTAATTATAAAGATAATATGTTTTGATAGATACTAATGAAAGATTATCGACTTAGCTTTTGTGTTGAAAATTACACTGAAGATAACAGCACATTATCATCCGGTAGTTATTGTTATAATAATTTAAATTTACCATCAATAAAATGTAGCTGTTTACTTCAATTATAATTCATGGTTAAGTAATAATTATCTTTCTAAACAACTAGAAAGTGATCTATAAGTTGATTGAATAATTTCTTATGATTGACACTGTACATTCTATTCGATATTAAACAATGAAAGAGTCCCATAGTATTGTTGAAGAAAACATATAAGTGATTTAAATGGAAAAAATATTTTCTTTATTACAATACCATTTGCTGAAGCTGTAGAGTTGTATTTATAGTAATTTAATAGCTAAAGTAAGTAGTATGTTAATAGTTAATAAAATCTGGAACAGTTATTCTTGTGATGCGATTTCGTGGATTAGTTAAAGTTAGACATCTTTAGACACTGTTGGATGCTGGCTGACTGAGTGGTCTAGTGGTTAAGCGCTCTCACGCGAAACTGATGGGTCGTGTGTTCGAATCCTGCGGAGGGAGGGATCATGGATGTGCACTGCTGAGGAGTCCCGTACTAGGAAGGAACGGCCGTTCAGTGCTTTCAGGTTTTCCATGATTTCAACTATTGAAATTACTAAAATCTTTACAAGACCCCTTCTGATAGTTATTTTTGTGTCAATCATCGATAGTTATTAGCAATTGAATTTAATCTTAAATGGTTTTGAAGTTTCCAATAAAGTTTATCTTGACTAATTATAAGATTAAAATGGCGGTTAGTCACGTCACGAATAGTCTAATGATGACAACTATGTGTACGGCATCGATGATGAGTTAGCATCAGATCTGTCACACACGTAAACACGTCTTTCTGATAAAGCTCCATTTTAGTAAAGATCTATGTTAACGGCTTCTTGTTGATTATGTCAAATCGTCAAAAATTTGAAAACTGGAAATAAATAGTTAAAATTATCTTATTCATTCCTTGAATAGTTTCCAGCATTTTGAATTTATTTTAAGTTTATTGTCTTTGACGACTGTTTTCAATTACATTTTCTTTGAAATACAATCACATATTATTTATGATAGACAATTCTTTACAGTTTAACGTTACAATCGATTAGTTTAAGCCTCTCTTGATTATTTTATTCCATGACTCATGTAAAAGTCAAGGACTGTAATAAAGTAAAAATGAATATTTTGATATTAATAGTAGAATCTTCAGATGGCCAGGGGAAAACTACATTCTTATGTTAATCATCTAATTTTGTTGATAAACTGTCAGTATGTGGCCACGAAAACATCGTTCGATATCCTATATTTGTCACAGAACGCCTAGCTTAGGATGACTTTGTGAAACATGTTCACTTACTACTTCCGCATTAACCTTATTCCTTTGAATCCATCATGAGCAACAAATGTATGAGACTAAGAACACATATATACAGGTGGATTGAGAAATGGACTATATATGCAATTGGGCAACCTTTTAGCCTTTGAATGGTAGTGTAAGATATTGAGAAAACAAATTACTCAGTGAATTAACCAGGAAAATAACTAGTGAGACGGTTTTTAGGGAGTATTTTTACATGAATATCTGCTCCATATTGTTCAAGTCAACGTGGATTTTAATGTTTTTAATCCTTCTCGGCTGAGTCCGGAAGAATAATTACTGGAAAAAACAAGAGACTGCATTAAGCTAGTGTTTCATTCTAACCGAAGATTTTTCATCAATGTGCTCGCTCAATCAGTTTATTTCCTTCCAGTACTAATAATTCATAATACAATTCAATATCGTTACTTGATTTGCCAATATTTATTCAACTTTCGGTGTTTTGTTTAATTGTTTGAATATTTTTTTTGTCTTCTACAAAGGTATTCTTAGAATCTGAAACTACTGAGCAAGCATTATGGGTGAATATAGGCCGTCTAACAGGGATACGTTCCAGTCATGATGAGTTATTAGCAAGAATTGCATTACACCGTGGTGCATTTTATAGTGAAGCACTGGCTAAAAGACAATTGCAACCATCTTGACATTTTGAATTTAATAATTTAAATGTTGTTTGAAATAGATTCTACATATGTAATATTTTTACAAGTTTTAAATGTTGATCATTACCAAATGAAAAAGGGAGTGTCAAATGATTTAAAAATATAAGAGTGACTGTCACTTCTCGGCTACCCACATCGTGAAAGAATATTTCTTCTCGAGGGACCAGTAAAGGTAGATGGGTCAAGGGTAGTCATACCAACCTGAGAACATGAACACAAAGCCCGAGGAAGAACTGCTGGACGTCGACTATATACAACCCGTTCGCAAGCAGTTCTTGGTGCGTCAGTTCCGTACTTTTAAGGCTTTACCCTGGGCAATGGAAATCAGTGGAATAAGGCGAGGTGTGTCACTTTTCGAGACGACCGTTTCTAACTCTCTCTTTCCATTGTCGTAAGCCAGCATTGATTCATATCTCGACCTTGGATAGTCAGGTTGTTGTGAGTGACCGAATAGTTCAATAAGTTAAGGTCACCATACAAACATTTTTACTTGGATCATTCTAGTATTATGTATACATAAGTATGAGTTATGCACATATATATACAGACTTTGGCATAAATAATCTAGTTTTCTCAGTTTTACATATCTTGTTGGATCAAGAGTCGCAAAATGTGTGAACTTGTAACAGAATCAAGTTGAAGATTTTAAAGGGTTGAAAGTTGAGAAGATAAATATGTACTTGGTAATTCATTTAAATAATAATCAACCGAGGTGTATAGTTAGTATAAGGAATTCATAATTTACAAATTTGAGACAGACTGTAAGTTGGATTGGAATAGGATCTAGGTTTTCTGAAATAACTTCTAATTTTCTACTACTTATAAAAAGAAACGTTATCATGAATAATAATTCTGATATCTCAACCTGGTTAACCTCGCTAGGCTTAACATAAATGAATTATTGTCGTACAGGAATACACTAATTAGATTATTTGACGGTAACATGTTTCGTTTTTATGTTTGCCGATTGCGGTTCATATCATGAGTTAAAATCTCCTGATCTGCCTAAATCTGAATTGTTCAAGGAACATGACCAAACGGGTTCTAGTTCTCATCCGTACAAATCTATTACAAGACGTATTTATAAACGTTTGACAATTTAATAAAGTTCCACTACATTGCCGAGGTACCCATTTCCCAAATTACTATCTTTAAACTTTAGCACAGAGTGAAAAATAGGTCCCGATTATCATATAGTTAATGTTCTCAAATGTTACTAAGTTACTCAAAAATCGCAATGATGGAAACGATTTCATGGAACATGTTGGTAGAATCTAAAGTAGACCTGTCTTTTTTTCTGCTAATATAACTGATTTGGAAGATATATATAGAGTTATACGAATAAGTAGTACTAAAATGAAAAGGGTACATGTCTACCATCAATTGCTCAAGAAGACGTGTTATTTTTTTATATGATAATCAGATTGACTGTATGATATCCTCTGGTTTGATCTTCTGCTGACCAATAATCCATCATCTTTTCTTGAAATCAAAGGAAGGAGAAATCGATTTTCTACAAACGATTGTTTTTTCTATGATTTTTGCCTTGACTCTTCAAGGTTTATTAAAATGTGTAACTAAAAACAAAATCCAGGCACTCAACTAAGGCAACACATATTACAATAAAGCTTATTTAATTGAAATCCTTATTAATCACAAGCGGAAAACTTAAATCATTGCATACATAAATCTATACACGTTGAATAAGTTAGTAACTATATGAATTTAGTAGGCTCAGTGGAAAATGCGTTGGTTTTTTAAGCGGAAAATAGTGGATTCAAGTCTCTGTGTAAACATCAATAAATCAAGTTTTAAATAGGACAAAACATAAATACTCGATCCTATTGTTATTCACCAATCTAGCTGGAGTAAGTCACAAACACGTATCAGGCCATTTTTACTTATATACACATACAGCCCATCACTCTATGATTGAATAAAAAAGCATGTCAAATAAATATGTCATTGTAATCCAATTAATTTCTTCACTTTATATCTGAGACATTTAATCAGCTGTGGTGTATAGTATTATTAAGATACGAACACAAGTATGCCTGTTGCTTATGTCTATCTACTGTATTGTTGTAAATATACTCAGTCACTCATTTGTGACTCGTAAATATATTCGTATTTACGTTCAAATATGCTCTTTCTTCAACGAGCCTGAATGATATATGCTTGATCTGTTAAACTCAAAAACCAGTCAAATCCAATTTCATTTCATGCTTAGCGTTTTGAATATCTCAAGTGAAAATAAATCTATGGATTTGACCTAAGCAAACCAGAGTTATTTATAGTCGAAATAAAAAAAAGATTTATAAAGGTAAACATCCATCATTGCTTACAAAAAGCTTGTGAATTAAGGCAATATCGAGGCATGCACACAGTATGCACATATGCCAATAACAGATTGATCAATTGCAGTCTTAAACCTCAATGGGAAGATACTAGCCAAAACAATACCAAGTGGATTTAAATTCACCCCATTGCACAAGCATGTGGCTATCAAGACTCAGTAGCTGAGTGAATAACGCGATGGCGTTTGAAGCGAATGGTACTGGGTTCCAGTCCCAGCGTGAAAATCAACTCTGGAATGCAGGTACATCCAGCTGACGAGTCTCAAGCAGGACGAAGCGCGCGTCCTGGATTCCACTGCTAGCCACTATCCATCAATGCTTACAAAAAGGTAAACATTTTGTTTAGAACTAACAAATATTTTGTTTCCTAAGTTGTCTTTATATCAAAAGATTACAGTATACAGATAGATTCCAAAATATCGACGACTCATTCATGAAAGTGACTAATTATCGATAAAAATACTCTAAGTAATCGTACAGAAACATCGTTCATTTTGTTAAGCTGATACAAATAAAATTAATTACAGATTTCTGACAAAAATGCAAGTCAAATTTCGTATTTTTGTTGTTGAAATTCTAAATTGTAAGATATCGAAAAGAAGGTGATAAATTGTGTGAACTGAATAAGAGATTAACAATTCTACATATATATTGACGGATTATCAGATTTAACTAGATATGGTTTGTAGTGTCGGTTGCTTTGTATGACGATAGACCACAGGTGAACTCGAGGAAGCTGTAGGAGGCTCAGAAGGAGCCGAAGATATTCCATCCAATCACCTGTTGGAAGAATATTCTAGAATTCCTACCTGTAGCTTACTGATTGGACAACGCTAATAACTCTCTGTATGCGGATTGGAGGACTGTAATGATAACTTCGTCCTTACTAAAAACTATAAATACCTGATAATTTTGTACTATAATTGACACTGTCTGGGAATAATATTCCTTTCATTGGTCTTCTGTCTTCTCATTGCGACTTGGAAGGGTTCTGGCGTTCTAGTGCTCACGTTATACGCGGTATATCAAGAACAACCTTCAAGATATAACACTAAGTTAAGCCCGTATAACTTATTCTAGCTTCTGAACAGGCCAATTTATTCATTCATTCACGTTATGACCTTGTTAATCATTCGTTTATCAACCCTGATTTTTTTTATATGAGTGTATGTATGTGTACACTTCTTAGTCCATTCATCACAAATCTGTAGCTTATTTTTGTGTGACTATAAACATGGATTAACGCTTGGTTAAATGGAGTTGACTCTCATGCCTTCTCCACTGAGCGTTATTTCGCTTCGCTCTCTTCTCATCGCTTCTCCGATATTTTGCCTGGATCAAAGATTGTATGAAATATACGTATTCGAAATTCACTCTCATATTTGACTTATTTAATTCTGTTATTGACTAACGCGATTTAAGTCGATGATTATGTACGAGGAATAGGCGACATATATATTTCAATAACAATCATTCATACAATCTACTTGGAGTCAGATCCCGGGCCACTAAATATACAGGAGAAGCTAGTTTGGTTGACTAACAATTTCAAAGTACACTGATACAATCTTGAGAAGATTTTTTACCATACTTATTGTTCTCAAGAAATCATCGGTTTAACAAGCTAAACGAAAGAAACAATTTTTTCATATTTTTTACAGATCTACACAGAAATTGATAAAAGTAGTAAAGAAATTGAACTGGAGAAAAAAGAAACTGACTATTAGTTGTAACAAAATCAAATTGTCTTAAGATATTCCAAATACTCACCGAAAACTCTGAAGTCCCCAAGTGATTATAGAGCTTTCAGATTTCTGGCCGAAAATTCTACGAAACAATGTGTTCTTACACACTTACATTTAAATAAATAATGAACGTGTAGTCACTTGTGATTAGCTGTGTTTAAGTTACTCGAAATTCTAGTGAGGAGCTGTGACCTATAAGGTGTTAACCATTTTAAGATTGAAGTAATTAAACCATGGTAACATTGTCCATTGGTTCTAATCTATTTAGAGTTGACTAAAATTGTCAATGAGGATTATTGATGTAAAGATATGGTACTATCATATTAACCTAAGTGTTCTAGGTGAAATGAGTAGATTAAATTGTGAAAGGGTCTTAGGCTAGGATAAAACTAATAATCAATACTACCTGATTTCTGATAACTTTCCATTTGATACTATTTATTAGTGAAAACTGTTTTCAAACTAAACAATTCTTTATCTAAACATATGTAGATAAATCTCATATACTGTCGGAATAATACTTCCACTGTCTCATTTCGGTTTGGTTACTCAAAGGTTTCTTCAAACTTACTTCTATTTTAATAGTTGAATTCATGAGTCAATTGAAGCTAAACCAACATAGAAAACATCGAAGCACTGGACGGCCGTGCCGTCCTAGTGTGGGACTCCTCAGCACTGCACATCTACGATCCCACCCCTCGCGAGATTCGAACCCAGAACCTATCATTCTGATGCGCGAACGCTTAACCATATCTGTGAGACTTGATATTAATCTCCCCTTAATTTAATTATAAAGGTAATATGTTCTGATAATATGTTTTGATAGATACTTATGAAAGATTACCGAATTTACTATTCTGTTAAAAATTACACTATGCCATCATTCAATATATAGATAAACCTTATATACTGTTAGCATTACTATACATCCACTGTAAATCTATGTCTCATCTCGATTCGGTTACTCAAAGCTTTTTTTTACAAACTTATATCTATTTCATTGAATATTACACTTCGAATTAATTTAATGTTTAAAATCACACAACACAAGTTCAAACTATCTCATTTGATGAAATATCATAGTTTTTATTTCATATTTATTCAATGTTTAATTTCACTAATAAAATCTTTCATAATTGAATTCACAAATAACTTCATAATTCGTTACAATTAAAAATGAATAGCTTTCCACTTATGGAAATACGTTTCTGTTTTTGTTGTGGTTGTGGTTGTTGTTGTTGTTGTTGTGGTGGTGGTGGTGGTGGACAAAATTCACCAATAAAATTCGGCAAAATTAATATATATTGTGTAACTATGTGTAAACAATCCACCCTGTTTATATTTATTTATTTATTTGTTTATTTACAATCTATGTACAATGTTTTATTGATTTATTTTTTGCATCATTCTAAATGTTTACTTCTTTCTGATAACATGATATTTACAACAAATAAATTAGAATGATTCAATAGATTTGTGTAAATAAGAAAGAACTTATAAATAGTGAAAGAATGATTACATCATACATTAATTATATGTATTCACCTTTCATTAGATATTTCCTATTTGTTTCTGATTGTTTTATCATTTATTCAACATTTTTCTAAAACAAAAAGAAAAACACAAACAAAGACAAAAACAAAAAAGAAGAAAATCATCAACTTGATAAAAAAATGAGAAAATTTTGGATAAAACATCATCAAACCATTTCAATCAATCTTGTTATATTTTGTTTTTTAATATTTAAAATGTCTGAATCCTTATTACAATATGGTAATCGTATTAATATTTATACAAATGTATGTCAAATAATAATAAGTCAATTAAATATAACATTTAATCAATTATGTCAATTTCATTATTATCATTATCATCATAATAATAAACAATATGAAATGGTCAGTAACGATTTACTTGTTAATATGAATACTTCTAATATTATAAATGATTATTCGAATACAAGTAATGAAATACAAATACAGAATGAAATGAATTATATAATATCTATTCAATCTAATTTATATACTATACAAATGAATATACAAAAACTATCTGGATGGTATTTATTAATTTATCGTCTTTTAACTAATATACCAGCTATGTTAATATGTTTTATTTATGGTTTATTATTGAATAGAATAAGTCAAAATTATATTATGATTATACCATGTTTAGGATGTATTCTATCATGTATATTATTTATAATTAATTTATTACCAAATTTAAAATTAATAACAAATTCAATGATATTTATTTTAATTGGTGGTACACTATATGGATTATGTGGTAAAAGTAATGCAATAAATTTATGTGTTCATAGTTATATAACACAATATAGTAATAAAAAAAAATGTACAAATATAATTGGACGTTTATTAGGTGTAAATTTTTTTGGTTTAGCAATTGGTGCATTATTAGTTGGTATGTTTTATCGATTTTTAAATTATTTTGAAATGATTATATTTGTCATGATTGGTAATTTATTCATAATAATCATTTTATTATTTTTAGTAAAAAATTCTAAAAAATCTTTGTTGAATTCTTCATCATCATCACCATCAACAACAACAGCAACAACACATTCAGTAGAAGTAGTGATTATTCAATCTGATGAACAACATGTCGAACAGAGGGACTTGAATGATAACCTTACTGCTAATAATAATAATAATATCAGCCATACGAACTCATATACACACGAGGAACATAAAACATATTGTCAAGATATAATTTCTTACTTATTAAAACCTTTATTTATATTAAAATCTTCTTATAAATTTCTATTCCCTAAACGTACTACTACTACTACTGATAATAATAATAATAATAATAATAAGCATATTTACTTATTAACCTTATTAAGTACAATATTATTAAAACAAATAACTAAATCTGGTGAACAAGATGTAACATTATTATATTTAATGAATCAATCAAACTTATTATGGAATACTGAATTATATGCATATTACATAACATGTTATTATAGTTTAATGTTTATACAATTAATTATATTATTACCAATTATAGAGAATAAATTTCTTATACGTGATACAACATTAATTATTATTGGTTTATTTACTGAAATGATACGTTTATTAATTTTAAGTTTATTACATCATAAAATATTGATTTTTTTAAGTGCTATAATTGGTTCACCAGCATGTTATATAACAACTTGTACAAAATCATTAATAAGTAAATTAGTAATATATAATGATGAATTAAATATAAGTTTGACAATTATATCTATAATAGAAATTATAGCTAATTTTATTGGTGGATTCTTATTTATATTTATATATAATAAAACTTTATTATATTATTCATCATTTATATTTATATTTGATGTAATATTAAATATACCAGTTATTATTATATTTATATGGTTAAGATATAAATTAATTGAATATGAATTAAATAGAAATTAAATTATTATGTAATTGTTTTTATTATATAACATTACATCATCATCATCATCATCATCGTCATCATCATCATCATCATCATCATCATCATCAACATCCTCTTACCGTTTTCTTGATCTGATGAAATCAACCCATTTGAATTATTCAACCGACTCTTTTCATTTATAATAGAAAATGATCTATCTTGAAAACTATCTTCTTCAGCTTTTGGTACATAATTATCTGTGTCATTAGCATGTTGTAATGTAGTGATAAGATGTTTTTTACCCATTATTGTATCATTCATTATACCATTATGATCATTTTCATAACTATCCGAACATGAATAATAATTATTTCGATAATAATTCCTAATGTTATTTGTGCCAACTATTGGCTTAACAATATATTGTCGTCTATTCATTAATAATGATATTTGATTGTTATTATTCATTACTGATTGTTTTGATCTATTACTTTTAGCATCATTGATATCTCTTCTTGTATCAGCGCTAACTGATCTACGTGACTTTGTTCTATGTTGTGATGATTTGATTAATTTTGTTTCAGATGAATTATTCGATGATGTATAGCTTGTAACATCATCATCATTATCACCATTATCATCATTGTCAATGATGCTTATAACTAGTAGAATTGAAATATTACTTAGTAACTGTACAAATACTTATCATATTTATAATGATTAACAAAAATCTTAATTACACTTAAACACAATATGATTAACTATTATGTTCTGTTTTTTTTTTACGTCTTTCTGTGTTTTTCTGTTTGTTCTTCTTGCTTAATTTTCTTTTTGAATTATATACTACTTAATATAATATTGATTTACTATTAGTACAAGTGTATACTTCTTAAGAAATGGTATTGTTTTAATGAACATTTTCTATCTCTTTTTTTCTTTCAAAACAACAACATCTTCATTTTATTTCACATACAATACAATAAGTTTCATACACATAGATCCCATTTATTATCTTAAAGAAAGTAAGAACTCCACTAATCTTCGTTTTTGCTCTCATTGAAATACAATAGGATACTTTCCTTATTTTCATTATTCTAAAATAACATTTTATAAAACACTTATATTTAAGTCTTATCAATGATGAGTCGTTATTATTAAAATATTTTTGGTATGATTTAATATTCTTAATTAATTTAAACAAAATTCGTGAATTATAATTATATTCATATAGTATAATCTGTAATAATGATATATTTGAATGATTTCAAACATTAAAATAAATTATATTGACCAAAGTTCAATTTTTTAAATGGATTCGAATCTCACGGGGGCTGGGATCGTGAATGAGCATTGTTGATGAGTCGCACAATAGGACGAAACAGCCGTCCAATGCTTCCAGGTTTTACGTGGTGGTCTAACTTCGATTGACTCATGATCTCAACTATTAGAATTACTATAATATCTACAAAAAACACATCCTCATATTAATCAACATATGCTCATTAGTGATTGGCTTCAAGAGGTATTTCATGGAGTTCTAGTGAGAAGCAGTGACTAGTGGAGTTCAAGTGGATCTGTTATGAGATGGTAACTGATTGAAGACAATGGTGGATGTGTTGTTCAATTTTGTAGATTAGTGTAAGTTAGACATCGTTAGACACCATTGGATGCTGACCGACTCAATGGTCTAGGGGTTAAGCGCTCGTACGCCAAACCGATGGGTCCTGCGTTCGAATCTGGCGGGGGGAGGTGTAATCGTTTATGTGCAGTGCTGATGAGTCTCGCACTAGGACGACACGGCTGTTCAATGCTTCCATGTTGGTCTAGCTTTAACTGACCCATGATCTCAACCATTGAAATTTAACAAACCTTCAATTTCGAAAATTATTATAGTCAACCTGCTTATGGTACACATAGAGTGGATTATCTTCACCAATGACATTAAACCACGAATTTGGCTTAGATACGTAGATGATAACTTTTTTATGAAAAAAGGAAAGACTTATTTAATATCTTTTTCGAGACGGCCTAATACACTTTCGTAGCACATTAAACTTACAAACGAGAATGAAAATGAAGATGGTGAGCTACTGTTTTTAGATTACTTAGTGAGAAGAAATCTAAATGGAATTCTAAATCTATCCATCTACCGAAAACCTACATACTCAAACCTTGACCGAAATGGCATTGATTTGTTCAGATCTGTTTTTTGATTGATCATACATAATATTCTTGTGTTGTTCCTTTGTACTATTTAAACTTGAATTAATTTTGATTTGGTTATTTATTCTCTGAAAACTTGACTTACACTGAGCCACAAAACGTTGGAAAATTTGATTTTTCTATTCATTAGGATATTGCAAATATATTAACTTTGTTTATAACAATTTACCTAATGCTCAGTTTATTTGAAATGATCAAATCAAACCTTGGTAATGATACCTATATTGATCAAAGTTCAATCTTTCAAATGTGAATTAAACAAACCTCCACTTTTGAATATTATGATTAATAACGGTTAATTAGTTTATTATAAATATAAAGATTGATAATAGAATTCAGTGCAGAAAGAGAGTATTCACCTGCATTTTATATATTTTTAGTATTTTAATATATATAATTGTAACACTGAACATCGTACCCCTATGGATGATATTTATGAAAATAATTACGAAGTAAAAGATATATAAATGAAAATTATGGTGGTATATTCAATTATTTTTTTGTTTGAAATGTTGATTAGTCAGATAAGTTGTTCTACCGAAATTATGTCTTCTCCACGACCAAACCATCCAGCTCAGACAACAAAACTCCACCAAAATGTGTCTTCTTTGTTTATTGTATTGTCTACTTGTAGTGTTGTATATTACTCAAATATTCTTTTTGGAATTTCTTCAAAGTATTCTTATTCATTCTTTCTCATTCGCTGTCTGATTTAATATTAACGTTTTGGTTGAGATCATGAACTGATTGATGTCAGACAACCATTGGAAACCTGGAGGCATTGGACGGCCGTTTCGTCCTATTGTGGGACTCCTCGGCAGTGCGCATTCACGATCCCGCTCGCGGGATTCCAACCCCGCGCGCAAACGCTTAACCCTTAAACCACTGAGTCAGCATTCAATGTGGTAATGTCTGACGTTAATCAGTCCGCGAAATTGCGCGACCATCTCCCATTGTGGATATGTAGATACCTCTCTCTACCCGACACGGATTAGCTCCACCGGTCACGGCTTCTCATTAGGACTCCGAGAGGTTAAGCGTTTGCGCGCGAGACTGAAGATTCTGGGTTGGAATCCCGCGAGCGGGATCGTGGATGCGCACTTCTGAGGAGTCCCGCAATAGGATGAAACGGCCGTCCAATGCTTCCAGGTTTTCCAAAGTGGTCTAACATCGATCGGTTCATGATCTCGACCAAAAACTTAATAATCGCCACAACCCTATACTGTTAATCTTAATTAACAGTTGAATATTACCGAACACTGTACACTCGCATTGGTTTTCCCTAGTCTTCATAATTTAATGATGAGTTAAGCAGTTTTCGTTATTAATTCGTAAACTTCTATTTCTTTGTTTACTTATCTAATAATCTGTAAGATAGTGAATTCAAACACACAAAAAAATTTGAATACTTTCAATGTTTCGCGTACACTACTCGATTACACGGTATTGATTACTTCAGTTGCATGTTGCAGAGAAACTAACCTTCATGACTTAACTAGCTTAAATCACAATCCATAAACATTCAGTAACTATGCATACCATTTAATACATTAGTTTGAATCCATACGAAAAGCTGAAATGTACTGCGCTTAAGCAATTAAATTCACCAATATTTTTCGGCATTACTCATCGAATCCAGTTGCACACACTGTTGTATTTTGTCTTTTTCACATTATTAAAATCTTTTGTGATAAATTCTTAATTAAAACAGTCTATTAATCAAGTCTTTTCATGTAATGCACCCTTACTTTTTTTAAGTTTCATATTCCTTTTTTCATTGAAATTCATCGATTTAGAAGATTTTAACTGTTTACTTCAGTAATTCAAAAGTTATCGATTTCAGGCAACTACATTGATGTAACTCATTATCTGTAAAATGTTCAGGGATATAAACAAGACTAATTACTGTTTAGTCTAGTTCCCTCATTGTACTTTATTCATCATTTTCACTGACACATTAATTGAAGTATTCTTTATATACTGACTACTAAAATGTTTAAACGACTAGGTACACTATGATGGAAAATGAGATATGGTTGAGTGATTGATGTAAATTAGTCTCTAGTTGATTGAAATCGAATCTTCTCAGCTTTTGACGATTTGTAAATTCAACTTCAACTCACTTTTTAAACAAATAACATAAGTTCAAATGACATTTTTTTAAATAAAGCAATTTCCTCATTAGAATAACCAATAAATAATAAATCTTGTACAAGTAATAATATCACAGATGACATAGAAACGATCACCAATACAAATATGAGTTCGTATAGAACAACAAAATCCAAATATATACATTTTAGTACGGTTGGATAATGACTGACATATATGCTTGTTTTTATTATTGACATAGTTGGAAATTAACTGGTCTACTTGTTTAACTAAGCCATAAAATCTCTTTAAAGCTTTCAACTTGATTTAATATATTTGTGAAAATCATTGGATAGAAATCAGTTTTATGCGAAACTTTAGTGCCATTTTTATGTTTTTCATTGATGCAATGAGAAGAGAAAGTCGATTTAAATAAGTATAAATGATTTATTTGCAATAATACACATACATATTGTACGAAAGTTTGATTGAATATTTCTCCTGTTTTTCCTTCTCAGAATATATCACTAAACAGTCTTCTAAGCCTTGTCAACCTCTGAGTTGCATACTTTGTAATCTTATAACAGTGACTCATGTAATCCGATGTATAACGTATGTGTCCAACCATTTCTAGAAAGCTGCAATTTTATTCTGTATAATGTTCACATATAAGATAAAATTAAGTTGGAATCCGTTCAGATATGAATTACATTTCAAATTCTTGGGAGTGGCAGCAAAATCCGACGTTGCTGGATAGTAGGGGAAACTTTGCTAGCCAACTTAGGCGGTCGACGGAGACCAGACTGATCACCTACTCTGTTGTATCCTTTATGAACTCGGGTTCTAATCCGAGGCTCATCAAATGGCATCGGTTCATCTGATATCTTTACTCATGTATAAGAACTGCAGAAGTCCTTTGGTCTATGTAATTCATGTATATAAGTATATGCGAAGGGTGTTAGTGTGGTGCCATACAAAGAAAATGTTAGTTAAAATATTTCTGCCAAATATTTCTGTCTAATAAAATCAACCACCTAGTCTATCAGGTTGAAGTCACAATAAAATATTTGGTAGCAAATACTAGCGAGAGGCGACCAACAACCTCCGCTGAGGGAATGCTTAGGCTTATTTGTGTTTCAGGAAGTACTGAGACGGTAGCCATGGCCTGAATGATATGCATGTAATGTGTAAGAGACAGTCATTCTAGAAAATACGTTTCCAAGGGAGTGGTGAACGTCTACCATCCCAAGTGGGTGAATATACCTATGGGGTGCACGAGATAAAATCTGTGTGTTACCGGTGTGCATGTAAATTATACTTGCTCACAGGATAGGTATGCCTGTGTGTATACCAAGGAATACTGGGATGAAATTGAGTGTGTTATTTGGTACGGAT